AATCATCAGCAGCTCTGCCCGCACCCCCTCTCAGCCCCCCCGGCCCCCCCCGCCCCCCCCCCCCCCCCCCCCCGGGCCCCCCCCCCCCCCCCCCCCCCCCCCCCCCCCCCTATAGCTTATGTATGGAATGAAGAGGGCCTGTCTCCTTTTAAAAACGACTTGAACTAAATCAGCTATACGTCTATCTGTGTATATATGTTAAAAAGTGAGTACTACGCAGATGACGCTCAATGAGTGAGTCTAGGTATTCAAATTAGATTAGAAGGGATGGAGTTGTAATATGAAGTAAATGACGTCAGAGCTGGCAACGAGTCAGCTGGGAGTAATGCTAATGTATCCACACCGGCTCTTTTTTATTGCTGTTAGCTTCGATATCTTAAGAGGGAGTGTAGCCCAAGATGAACATACTTAATGTTGTTACCTTTTGCCGAGGGATTGAGCCGTAATAGGAAGCATGTATCGAGCCCGACCTATGTTGTATTGCGTGCTGATCAAAATATAAAACCAGTGGCGTCATTGTGCGATAAAGTAGAAGACTGATCTACAACATGTGTGGTTGCACGCTGCTGGAAAGGCATATTGTTATTCACCGTTGGGGGCTAGCTATCTGTTTCATGCGAGGGTAGAATGCAACAGTTCCCCAGTTAGTCACCGGAGGATCGATAGTTTGCCGTCACATACTATGAGGGCTACAGTCGCGGGGGTACTATATGTTATGTTGTGTTATTCAGAGTAAAAGCTACTGGGGTCTAGATGCACCGACCATATAATAAAATTGCGCCTTAGCTAGACAGTGATTAAGCCATAGATAAGGGTTTAGCAACCCAACCCAGCCATCTATACTTCTTCGTTTCATCTGTCAGCAAACCAGCTTCGCTGAATAAGTGACGGTCGAGCTGTTGGATGTGAAATTCGACTCTATCGCACACCATCTTGCAAAAACTGCTGAAAATGTAATAGCATGATGTGCTGCCAGTGTCAAATTTCTCGTATATGTGGCTATTATGGCCACTGTGGATACTCTATTTTCAAAGTGCTTGCGCGTCCCGTGGTAATGGGCGTTGTTGGAAAGGCGGACTTATCCATGATGTTGACACACCCTGACACCCAAGTATGATCCCCCTTGGCCATGTTTGCCGGGCTATTCAGTTCCATCTGGAAAATGCCATCTGCTCACTTCGGAGGCGGATCGGGAAGCCCTCTGCTGGCCTATACGACAGAGGCGTCCATGGACCAATAATTAGAGAGAAAGCAAAAAGCCAGAGACGGGGAGGGTAGAATAGCCCACAACGTAATTCTAATTAGACCACGAAGGGTTCGTGTCATCGATAACTCAGCAAAGCCTCCATGAAACCCCGAGGTCGTGTGCCGAGACTAGAGCCTTGCATTAAGATGCCAATTCTCATTTGAAACATCTTGAATGATTCCCCCTAGTTTGGTCTAGGCCTTGACATGTTCGGAGGATAATGAGCTTCTCGGTAATACGAAATGCAGATGTTTTTGACCTCCTGCCGCTACCGGTACATACCTGCGTCCAACATAACGCTCCATTTTCGTGTGATATCTGCTGGCCTCATTCTCACGGCTCAGTGAAATGGTTCAAGTGTTTCGAGGCCACTGGTAGCTGTTGCCGGCCCCCAGGATGATAATCAGCCCCCACCGTTACGCTATCCTGCCCCCCGTGTTCGGAGCCATTTGGGGGTGATTGGTTGAACCCGCGTGCGTTCGTTGCAGTTTGTGATGGTGCTTAACCATTGAGGAATGAGCCAGACCTCCCTTTCCATGCCACCAGAAGCAGGCTGCGAGAAAGTACTGAGCTCATAAGAAGTCAAGCTATGCCACGCAGAGAGGTATCAGCACAACGTAGCAACTTGTTTTCGCTAGGCGTTTTCTGAACGAATTAGACCGAGTCTCATGAATCGCGCCCGGCCCCTGAGATAACAAGTGATAGGTTGAGCAGCCTGAAACCTCCCCCTAATCGGCCACTGTAGCTGAATGCTGTTGACTCGGCCAGCAATATGTATTATACGGAACCATTTGAAACAGTCTGTCAAAACTCGAATATAGAATTAGCCTTGTCTCTAGAATCTAAATCTTGGTTGTTAAGGACTGCAAACTGGGTCAATCTCTTGCATAAATTTTGATTCATTCTAGTCAATTTAGGTTCCAGATGCCTGTGCTCAATCTTTTACACTCGATGCAATACGGCTGGCTATGATATTGGAAGAGAGGATGATATAACTATGAATACATATTTATTTACCAAAGCATGAGGCGAGGACAAAGCAAAGGGAAGAAAAAAGATCCTGCAGAACATGTACTGCGTCCTCTCCCCCTTTTCAACCAATGTGAACTTCAAGCCTAGGATCATCATAACATGTACTTCTGCTGCATATGAGTGTACCTAAGTCTGCCTTGGGACGCTCACAGACACAGCAATTGAGCCCCCTGTGGTATTCTAGGGGATTGTCGTATTTCTAGAATCTACTGACTGAACAATTTGTTCCAATGGCGTGCTGTCGCCTGGCGGTGCTGTGCTTGGATTCGTGTTCGGTTCTTGCTCTTGGGCTTGCGTTTCATCGCGTCCTGACTCATTCTGGGAATTCGCATTAACTATTTCTTGAGCATCGATATGATAATTAGATAGTGTTAGAGAGACATATGTATGCTCTGATTCGTTGCTGGTTATGCTGTGTTCGGTCTCTGCAGATTCCCGAGTGGAAGATGGTGCGCCAGCGGTATCCGTGGGCCGACGTAGGACCGGATGCTTCGGATTTGTGATATCTAAAGAACCAAGCACCTCACCTGGTTTAGTAACCGGAATGGTCTCAGTTCCTGCAGACCAGGTGCCAAATCCTACCTCCTCGTGTAATAGACGCTGCAGCTGTAGTGTAGAGGTTGTTGTCCACTCTAGATGAGGGTATTGATTGTAGCCATTTCTTCTGCGAAGCCATCCAGATATGGGCTCCAAGAGGTAAGACACTAAGGCTAGGAGTAGCCCAACAGTTAGTGTAAAAAAGAGGCCGAATAAGCTGAACGAGGCATATGCTGATGTCCGTATCTTCTGTTGTTTTATTAGGTCATACTCCCATGTGAGACAGGAGGCATCTAGGGCTTACCTGATTGGTACATGACTTTTGGAAAGCAGAAGCCGTGTAGTTAAAACGCGCTTCGTGTAAGTCCGAATCATCGGGGAGATAGGCCATTTCGAAAAATTCGGACTGCATAGTAGCCATCGATATGTCCCACCAATGAGTAACATCACGCTGCCACTGGTTAGGTGCTATTGGCCCTTGAAACCCCGCAAGTAAAGTTTTCTGAGAGGTTAGGCCTGCTGCCCCAAGCTGTTGTAGAACGTAGTATATGTTTGCAGTAGAACTTGCAAAAAAAGAATTCATGAAATATAGAAAACGAGCCCCCATTTCATTCTTAAAAGAGTTAGTCGCAAAATCGACATAAGTCATATTAAAAAAAGGAGCAGCTCCTTGAATCGCATCTCGTAAGCTTGCTAATGGACCACATCCACTTGTGCCTTCAAATGCATTACTACAAAACTGATATTGATCAGTACAGCCAAGGGGTGACGCGGGCTCTCCCGGGATATAGAATAGAGAAGTGCCTGAGTTCACATCGTCTATGTTGATAGAATCAGGGGCAATGGTTAGATGATACCATAGGTCATCCGACGGTTCCGTAAATATGACACCGTTTCCAGATAAAAAAGCAAGGTATATGTCCCCATCCTTCCTAAATATGTCATCTATCGGCCGAAAATCTGAAGCAGCCGCATAAGTTGTTTCATTTTTGACGATTGAGGAATATACACTACGGTCAATAGATCAGCGGGAGATCATGGCTGGGGGAAATACTAGAGCAATATCTAAACTCACCTTAGGGCCTGGTTGGTGTATCCAAGTATTATATCTTTGGACGCCACTCTCGCGTATTGTGATTCAAGGGATGGAGCTGCGTGCACGTAGTCGAAGTCGGAATTAGCATTCGTTCCGTATCGGTAGAAGGTGTACGGTCCAATCGATGAATTCCTCGCATCCCCAAATCCAGTCGTCGTTAACGGTGCGCAGTGGAGTACATTTCTGAACGAGATTCTGTTATGAGGTGGAGCATTCAAGCCAAAGATTTTATGACTGTCCAGGTACCCAGAATCGAGGCGTAAGTTCGTGGAGTCAGTTCGGCATAGATGGGGTTTAAAGGGGCAACTGGCTTGTGTATCTATAACTTTTGGCACTTCCTGTGTAGGGAACCTATTACAATCAAGCAACCCGGTATTTTCGTTCGAATAACATTGTTGCGCATAGTTGGCTGCATTATCAATGGCAGTAGCTATGTTGGATTCTTCAGGTACATACGAGACGTCATCGCCTGACACGGGTACAGATGTAAACCCGCAGTTAGAGCTTTTGATTAATACTTCATTGCCAACCGCTGTCGATATTTGAGAAGAAAATCCACCTGCAATGGTAAACATACTGAGACAGACGATTGCTACGATGGTTGGTGGGAGCGGGCGGAGCCATCGTTCAGAGCTACGATTTGCCCATAATAGGCAGAGCAGCATCTGAATTCCGCTCTCAGGCGATGAAGAATTTCGCAAGATTGTCTGATGTTGGTGATGAACTGCGTCCTGTGGATCGGCTGTCGAGTGGAATCGGTGGAACATAAAACAGATAATCCTCCAGACGCGGGTTGTAACAAAAGCAACAAAGAATGCCGTGAATGCAATAAGTAAATTAGCATCTCGACGACTTATAGTTAGAGTCGACCCCATAACTTGACCTCGAGACCAATTGGTCCATATTCCAACATAGATGGGATAGTGGCTACCTTGCGAACCTGAAGCATCTTGTCCAGTGTCCATGATCGCAGGTATACACTATGATATGATGATGATAGCGTATAAGACAAAGCTCTTTGAATACTTCGCCTTGAGGCTATGAAAGCCTTCTGAGGTATAAGAGGAAAATCCGTAAGGTGCGCATACACAGGTATGTTCAGGGGTCGAAAATGCAGATTGTGGTATTGCATGCCAATGCCACCATCCCAAGAAAGCGATAAAATTACAGGAGATTGTACAAAGCACGTCATGGGTTTATTTGCTCGTGTCTCGTCGTGGGTAACATCCAAAACACTAAATCGGGCCATCTCGTAGTCCACCACCTAAACAGGCATTAAATGCATGTAGGGGGCCAAATGATCTCAGTTAGTTCTGCAAAGTCTGAGCCCCTGGGAGAGGTGTCGCAAAGCCTTTATATAACCCTTTGAGGTATCATCGAACTCGCAGCTCCTACTACGTGTAGTCTTGCATCGAAGTTCACGCCCCAAGGTACCTTGCAAAAACCAAGTTACTATAACGCATGAGATTGATCTTCGTGTGTGTGTTGGTTTTCACCTCTAGGAATCAGACGGCCATGGGCTGATCGAAGAGCATACAGACCTAGGAGGCTAGGAAGCTAGGAATTACATCGTAAAGGGATCTATCCCCCAAATCTAGCATAAAGACCGTGATACCATTCACCTTTGATTTCTTTTCTCTGTTCAAAGCGCGCGGATAATAAATATTTATACCTATCCCTTGAACGCTCAGTATAACTCCGTGACCTATCCAGCCCGGTTTTAAATCGCCATACTACCCCTACTACCGGTGGTACTTGCTTAGTCCTCGAGTTCGCCACAAATTTCTACTATGTAGCAATAAAGTGGCGCTTTGCAGTGATACCGGCAAACTCACGTTTGGATAGAAGTACTAAGATGATGACAGCGTCAAACGCCATCTTGGCAGGTCACACAGAGATACCCTAAAAATTATATTAAATGCGAAAACGAAACTGTCTTGATATAGGTCCCTTGTGCAGCATGCACCTACCCAATCGGAGTTCCTGTCCCTTCTCACATCTACATCTTTCAAGTGATCCATTAGGGATGGCAAAGGGCCTGCTAAGCTACTATGAAGGGTATAAGTTTTGTTTATCCTTATCCCTTCTTCCATTTGACTGTTTCTGATTAGAAGGGGGGGATGACGTGGTATAATTCTGCAAGGTAGATTGGGATGCTAGTTGTACTTAGTCTCAAGGTAGATAGACTATACAACGAGTCCTTTGAGGAGTCAACAGTTTCTCACGCCTAACTTAAAGAAGCCGATTGTGGTGGTTCATTTACGTTCCCAAAGTCTACTAGGGGCTATAGGCAAGCTAACCAGTCATCGCAAGGAGGCAACGTCAATCTACCGCCCCCACCCTGTTGTCCTAATGACTTTCGAATGGTTGCGCGCAGTATACCTGTGACTGCCTCGATAGATTGATTCCGGTAAGTCCCCGTCGGTTTCTTATTCGCTACGCTCAAGGACGGGTCACAAGTATCTGTTCAAGCTCCACTCATGTAGCAGATTTTATGTTACGTTATCATACAACCTGGAACTCCGAGTGCAGGGGAGCCTGGACGATTCACTCTACTCTGACCCTTGACTGATGACACTGCTGAAAAGCATATATTTACATATCTCTTTCAACTTTAGAGATTACCTACTTATACGAAAGGTAGCGATTCAAGAAGTTACTACGCGCCACAGTTCTCTGAGGAGCTTTTCTTTCCAATACTTCACGTTAGGTTGATTGCATAGCTCATGCAACTGTATCTTTTGAGATCTTCGGCCATGAATTACGAAAAATAAAATGGAGATATTAATGATCTACGGAGCAACTGGATATACCGGGGGCATTGCATGTAACCATGCCAACAGCCTCGGTCTCAGTTTTGTGCTTGGAGGACGGTCCCTTGACAAACTTGCTTTACTCTCCGCAAAACTCGCCGCTCCGTACAAAGCCTTCGGCGTGAAAGATGCCAGTTCCATTGCTTCAGCTTTGAAAGGTGTGAATGTACTCCTTAACTGCGCTGGTCCCTTCGGGGAAACAGCCGAGCCTTTGATGGAAGCATGCATTGGGATGGGTGTACATTACTTGGACTTCTCAGCTGAGCTGTCAACCTACCAGCTGGCGGACCGACTGGGCGAAAAGGCAGAAAGAAGGGGCACCATGCTGATGCCTGGGTGTGGTGGTAGTGTGGCAATGCTCGGATGCCTGGTACTTCATGTGCTTCAGAACGTGGAGCAACATGTCGCTAGCATTGACGTCGCCCTGCGCATTGCCGGGCCCATATCACGAGGTACAGCTATAACCGCTAGAGATAGGCTGTCTCCGGAGTGCCTTCAACGGTGTCAAAACGCTCTAACATTGCAAGATGTCAGCAATACTCAGCAGTTTGATTTCGATGATGGGAAAGGTCCCGTTGCTTGCACTCCTGTAACGCTCCCGGATCTTATCACTGTTTGGAAGTCCACAGGAGTACCCAACATCAGGACATTTGTGCATGGATCGGAGCCTTCTACTACCGATATTGCTACGTCACCGGAAGGTCCGACGACTGAGCAAAGGGAAGCCAGTCCGTATCATGCCGCCGTCATAGCAACAACACGCGATGGAAATACGAAGCGCTCTGTGCTTCACACTGTAAACGGATACACTTTCACTGGAATTGCTTCGGTAGAGTGTGCAAGGAGAGTTTTAGCCGGAGAGGCGATGGAAGGGTTCCAAACGCCAGCTGCCGTGTTTGGCAAGGACTTTGTGAAGTGTGTTTCAGGAACCTATATAGTCGACGCTTAGGTCAGGCAGAATAATTGCCAACACCACAGAGTAAAATATAGCGAATGGGAAAATAGATGATACAATCAGGTAGAATATGCCATATACTAAGTCCATACATAACTATCACCTAGACAGCTAGGTGAACTACTCTCTCGCATCCAGACCAGTGCCTACTCGAATGTTAAGGGACGAACCGCAGAACATAGTACAAGACAAGGTCAATTCTGCAAGGCACAAGCTATGTAGTGCTTGACTCAATACCTATGTCGTGTATTATTATTCTTTGCTTCCCACCACCTGCTCTCCTGATTTTATCACGAGGGCACAGATCTGGGCTTGGAACTTGAGGCTAATCACAATATAATGATCAACTATGGTTGTATGAATCCTTGACCAACCACTTCTCAACTCCCTAATCGTGAATACTGACGAGAATAGGGCAATGGCATGCACCGTACCACCTGACAGAATCATCCAGGTTAGCGATGAAGGGTCCCAGGTGATTTGGCGTACACTACATACAACCCAAGAGCTTCGGGATGAATTACACTTATTTGACCAGCTGGACCAGGAACCTCATACCAAACGGCTATTGATCCGAAAAATCAATAAGGCATTCGACAAAAAGAAAATCTAGTTATCTACTGAGCAAAGAGAAAAGGAAGTGCTTCAGGCTCGACTAGACAATATACAAGGCAGAAAAAGAAGGAGGGTATTACCAAGAGCAAATTGAAGCTGGTTATGTATCAGAAGATAGTAGTGATTCAGAACAGTCGGTAGAACTTAGCTGCATTGCCGTTGCTAATGAATTGGTGGAATAATTGGAAGTTGAAAGATGGTGCAGGGTGATGTTGAAGGGTGGGCCAGATGTGAGGTGAGCCTGTAGTAGGTGGCCGACGTTAGTTGCCACGATTAGCAATTATAGGCGCTTATCATGATTGAATCTCAGAACCGCAGAAACTGCGTTCTTATCACTCTAGACCTAGAGACAGCTGATATTATTTAGAGTAGTTTTGCATGAATGCTCTTGTTGTGAGCGAGGTTTAGTTCCAAGGGGGGCCAAAAATGGAGTAATTCTGATTTATGCCGTAAACATCCCACTTGGGCTTAGGTTATATGCACCTGCACTCGTATAATCCATTTTGTTGTCATAGTTGTTGATTGCTACTAATAGAAACGTTACGAGCCCATAAAGTCGGATCTTCGGAACGGGGTCTCGAAGGTATCGTAAAGGAATCAAGCATTATGACAAAGACAGTCTATGTATTGCCTTAAATAGTGAGGATAGCCCTGAAGAAAACCTTATGCGACTACGAATATTCGATTCCCGTACGGCACCTCTTTGATAATGATAAGTATTGTTGCTTACATAACTCTCACTAACTTCAAGCATCTTGATATACCTAGGTAGGTACTCTAGTATTGCTAACAGGTTCATAATCGGAATGTAAGAAATTCAGGAACAAGAAAGATAGTAAGTCAACAGCGTCGAGTCGCTGGGATCGGGTTGCTCCTCCTTACTCGAACGATGCCGCTTCGACTTATACATCTCGAAACTGCCGCCTTTCTTATGCGCATTCAGATAAAAGAAACTTGTATAACTTTTCAAGTTCATTATCAAGATAATAAGGATCATTTCTTTCCATTATCATCATCCAGTAAACTACCGCGTCCGTGTCCCAATATCCTTCACAGCATAAATCTGGCCATACAAATCCGTCACATCAACAAGCATCTCCAGCGCATCAATTAGCTCACCGGGCCCCAACTCTTCTGCCAGAAGCTTCATCGCAGTCTCGAGTCCGCGACGCTCATATTCCGCGATCCACAAGAGCTCTGCCTTAGCCTTTTCAGGCGCAGACAATAAGGAGGATGAGAAGGACATAGTTGTGTCTTGCCCCGGTATTGGTGTCTTGATACCGCGCGAAAACTCGGGGAAGTCAAGAGAATTTAGTGTTTGCTCCTCTGCGTCGCGCGCCTGGGATCCATAGTCGTTATACATTCGGCAAAGACTCGCGAGATGGCGACAGGCATCCTCGGCAAGGTAAGCGGCGCGCGCACCGGCTAAAGCATGAGGATTGGTACGCATCTGGTAGATATACGGGCTAGGATTAGATAACGTGGCGTGCACGAGACATTCCAAGAACACGAAGGAATAGGGGCAGGATGTGTGGTCTGCCGAGACGTCCCGGATCCAGCGGTAGAAGGACCGGCCTGGTCTGTTGCAGGCGTCGCTTTTATTTTGAAGTGTAGAGCTTCCATTTAATCTTGATGCTGCGCGAAGACGGATGTTGTCTTCGGCTTGTGTGACGTGGGATAGGAGGAACGTTTGCAGGTCGAAAGCGAGCCGTGCTTGGAGCCGACCGGGACATAGTTGGACTGCTGGGTGTTCTAGAATCTGTCGCAAGAAGCGTGACAGGACATCCTTTACGCCCCCCATTCATATTACGTGTTCGAAGCCGTTGTGTTGGTCGCCGTTATCGACATCTGTAGGAAGATCGTTATTGAACGAGCTAGAACTCTGATAGTGTTGTTTCGTCGATACTCCGTTGCCATTAGTAGCGGTGACGTTCTGTACTTTGGGCTGGAAGTCTGTAAAAGGCTGTTTAACAAGGCGGCGAATAGAATCTAGGTCTGTCGTAAAATTCTTTTCGAACGCCCCCTCCATGTATTCGTCCGCGCGGAAGTTTAGTAATATCGATAGGACCATCATCCCGTAGAGAACGAAGAGACTCGTCGAGCAGCCCTGAGACTCCGCACACGGCGTGAGGGCTAGTGGCACGACGAAAGTATACTTGTCCTTGCCCTTAGCCGTCCTTGGGAAAACATACAATGGCCGTTGTTGTAAATCTTGCATGGCAAAACATGCTTGCATCTCAGCAATCCTCAAGGTGCTCGGCTGCGTTGTGCGGAATAGAGGGGTGTGAGCTATCAGGCTTCCAGCTTTCCTCATCCCTATCAATAGTTTTTCAGGAACCAAGAATCCATTTCCTGCTAATGAAGGGCTTATGGCAGCGGCTGGTTCCGGCTCGATTATGAAGGGGATAGGCACTAATGAAGCGGCTAGGCAGCATGCCTCGCTGAGAATGTCTGAACTGTATGTAACTTTCTCTATCCATATGTGCTCGCCTTTCGCCCACTTGTCTCGGTTCGCGTATAGAAACGACTTCCCCACGGCCATCTTGGAGATAATCTGTCCCTTGTCCAGTTGCCGTACGAAAGGCAATTTCACCATTGACGACAAGGCCAAAACGGCGAGGATGTAATTTCGCAAATACCGTCCCAGGACCCATTGCTTTGCTGCGTGTGTAGTATGCGCAGAAGAAGTTGCAGGAGAATCATAGGCACTTGCCCCTGTAGGTTGGGGCCACTTTTGTACACAATCTGAACTATCTCCTCGTGCTGGTAGAAGAGCTCGAAGGCTCGCGCCAGAAGCATCATCCAATACAACTCATGACAGTGCTGCGAGAAATCGTCAGTGCGCTTTCCACACGATACAGAGCCAGACTCACCCATTTGTCCTTTATGTTTCCATTGAATGCTTTATTTGCCAGGAACGTCACTATCTTAGTGATCTGGGGAATGAAATCAACGCCGTCATCCCTAGAAAGTAACAACGATAGAACATTGCAGTTGGCACTGAAGCTTGGATTCAGTTCTCCTACGTATGTCAATTGACCCTTCCCCAACGACAAAGACAAAGAAGTTAAATCGCTACACGGAAATCGCGTGTTGCCGAGTGAGTGAGTCTGGGCCGATACCAGATCCAGGCTGGTATATAGGGGCCGTAGAAAACACAACAAGAAGCACATGCCAATTAAATCAAAACATGTTACACGTAAGGAAGATTTTGAATTAATGATCTCATCACTAGGAGAGTCTAGTTTGTTTTCTTTCTTTTTCATTTTGGAATTGAGCCAGTTGCTACACGTGCAACCTCTGTGCTAAGCTGAATATGCAGTTCGCCTTGCACTTCGGCCGTACGAAGGACCTTTGCAGGCTGTTCATAATCTTTCAAGATATGCAGGCAATATTGGGCAATATTGGAAAGTGAGGTTATACAGACTTCGCTTCTTGCAACAGACCCCAGAGACCTAGGCGGTCTGGGCTGGCAGCCCAATTGTATATAGAGTCAAGTCAAGCCACCAACAGCTGAGAAGAAGTTGGTTGGTCAAGGGCTAATGCAGCCCTAGTTGATCATTATAATCTGAATTGCATAGATTCCAAGCCCAGTATTCCTGCCCTTGTTATACCAGTTGAGATAGAAGGCTGCTTTTCGTAAATAAGACAATTGAGTTTAAATTAGTACGAACCCAATACCGTAACCTACAGAACTACACTTTATATAAGATGGTGGTATTCAATGAGTATAAGTAGCTACTAGGTTGTCAATTCGTTCCCCTGCAATTTCCACTCGCAGTCTGCCCCTTACTTGGATCACTTCGCGGCTGTTTCTTGGGACAGTGCACTAAGAGATTAGCATCCTGAAAAACATGGTTTGTCATTCACTAGAACCTATGTTATACTAAGAGAATTACGGAGCAATAGGAGACAACTCGGTGAAGACTAGCTTTACTGTAATTACCCCGATTCTCTGTTCAGTTTTTCTTGATACTCGATCACACATTTATGATCTTCAGATCATCGGCTTCCGCCCATAAGCATAAACGAGGGGATATGTGCCCCCTTGCTCCATCATTTCTGTTTTTACTCGTTCAGGTAAATCCCGCAAGACTGATTCCGGCACATCAAGCCTCATCTCTATGTGAATGGAAGTGACTTCGTGTTAGCTTTGAAGTAGGAGCTATAGGGATTGCTGAGGTAAATTCAAAGAGCATTTCACTCACTCTTGCATGCACCAACAACCGCTATAAAGGATTCCACAAGCATGTTGGCACCCCGCACACCCCAATCGGTATCCTTACATCGTGCCCCAAGATCAATGTCCCTGCGATCATCCCTAACGTCCTCGAAACCCTCTTCCTTGCGCCAGCCTGCCATACTCTTGGCATAATCAGTCCCAGCCCCGGCAGCAGTCAGAAAGGCCGCGCAGGCAGTCCACGCATCGCGCATGGCTGGGCCGTGCACTGTCGCAGTCACGTCCATCTCGACGAGCTGGATCCAGCCGCCCGGCTTAACTAGCTGACATAAGTAGCCAACGATATCACGTGCCGTGGCTTTCTTGGTGCCCCCTGGAATTGTGAATCGTTGGTGTACAAGGTCACACGTGCCGTGTAACTTAGCAGGCCAGGGCTCAGCGATATCATGAATCTCAAAGGTGGTATGCGGTGGAACTATCGAGGGGAAGAAGTTTCTCATGACGTCGGTGCCTAGAAGTGTGTAGGGTTCCAAGAGGTTTGGCTGGATACTGCGCAGGAACAGACCATCAGCCGTTCCAGAGTCTAGGATCGTCAGGCCCGGCCGAGTAAAATCCATTGGCGCTAGAATACGCTTGTTTTCCATGATGTGGGTGATAACGGCGTCTTGCTCAGTCAGACGTGATATCTCCTTTTCTGGCTCCGGGAGCAGATACTCGGCTTCATGTGCCATGGCTGCAAGGTAGTTAGGTCGTTCAAATTAAGATGGCTTGATCCATTTAGCTTTAGACAAAGAGAGGAATAAAATAGTACCTGTGACAAGGGCTCTTATAGAGGGCTTGGAACTTAGTCATATTCAATCTAATAATCAACTAGGGGTCTCTAGGTCCTTGGTCTTCCCTTCTCTCTTCGAGGGGAATTCCTTGGGCTATTTATGCTCATACAATATTGGGTCCTCCTCCCTGTTGGGCATGAATGCCCTAACTGTTGGTTCCAATTGCATATAACAGCGTTGTTCTCATGATCTTGCCCATCCAATCGTCCGTAGCCTTGGGAGGCTATTGGCTGCGGATGGCCTACAAGGGTATTGGCAGACTTAGCGGTCTTAACCATATGACAGTACCTATAAGACAGGAAAAGCACCTGTTTGATGTTAGAGCACGAGAGACTTGGTGGGTTTTCTAATTACGGGCTTGGTTGGTAGGAATATTTCTAACAATGAGGGAACCGATTATGCCGCACAAGAAGGTTGATAGGAGAAAGAGCAAGATCATGCTCCCACCCATCCTTCTATGCGGGGTCTCTCAGAGGTCATGTAGGGTTAGCTTAAGTAATCGCATATATACGTAAGTAAGCGGCGTAGATTGGCTCCCGCCCTGCCTAATAATTACCCTGTCGGCCAATACTATCTCAAATGTCAGGGAATAGTTTCTCGCTTGACTCGCACATTGGGAACACTTCTGTTGGTCTTATTGCTACCTAGGAAATACACCGTCTGGCAGTTAGGTCTCTACGATATCCAGAGTGCTTGACTACCTAGATAGAGTGTGATCCTAGCCTTCGGACGTCCATGTACGGTCAAGTTCAGAGAACCTCATGGATACCGCATGAAGCTAAGTGAGCTGATATTCCACTTCCCCGTGCTTTAAACATTTCTGTAAAATGATATTCTAGAAATGCATATACATAGACTTTGATCTGTCTCAGTACCGCCGCCACTCTAACCCCTAGCACCTAGCCCCTATTTTTAAGGTAGACTCGTGAACAGCTCCAGCAGTTTCGGGTAGTTCGGCGTTCTGTCATAGTCGTACAGCATTAGCAATTTCTTTCATTTGAAGCAAGCGATCTCTTATTTAAAGCACATCTGGGAAGGAAAACCGCCTAAACTTACCCCATTCCAGTAACCGGGTCCCAACCTGGCGTAGCTGGGAATCCAGTAGTCCTGCAACCGCGGTTATCGCCTACTGTGATGTCGTTAAATACCTCGGGACTATAAGTAAATTTCGAGTCAGTCAATAATCTTGATCCATGTACTACCTCTTACGGCTATGGAAGAGTGTGAAGCCAGGATCTGGGTAACTCAGACGCAAGATCCATGGACTTGCACAGGCAAGTAAAAGCTAGCAAAGTCACAAGACAAGCACGAGAATATAGGAACTACTCACTGCGCGTAAAGGATCGGGTGAATGAATCCGACAGGCTTCTTCCCAGCTTCGAGCCTCGCCTCATTAATCAACGTGATGATCGAGCCCCAAAGCGGGCACGACGCCGATGTGCCTCCAATCCGAAGTAGCTCGCCACCACTCGAAATGACGAAGCGATCGCCATTAGCAGAGACATCCGGATACGCGCGTCCAATGCGATTGAAGCGCCCAATGCCATCCTTCGCATTGCTATAATTCTTACCGCCCCCTTCATATCCCTCGAAGCTGAGGTTCGCGCGCACAAGGTACTGCGCGACGGTGTCCCGCTGCCACTCGGGCGCATCGTAGATATTCGAGAATCCGCCGCCGGAGCGGAACCGCGAGGTCGCTACTTCCCCGTCCTTTCCGGCTGTTTTATTCGTAGGCAGATACGTGGATCCTACGGAGAGGATATACGGACAGGTCGCGAGGAACTGCGGGTTGAACACGTCGTGGTTCGGCCCCATGCACCCGCTGGGATTCGCGTACGTCGCGAACCCCGCGACACCAGAGTCGCCCGAGGCGATCATGATCGTGGACCCCTGGAGGCCGAGCTTCATGATCTCGGCGCATTGCCGCTGCTGGTAGGATGCCGGCAGCTCGGACTCGGCGCCACTGTAGGAGATGCTGATGACGTTCGTCGGCTTGTAGATCCCGCAGTTCAGCTCCCCTTTGTAGCCTCCCTCGTGCTGGTTCGGATACTCCGGATCCTTGCATTCGGGACGCTTGCAATTCCCCTTTTCGCCGAATGCTTCGAATGTGCAATAACTACCATCGATGGCATTCCAGAGGTCTAATACGCCCCGCCTCGATTCAGCGCTCGTTCTTTTGCGCAGGGAAAAGGGGCATTTAAACTCGACTTACTATTAAAAAAGCCTGCGTATTCGCCGCTTTGAAGCTGGGATTGCTGATACCATTCGTCGTCTACTTGGAACAGGGCGGGCTCTTGCGGCCAGATCAGTCCGTATGCCATTTGGAAGTCGAGGTTCGACTCTGTCCCGGCGTCGTACAGCTCCGTCGTCGCGCCCTCGCCGCCGTTGACCGAGAGTAGTTCTGGATGCGTTCCATTTGGAATGCCGCTTTAATATTCAATTAGCTACCAGCCCTCACCGACTTCTCACTCGCACGACTCACTCGGTGAACGCCCAGAAGAAGGCATCCAGATCTTGTTGTGTGTAATGCTGTTTCAGACTCTGGAAGATGCCCATCTTATTACTGGCGTGACTGGTATTGCCTTTAGGTATCCCATACATCTCTGGCCATGAAGTTAGGAGGCTGACATTTCCAATCAGCGGTAAACAGGGCCTTACGTCTGATGCAGTCAGGGGTCACGTAGGTATCGCAACCTTGTGCTAGTGTCAGATTACCCGAGAGGATATCCTGAGGTCGAACAGGTTCTACAAAAGGTAGTGATCCTTGAAACTTATGAAACCCAGATTGCTCGCTTGATGATGACCGTTCACGGTTGTGTTTATGTTGTATGCCGCCATTCCCCATGAGCTTAACACCGGGAGTTATGTAGTCCACATGCGATGCAACGTTCTTAGGAATATGGTATCTATAAAAGGGTCAGCGATGTAAGCTGGCTGATAGATAGAAACTCTCGACTAACTCATCACAGCCGATGTCCTTAGTCCCAGTCAGTTTATGCTCCCACACATGATAGTTGGTCATCAGGAGATCTTCTATTTGATTAACGGGTGCGTCGAATTGAATCCACTGTGTTTCTAGATATTAGTGACAAAACTTTCATAACATAGGAAGAATAGGTGAATGAAAACGTGAAGGCAATGCAGCGGTCTAGTCGATAATCCCAGCGGCTGTGCTGACAAGCCAAGGGGGTACAATCTGAAGGCTTGAGTAATATCGTCTCATATAGCATATCCTTCATCTTACTTACCTGTTTATTTGCCGATTGTGAAATCGTATACTCTTCTACACCAGCCTCTATGAGCCAATTCTTCACCACCTGAACACTCGACTCCAACGGAGCAAAGAAATCAACGACTTCCTCTGCCGATAGATGCTTGCCATAATTCTTTGATTTTGGGTTTGATCTCGTGGACAATATTAGCTACTAAATGCAAGCTTTAATTGGGGTATAGACTTACATATCCATCAACAGATTGTGACCGTCCATCAGGTTAGACTGTTTGAATCCGATGCGCATGGGCAACAGTGCCTCGCGCTTCGCCCTCTCCACCTTCGACCAAGCGCTCCCTTGGGCACTCGTTCTCTTCTCATGCCGGACATGAGTGCGCGGAATGACGCGCTTCAATAGTTGAGAGGTTTCTCTCTGTAGCGCATCGGGGTACGGGTTAAGGGGGTTGGCGATTGTTTCGTATGCTGCCAAGCCTAGCACGAAGAGGAGTTGAGCAATCTTCATTTTCAACAATCGCCCTTGTCAAACACTCAAAACCTGATACTCTACAGCATTTTCTCGAGCGCTCGAGAAGAGGCATTGGAGAAGATATATCAGAGGCGCCCCCTCGTACCGAATACTTTGATTTCCCGCACATGGCGTGCTGGCGAAGGCCACTCCCACAACACAGGCTATTGTTGAGGTAAAGCGCACGCGTGCATAAACATATTCAAAACGTTATCATATAAAGTGCTATACAGTAGATCCTATACAGAACCAAAGTCCAAAAGACGGACACACTGAGTTGATTGGTTGCGCCCAAACCTGCTGATGTGGGCAATATAGCCGGATGTTGTGGAGCGGCAAGTAGATGCATCGCGCCTGGGCTGACTGCTGGAATAGGTAGTTGAGGATAGATCTCACGGCCTAACATCAATCGAGACCCAGTAGATCAAGATATGCTGCTTATGCGGGGAACGGAAGCAGCATGAGGTTCGATATTTCCGACCAGATGAGGAGCCGAGTCTTATGCCTCGTATTCCAGGACGTGCTCATCGGAGACCGAGGCCAGATCCGGCCCAATACGGCTGGTCCATCTTCCGTACGACGTTGAGTCAGCTCACTGAAGTTCTAGACCTTCCTTTTGTATGTAATTGCACGTGGTCATATTCAATCTGAATGCAAGTCAAGTTGTTCAAAAGCCTGTGTTTCGAGATATGTGTCGTTTTCTCTTACCTGTTTTTGGTCAAAGCGCATGAATTGAGATTGTCCTGGCATCTTTGGCAGTTACACGAATGGTAATGTATCTTAATTTCTCGTTGTAACCACACTGGACCCTGAGTGTATCTGCAATATACACCATTTGACTGGAACAGTCCATTCCCAACCGTGATCACGTTCCATCGGTTGCTTCCGCCAACTAGTATATGGAGACCTTTTCTTCGACCATCTGTCTAGATCCCATTGTGCCTTTTAGTACACCACTCAATTATGTGTAGGAAATACATAGCTCATTCATTCATTTACATCCCTGTCCATTCCGGCACAGACAAGAAAATCGGATATTTCTGTAATTTTCACCACCAATATGGACTTCGCTTAACCCATAAGCTCACAGCCATCTCTTACAACTCCAACGACAGCACCTGTTTGGATGATCTCATTCGCACCGCCCGAGATCCTGTATTCGATCTCTGCTAGACCGTCAAGCCAGCGAACCATCACCTCCGGTTTGACCTCCATGGTGACCAGCTGTTCCGACGTAGCCGTGATGATATCAGCAAGTGCTAGTCCATTAGCGACCTTGAGGGTGTTGATGGTAGAGAGACATGTCGTCACATCACTCGTCGTCAGCAATGTGTTAACGATTTTGGCGATGGCGTCCGGTGGCGGCGCTGCTATGCAGTTATAGATAGTCTCTGTCGTAATGGTCTCGCGAACGATGTCCTTTTCGGCGATCTTGGGAGCATTCTTCGGTTGCATGGGTGTACCTAGTTTGCGTTTAGTATGCTGTGTGTTCATGATGGTTTGAGGTTGCATTTCATGAAGGGACTTACTAGATGCATGACACGCCTGAAGGACATTCAATGCTCGTCGCATGTCACCTTTGCTAAGTGTGACAAGGGCATCTGTGGCTTCGGCATCGATCTTGACTCCTTCTTCCATGATGACCTTGTCTACTAAGACTCTAATATCTCTTTCTTTTAGGGGACTAAAGCGGAACCGCGTACATCTTGATAACAGCGCGGGAGAGAGCTTATGTGTATAGTTGGCGATGATGCAGAATCGGGTGTTAGCCGTGTACTTTTCCATAATTCGTCGCAGGGCCATTTGCGCTGTGTTGGTCATAGCATCGGCTTCATCGAGCACAATAAGCTTGAAGCCCGCGACGCCCCCAGCCCGCGATGCACCGCCCATGGTGAATATCTGCTTGGTAGAAGCGAACGTCTTGATTTGTTCACGCACGACGTCGATACCACGGTCGTCGGAGGCATTGAGCTCAAGCACCATCTGTCGCATGTTGTCCTGTCCGTATATGCGACGAGCGAGGGCTAGGATGGTCGACGTCTTTCCGGTGCCGGGAGGACCGTAGAGTAGTAGATGTGGGAGACGATTTGAATCGACGAATTTGTTGATGGTGGCTAGTATGTCTTGGTGGCCTGACACGTCGCCAAGCGTTACTGGTCGGTATTTCTCGACCCTTTGCAATTACGGATTAGCACGGGCGTGGGTCTGGAGAAGAGAAGCAACAGCCCTTCTTTATGTTATCTTACCATGGCAGGGAATCTTCGGCCTCAACGGGCAGGTTCGCAGCACTTCGCTTGCCTTTAGCCGTGTTATCTGAAGAGAATGCAATGTCATTAGACGGAGCACCATCCACGTCCATTTCATCCTCGTAGTCAGACATGTCGAGGCAAGCAGAAGGACGGCACGCCTTCAATTCGTATACTAGGTGTTCTAGGCTCAAACAGATAGGTATTTAAGATGTTGATATCAAGCACAATGGTGTTCGCAGGATGTGACAGTCCGCTCCTCGGTGACGATAATGCTGTAGCGACGATATGAGTTAGGTAATCAGCTAAGGTGAAATCCACATCGAGACGCGTAAAGTGAAATCACAGCGCGTCAGTGGGGGCGGGGAGCTGTTGCCCAGGTACCTACGGTACTTGTTGTTCTAGGTGGGGGTTGGCTACTGATTAGATAGGTGATAAGATAAGGATGAGGTACAGTAGTAATCTAGGTACCTATATACCTACTGATTAGATAGCGTATACCGGGTATGTGTAGATATAGAAGTTTTACAAAGGTGTCGCCGTGCTGTTTTATCCGCAATCTTGTTCAAAATAGCAAGTTCATTTATTCTTGTCAGTATACTAATAGGTATTATCTCCGTCTCGTCTTGATTTTTCATATGCATCGCTGAAGGTGTACATACCGGGCCTATAATAATTATAATAATGTTGCCTTCTGAGCTTCTTCCTCGGCCTGTCTAATACACAGTAACGTCCAAACGGCCTGTACCCAAAAATCCTGAAAGACATCGCTTTTCAGATACCATCTTGTTATATGCAACAGGATGGCTTTGAAAAATCCTTAGGAATCCATAGTCTGACCGATTGCACCGTCTTTCAATCGTTCCAAATAAAGCATCGAACTCCTCTCTCTCCCGACCGTGATCATCAATGTTGTGCGGCTCTTGCCGTTTCGGATCCAAGTCTACTTGTTCCAGGCCTTCCAGAATCCAAAATAGTGTTGTCCTGACATAGACATAGCGGGTCACACGGTCCCCTTAGAATAACCTCTCAGCCTCATGCTATTGTGCGAGAAAATGTCGATAGGAATGGTCGCTTTCAGTCCGGTAGTATGCAGTAGAAACTAGCTCCAGAACGAACTTGGTTTAAAAGACACGTGTTCTCCTCAGGTAGGTAGGTATGTCTAATTCGGAAGCCAAGACGACCACCGCCTCGCCACCTATAGTACGTTAGATTGTTGCATGAGGCTCGAGGGTTGGAAATTGATCTCCTGCACTCTGTAAACGAGGGAGGCTATGTGGACTGCTCCGCTTGCCTGCCTACTCCTATTTTGTACAGACCTGCAGATGAGGTAGCTATGGAAGTAACATTTCAAGTCGGCGTGCCGTTGGTTACTGCTCTCTGGTCACTCCCTTAAACGGTCGCTACCCAAAGTCCCCTAACCCATCTTTACATCTTTTTATCGTCGCCTGATGAAGCTGCGACTTGACGTACCTATGAGGAGGCCGTAAGCATGCATGAGTTGACCGGCCAGCGGCAGTTGGTGGGGGTGTTTCTGTCCGCAAGGAGTGCATTACAGACGCAGCCGAGGCCAGATAGGTATCGTGGCAGTGTGTTGGTGGATAAGCCTGTTAGTGGCTGGGTGGCCTGATGAGTTGGCGCCTCACCTACTACGTAGGTAGATCTAACAAGTTAGGTGAAGGGTAATTATAATCACATTGTTGCGAGTACAATCAATACATACATACCTACAGTGGGATATTTAGAAAACATATGGATAGGTAGTACGGGCGGTCAACCTAGGTGGCCTCCAATAGGTATGCTGGCCTTAGGTAGGGGCCTTAGGTATCATCACTCATGCAGCTTATGGGTTCGTGAGGTGTCAGACGACGTTCGTCAAATGACGCTGTTTGCCAGGGATCAGAAACCAGATAGGTAGGTACGCTGGCATTAACCCCTCTCTGTTAGCATATCGCGTAGGTATAATAAGTACATGTGATGATGGGTTTTATATATGCCTAGGTATCTTGGCTGCTAGATGGTTGTTTGGGGATTGTTTATCGTAACATCTTCTCAGTTGGTAGCTATCCTTGAGTGTATGCTGTGTACCTACATCAGGTTTACGCTGTGCCTAGTAGGCTTTCGGCTACGTAGTGCAACATAATATATTTCAGGCGAAATCAAATTTTATGTGCGTAAATTTGTATTCTACAGTACCTCTTCAAAACGACTCTTCTACCACCTAGATAGCCCGAGGTTTCTCTACGCTATTTCGCTGTTAAAGTAGCCAATCATTAATTAGATTTATTATAAGTGGTTTTCAATTCTCTTGGCTGTAACCCTCGCGATGCGCCTTTTGCGTTGCGATATCACCGACAAACTCCGGCCTGTGGAATTCTTCAACAGGACCCTCCCTCCCTATGCTATTTTATCCCACACGTGGGAAGCGGACGACGAAGAGGTTACTTTTCGAGATATTCTAGACGACACGGGACAGAACAAATCTGGCTATAAGAAGATCCGCTTCTGCGCAAAGCAAGCGAAAAAAGATGGCCTGCAATTTATCTGGGTCGACAGCTGCTGCATCGATAAATCTAGCAGCGCGGAGCTCTCGGAGGCTATCAATTCCATGTTCTGCTGGTATCAGGGCGCAGAGAAATGCTACGTTTATTTATCTGACGTTTCAGCTAAAGGAGCCTCCAGGGGTAAACCGCCCCCAAGTCAAGGGCGCAAGCTATGCATCCATCACAGCAGGTGGTTTACTCGGAGCTGGACACTCCAGGAACTGCTTGCACCGAGGATTGTGGAGTTTTTCTCTCAAGAATGGAAACATCTTGGAAGCAAGACTAGATTAGTCCGAGCGATTGGATGCGTAACCAAAATCCCTGATGAAGCTCTCCTCGGTATTGTGGCCTTATCGCAATTCAGCATCAATGAACGAATGTCGTGGGCGGAAGGGCGCAATGCGACGCGTGAAGAGGATACCGCATACTCTCTACTAGGCATTTTCAATGTTCATATGCCGCTCATATATGGAGAGGGTCAGCAGAATGCGTTTGCTCGGCTGCGGAGGGAGATTGGTCGGTCAACACAGTATGTACAAGCAACAACTCTTCCCGGCCCCGTTCGATTCGCTCAAGGAGGAACACGTGTTTCGCAAAAGCCCAGGATTTATCCTCAGTTTCTCGCATGACCCAGAAGATGCACACGTTGGCTAACGAGCTCAGAATTCCACGCCCCCACAGCGCACACCAATTTGTCACGAGAAACTATGCACGACAGTTCAACGCAGTTTCTGGCAGTCAGATGAATAACACAGGCACCGGCAATTTGATCTCAGGCAGCAGGTTTGACGGGCCTGTATATTTCAGCTAGTTTTGCCAGTCTACTCAGGTTGACCCAAGTGGGCAGGTGTGGTCTACTCTTCGAATTGAGGATATGGCTAGCATGGCTACGCAGCAGGCTGGATATGTTTATCTAACGCCACCACTACTTATTGTGCGAGCGCATTGGTGTGTTCTCCATGAAAGTAACGTGTACGGTTACCTGTAACTATGACCACTGTGTCATCCAGTGCTATTTTTCGAGTTGAAGGGCGAGGACGATCTCGCTCAGTTAGATGATTCAACAGAATAGGGTGGTTGGGCTGTCAGACTAGCCTTGAAGCGTTGCTTGTGGTATCAAAGGCAGACTTGGTAGTTCTCCCCAAGGGTGCATGATAGTTAGTTTTTCTTTCTTTGTCTGTTCATTTTTTCCCCTGTACCTTTTCCCTAGGCTATGGTTGGAGTGCACTCGCCACCTTTGTTATCTACAGGAGATCATTGGACAGGGTAATCACTTAGTCAGGTCATCATGATAGAATGGCTTTGGCGTTATTCCTGCAACAAAAGGAGCACATATACCTCCCAGTTATCAGTAGCTGAATAGCCCATGCACATTGCATGGCACTATTACACAAGGTAGCTTACATTTCCACAGCCACTGCAATATTGTGCAATGTAACGTCGGGGTATAGAACTAAGTACATAGTTCATCGTATTCCATTGACCCGATGGTTTCAAAATCTGCCATAGTGCTCCCTATTCTAGATTGTAACCAGCCTGCTTAATCAGCCCTCATGTTGAGGTGAGCATTTGCCAAAATGCAATGAACCATTGAAAATAGCTCCAGGAAACTGGTTGCCATTGCCAGGATTGTTATTCTGAGTGCCGCTTCCGAGGTTGTTGAATTGGTTTGCCGCGTCGCTCGCGATGAAATGGGAACCTGGTTGTTCCTCTGGGATCGAAGAGCCTGCTTCCTCCAATTTCTTTATTTCAGTCTTCAGTTGTTGGGCGTGATATTCTATGAGCTTCTTGGAAGGCTTCTCCTTCGCTAAGTCGCGTAGGCTGCTGAAAATCTTACATAGATTTGTCATCATTTCGATTAACAAGCATTCCACCTTCTCTCTTTCGTTTTTCACCGCGTCTTTATAGCTCCTGAACCTCGAAGTTGCGCTCCCCTCCGCGACGGCCTGGAAGACACGCATAGAAACCCTTGCTTTTTCTCCACAGGCTTTCAGGGAGTTCTTAGACTCACTAGAGAGTAGATCTCTGTTAGGCACCGACTTCAGGTATTGCAACGCCTCATCCACAAAACGCAGTGCTTGACCAGACTTGTGGAAAGCGTCATCGAGATCCGGGTCGCTCTCGACCCTTCTATAGTGCTTTCTAGTCTCTTGGACAGTCTGAAGTATATCAGAGACTGAGCCGGGGATAATGTTGGTACCCATTTTGCACAAGATAGGGTTGTAGTTTTATGCTGAGTTAGGATGGAATTTGTGTAAAAGAGAGAAAAGACAAGCACTGAAAGGAGTCCAGCCGCACTACTCAAACACACCTTTTCTACCTCTGCTGTATGAAAGAAATACGTAGCCTATATATTGATTTTGATAGCTTAGGCTTTAGTCACTTGTCCTAGGATCTAATGCCATGTCAGCAGGTTGGGCACCTTCACATATCCTGCTCATTGCATGAAATATAGGCGAATCATATCAAGGGTAGGTACTTTTCCAACACCAATAACTCATAATGTATTTATCGACACTCTATCTGTACTCCTTCTAGGTAAGAATAAGATATAATAACCCGAGATTCAATATTATGACTAACAGAACATTAGGCTGCTCATATTCTGACTGAAAATCTTGCTGCTCTAAGGCTCTTAGAAGCAGCTGAACTCTGTCGAGTGCTCACCATTGTTTTGGTGGCTTAGTATCAGGGGCCTCGGGACGGAGAAACAAAGATATACACTATATATAGCCAGAGAAGTCTGAATACCTTCTGACTTGAGTCTTACTGTATACCGTGAACAGCCTTTCTGACACTTAGTGCAAACTTCTGGTTCACCCGACCCGAGTAATTATTTGTCAATTCTGTCTTGTGGGAACAACCTAGGGAGGCGTACAGAGAAGCGATGACTGGATGATGACAAATGAGGAAAGTGTTAGAATTATGTCTCAGGCATGTAAAAGCCGGTGGCTGGGTACAATGACACACACACATCTATCTATATAAACGGAGGTACCCTCCTACACTACTGTACCTAGACTGTTCCCTAAGGCAATATACTATACCGTATATCAATCATAACCTAGCATTTCAATCAAAAGGAAAAGGCTAGGTAAGGTTCTTACCATCAAAGTAATCACGGGTTGGTACAGAACTAGCCAGAATACAATCAGTAGGTAATTAAGCACTAAATTATTTGTGGTGATGGAGTTATCCCCTAATCTATAACCGGGATATCTATATAACTGCCAGCAAATTGAGTAAGATCTATTACAGAAGTCTCCCACACCTTTTCCGTATATAGTAGACTAACCGTGTGTACCCTAGATATCGCGACCAACTTTCAAATGCTTGTCCTGTCTTCGGCTCTTGCTTGAAACTTCTCCAGGATGAATCACGATATGCCTCGGAGCGCTACCTGCAATGGAACGACCAAGTTGGGTACCACATGTCGTAACTATGCTAAAAATGGGCATTCTTCTTGCCGTCACCACCCGGAGCAGTTGAAGTTGCCTATCAGAGATCATGTCACAGGCAAAAGGAACACAGATACCGAGGATCCCAGCATTGTTGCCCAGAGTAATGGCAAGTCCAACTTGTATTATAATGCACAATCTGGTACTCAGAACATTAATTCGGGCAATGGAAACCAATTTCCTGAAGCGAAATTCGAGGGAGACGTAAAGTTCTACCAAACCGGGATTGAGAACTGCGGGAATCATTACAACACGAATAATGTCAACAATAAGACTACAATCTCGGAACAGAAAGTATGTCTTGCAGTCTCAGCAAACAACCAGAATTCTCTGCTGATGGAAGTCTTGTGCACCATAGGTACCAGAAACCCCCGAAGAATACCATACTTATGTCTTGAACTATACAATCAACAATCTGCCTGGATTTCAGTTCGATCATGAAGATCGTGCAAGGAAAGCTGCTGAGCTATTATCGAATGATATCGATGGCGACTTCGCCGTGGACAGGGAACTCGCTCAGAAAGTTATCAAGCTTGACATGTTCGATTTCATGATCTTATGCGGTTGGTACCCGTACATTAATACCTTCTCTGAGCGAGTTTTGACATCGTATAAGATAATAGTTATTCTATGCGAAATAAACAAGGGGTGCTCCAAGACACACTCAAGCGTTTGTCCAAGGTTGCGAACATACTCACCCCAAAGGGGATATGCATTCGATTTCTCAACACTATCAAGGATGGTGACAACGATTACGACGGATTGTCCGCAGAAGATATTGAGAAAAGATTTAAGAAGATAGAGTTTAAGAAAGGGTCTATGCTAGGGACGGCCGTGGACAAAAAGATCGTCGAGGTTCTAACTGCGCAGGCACAAAGCGGCGAGCTGAAAAGGCCTGTAATAGTGATAATTATCACTGACGGAGAGGTAAGTCCTATGGTCGAACGTTGTACTTACATACTGACCTATTTGTTGTAGCCACGTAAAGAACCCCGCGACACCCTCATGAAGGCAATCAAGTCTTGCAAAGAATCCGAAGCGATCAAATCGCTCGGTCGCGCAGCTGTCGTGTTCATTGTTGCCCAGATTGGGAAGTCAGCATCAGCCACGGGATTTCTACATGAGCTTGAAACTGATAAGAGAGTAAGTGGCATGGTCTACTGTTCTGTGGAAAGCCTTAACAGGCAGCATACCGATAAGGGTTCACTATCCCCAGCCGGTGATGCACAGTCCAAGGCAAATATTGAGAGAGAAAATATGACCCTTGTAAGTGTCTGAGTCACTTCCACCCACCCTACATTGTGTGTACTGATCATGCCTTTGTCGGCCCCAGATAATTGAGCTATTGTTTTCGGCCTTGCCGAGTAGCTGATTTGCATTGTGACGAACAAGAATCCTGCATTGTATGAGGCACTTTTGGCCCTCTTGCTTTTCGACAGCGATCGGTGACGTATTTACCCCGCAGGTTGATATTACAGGCTGAACGCAGCATGAGCTACTATTGTTTCCTGAACAATCTTATTTGCTTTCTTTCGACTTGAAACTGTTATCTAGCAGTACATCAAGTGGAGGACCTGGGAAGTAATAGAAGTAATATACAATATTAGACGAAATACCTATCTCCCACAGCCCTTAATTTGTTAGTATAAGCTACAAGATAATGTGTCCCTTGCGTCTGACATATCTTGACCCCTTTGCAGTAGCATACATTTCTAGTTAGGGAAGGGTAAGAATTTTCAGCCTGCTTAAATCATAGAGAAGTAGTATCATGAATAGAGTGTCTAGTAATAATAAAACGCCACCTAACATGTAGCTGTACACCAGCTGATCAAGCATGTACAAGGGGCCACCCACACCGTGTTACTCCGCAAAATATGTTTTTCTCATGGAAATGTGCATTCATCTCTTCCTTTGAGAGCATAAGCGCCTTGTCAGACGTTGGTGGAGTCAATGAACGGGTCAACAAGGGTCTGGAGATCGCATATATATTCAGCACACCGCTCAATCACGTACTTGACTCTATTTACAGCTTGTTTACAAGTACCCGTGACTATACATTGCAGGGTTCTTGCGTGTAATTGCAACAAGGGTAAACGCCTTACTCCAAATGTTGATCAAAACTTTTCGAATGAAGTGGAATGTCGGACTCCATACTCGAACAGCTGTAATAGTCACATGGAAATTTGGGAACCTAGGCTTAGAGATCTCCGCAGCAGGGGCCGTCAATTTCAATGTTCAGGTCATAACAAGTGCCGGTCCGGGCTACCGGTATCTGAATTCCCAACTCGACCATTGACTTTCAACATCATCAACTGTTATCCAAACCACTCGCAGTCTCGATCTTTCATATGCTACACCCAGCCATGCAGGCATACTTACATCCCTGTCACATCACTGCATAACGGCGTGTTGACAAGTTCAGTTCAAAGTTCCCTGATTACTGCGTACATCAACATATGGCTAATTATTTCCGCTATGGGTTCCCGAATTGGGTCACATTGTCACTCTCATCGCATCATTGCACTGGCAGCCGTTTTTGACTATCATCCCTAGCCGCACAGCCCAGTCGTCCCGCCCTGTCTCTTTAATGAGCTCGTCTGCGAGCTCCTGTCGTCGATTATATGGTTTCGGTTTGCCCAAAACGCTCACAATCTTGCCATGCATTTGTAGGTCCTTAGTGGTACCATTGACGATTGCGAGCAGCCCGGCAGAGGCAATAAGAAGGACCAATAATAGGATCTGGCCAGACTGCTTCAGGTTTGTGACCAGGGCGGCGTCAAGGTACACAATGACTGTGGCTAGGGCTGTAGCCCAGCTCTCGGCTATAGTCTCGTCACGGAGCCACTGACCCGACGTCACAAGCTTCAGGTCGTCTACGGTGCCCTGGATCCGTATCCAACGGTCTTGGCTGAGCAGGACAAGCAAGTCGCCGTTCCTCCCGGGCTCAGGCGCACCCGACCAGCCAGGTTTTGATCTCCTGCGGATGACAATGGTGTTGCAAAGCCTCGTTAAAACAAGGAGGCCGATCACGGCAATGCCCCACCAGTCTTCAAAGATGCCCATGAGGATAATGACGACAATAGTCAGTGACACACTCAACCCATATGCGACAGAAGATATCGGTGTCATGTTGTGATACGAAAGCAAGGCGGATAAGAGTCCGCCATAGGCAGAGATTGGTTGTTGTTGTAGTTTTTAACGTCGTGAGGGGCAGTCTATCCGCCGCAACTCTGACCTCCCTTGGGGTACTAGGACGTGGCGAGCTCTAGCTAGGTTGGTTACATGAAGTTATTCCCATAAGGTTTTCTCCGTTAGGTCTTCCCTTTCTGTATCCCTTCCATCGTAACTAAGTTACCAGATTATACCTTCCGTGGGCTCAACATTCCATTGTTCGTGGTCACTACGGTTTGATCCGCCAAGCTGAGGGCCATTTATCCCTCTGTCTTTTATCGCTGTATCCAGCGCGGTATCTTCTATCGGCTTAGGCGTCCGCCCTTGCCTTGCTGTTCATTGATTACTAACAATCGTTTTCAGTAGCCGCGCTCGCGGCTTGTTTTGTTGTTTTGTTGTTTTTGTCGTTTTCTATTGTTTTTGTGTTTTTCCGTTTTGTCGTGACTCAAAGAAAGTTGTTATGTCTGGAGAGCTTGGGGGAGCACCACCTGCGGTGATGGTTGCAATCTCGTGGTGGGATTATTATTTCAAAACGAAACACTCAATACATTTACCCAAAGGGAAGGTTGGGGCGGAATATTATAGAGCTGACATAGATTATAATTTCTCTCCTAAGCTCCTGCTTTCGCGCATAATGACAATTGAGACAACACCCATCTAGAAACTATTAGTTCAGCCGCAACATACTTCCAAGCACCACCCTCCATTTCCTGTTATCATCGACTCTAACTGAATAAGACAAAAGCTCATCCGCTTCTGGTCCGAGTTCCTACCTGTTATCACTTTTCGACCGCCAACAACCGACCGATTTCTTTATTCCGCTGAGAACCTACATAATGATGGCTATTATCACGGAACAACATAAGGAGTGCAGTACCTATGCCATTACGCTACCAAAAGGTAACGACGAGTTATCAAGTCGAGGGCTTGACGTCTCTGCACTCACTATATAGTACTATACCGTAACAGCTATCAGTCCCCAGAGTATCGGATTGCCGAAACTGGGCCCAAGAGCTCAAGCCAAATTAGACCGCCTTACTTTCCGAGAGCCAGGCGATGAATCGGCCAAGAAACGGAAGGTGTTGGAATAGGTGGAGTAGGGTACACTCAAGCCTCTGACTATATGTATCACTAGATTCCCCCAGGACTTTAGGTCCTTTGGTTCTTCTCTCTTCATCCTGAATACTACACACTTCTGCTTACCTTGTATGCGTCCCCACTTCCTTTGACAGAAGGAACGCCTTGAAAAAGAACTTTCTCAACTGAAGGCAGAGGAAGATGATTCAAAAGAAAAACTGGATGAAATGCGAAACAGATACTTACCTCGTACCGAAGTGGAGGAAGTGGAACTATTCCTCATAAGCATCAACATGAAGGTGAAAGACATGAATGACGAAACTCAAAAACTGTGCAACGATGTTGGAAAGCAAGTTGATGAGACGAAGCGGGCACTGGTCCAAGCCTTGGCTCCTAGATTAGTCGTGGATCCACAAAACGTCCGAGCCTCCAGGAATTTGAAAAAGAAGAAGGAAAAACTCATCAAGCTCCAAAGGGATTATGATATTTCAAAGCTGAGATTGATGATATGCGATTATGAGATTTTGGATCTTGAGACTAAGATCACGAGAGCAGGAAGGCGCGAGGAGCAGCTTGAGGAACTCATCGGCTCACCCACTGATAAACACGCGTTTGATATCTACACCAATAAAGCGATATCACAGACAATTACCCGAGTTTCAATTTCAGCTCTGATTCTAGCAAAGGAGCATCAGAGTCTGACCATCCTCTGACACGGAAAATGCAAACACAGACTGTGGATATCACAGCCGAAGATGGAAGCATGGAATCCACAGCAGATGAGAACATTGAAAATACAGAAAAGCCAGAAAACTTGAATACCAAAGCTATAGGTCCAGTAGCAGTAGCAGAAACAATCAACAGGGTCAATGCGGACGCAAGCTCCAACTCAGATAACCCATCAGAGGTCACACCGCATACGAACATCGGAGAGAACCCGGAGACACAAAAAGAGGCGCAAAAGGAAGCAAATCAGCGTGCCAAGGATCTACGTCAGAAGCAACAGCGCATGAAACGCAAAGCTGATAAACACGAAAACCGGCCCAGTAAGGTCAAAGAAGCGAGAAAAAGGTGCATAAAAGATCATGACTCTAACAAGGAGCGTTTGACAAAACTCGAAGAGGAAATCAAGTCATTAAATGTTTCGAATGAGAAGGACAAGGGTGGACTTGACGTAGAAGGCGAAACTGACCGAATATGGCAAGCAAAAAAGTACAAAGACCATATACTAGATGTGGAGGACTTGGTAAGGCAAAAGAACCGGGAAAAATCGTTGGAAAAGTTACGCAAAGGGTATATTAACAGCAGTAGAACTGTCAGGATAAGACTAAACCTAAGCGCATGGATCAGCTACAGCGATATTTGGGAGTCGGACTCCGAAGAAGAAAGCGAGGACAAGCACCTTCAGTCCCTTAGAAAAGTCCTTGACGAGGTGGAAGCCATAGAGGAGAAGATACGCAATATTCGAAGACTAAACGAGAAAGTGGACAATGTGGCGGACAAGCGAATAGTTCTTGAAAGAGAGCTTGACTTGGAGACTAAGTGGCTTGCTACTCGAGATAAAGCGGCGGCATCAGTCGAGAGAGAAGACCCCGTGGTCCAGGAGGTCAGGGATCATTTCTCTAGCTCTACACCATCCGGCTTCTACAAGCCTCTTGAAGAAGGACAGATCAGGCTGTTGGTCGTGTGGCCCGCCCCAGCCGACCATTATCCTCTCTTGTGTACCCTCGAAACATCTACATTTGGTGAAGCACCAAAATACGCTGCTCTTTCCTACAACTGGGGCTCGGACCTCTGCAATGGGAGGTTATATCTCGTCAAAGATAACGCAGCAAGGAACACAGAGAAAGACAGCTGGGGTTTGACAGCGCGGTATGCCGTGCGCATCCCGATTCGCAACAACCTTTTCCGGGCATTGCTTCGACTTCGAAGATCGGACCATGCTATATCTATCTGGGTCGATGTTATGTGCATCAACCAGGCTGATGTAACAGAAAAGACAAAGCAGCTTGAACAACTAGTCAATATTTACCGAAAGGCCGAGAACGTATGCATTTGGCTAGGCGAGAGTGATAAGGAAAATCGAAGCACAGCCGCAATGGAATTTATTCCAGCTATTATGGGTTTTGCGGTCCTAGACAGGTATGCTCAAGACCCCAGCCAGGCTGAGAAATGGTATGGTCTCGCGGAGCTTATGAGAGATCGGTGGTTTTCACGACGTTGGGTTGTGTAAGAGATTTCTTTAGCACGCCAGGCTACCATTCACTGCGGCGGCAAAGTAGTGCAGTAGCGTGACTTTGCCGACGCTGTTTCTCTGCTCGTTTCGAACCAGGAAACCATTAAGAAGTTATTCAATTATTCAAAATGGAGAGACGGCCCAAACACTCTTGGCGACATCCACTCATTTGGGGCTTGTATCCTCCTTGAAGCCACAAGCAAGTTGTTTCTTCGGACGGCACAGGGTGAAATTACGAGCCCGATCAAAAAGCTCGAATCATTGGTTACGTCACTTAAAACATTCGACACCACCGACCGAAAGGACCTCATTTACATTCTGGTGTCTATCGCCTCTGACACTCCTCAAGCTCGAGAAATATACGCTAACAAACAGCATGAGGTTGTCCCACTCGTTGTTGACTACGCAAAACCGCCGCTTAGGGTATATAAAGACTTTGTCAAATTTTGCATTATGTCTTCAAAATCTTTGGATGTTTTATGTCGCCCCTGGGCAATGCCGCCTAGGAGGTCGGTTGCAACGGAGAATGAAGCAATCGACCTACCTTCTTGGATCCCTTTGCTGTCTCGGTCAGAATTTGGCATTCCCGAAGAAATTTACAGTGGTAGAAAGAATGGAGAAAATCTGGTCGGTGCTGTTGATCGACCAAACTACAAAGCATGCGCCGAAGCCAAGTATAATGCTCAGCTCTCAAACGAACCGCTAGAAGACTTGAAATTTCTTCTCGTGGATGGCTTCAAGCTAGCCAGGATTGGGAAAGTATCATCCAGAATCGCCGGAGGCGTTATCCACCGAGACTCGTTGACAATGGGAGGGTGGCGTGGCATTAATGAAAACACCACCAGCGTTCCAGACGCAATCTGGCGAACGCTCGTGGCTGATAGGGACCAAGACGGGCAGATACCTCCAACTTGGTACCAACGAGCATGTATGAGGTGCCTCGAGATTGCAGACACTTTCAACAATGGTAATCTCAACATCGGTGAATTGTTGAAAGGCAAATCTGAGCTTATACGCAAATATCTCATCCGTGTCCGTTCTGTGACGTGGAATAGACGCTTCTTCGCGGCCTCTACGGAGAACGAGTCTCATAGCATGATCACGACACAGACTCCCAACGAGGAGGCCATGCATGAGGGCGGGCAAACTTTTACTGAAGCAACCACGGCCAGTGGCCATCATACAGATGGGAGGACAGAGCTGTTCCGGTCTCGGGCCGCCGGATATGATGCAAGGTGATTACGTATGTATCTTGATGGGTTGTAGCGTGCCTGTTATTCTCCGTCAGGAAGGTGGGTGCATGAGATTGATCGGAGAAACTTATGTCCATGGGAAGATGGAAGGAGAAGCCATGGAAGACCTGGAGAGACGGAATATCTACGGCGAGAAAGTCACGTTCAAATTGAAGTAAAAAGGACTATCTTTACGAGTGACGCATTGGCAAGGGCAGCAACACCATCTTGGATGAGAAGGGTAGATTCAGATTGGGGTCGATAGTTTTTTTATCCAATTATTCATTGGCGAGCGATAGACAAGTGGGAATTATGGCACTTCGTCGAACTCCCGGACTTGTATGGTGAGGTTTTTTTCTCAAAGCCTATTACCTCTACTTCTGACTTCTGACATATCTATATGTACATATATATTCATCCACGTCGCTGGATTATTCAACTCCTAATGTGCAAGGGTCTACTACACTAGGCGACAGCCTCTACATTTCCATCCGCCATGGTCTGAACGACATCATCAACGGTGGCAGCAGCATCAGCAGCCGCATCGTTTGGGTGTCCAGCCATGCATCCTTCGGCTTCTGCTTTTGCCCCCTCGAGACTTCGCGGCGGAGGCGAGGACGCGGGCAGTGGAGTCTCCCGAGAACCCGGCCGGCGTTGTCATAAAGAGAACTGACCTCCCTGTGCAATAAGAATCACACAATTGGAGTTACGAAGAGTGTGTACGGGATAATCTTTAGCACAATTTAGGTTACGACGATATGAGCGTCTCCTTTGTCCTGGGATTGGCTTGTGGTTGTTGGTTGTTAGCTGCTACAGGGGGGCCCTGCTTGCCTGCACTGAATATCAGCTAGGAGTTAGGCTTAAACAGCAAACGTGTGGCGGGGTCCAGGGCCACTCCAACTCATAAAATTTGGTTCGCACTTCCTGTCACTACACTCAGGAGAGAATGACTCTCAGCCAGAAGAGCCAAATCATTCGCGCCCCCTCAGAGGAGCCTATCGCGGGAATCAAATCCGTGTTCCTTGCTGGCACAACCACCGCACTCGGCAATGTTGACTGGCGCGAGAGCCTATCTGCCCTACTCGCCGCGTACCCTATAACTCTCTTCAACCCCAACCGCCCTGACTGGGACAGCACATGGCGCGAGGACATCACATTTGGTCCATACCGCGAGCAGGTCCTATGGGAGCTTGATAAACAAGAGAAGGCGGACCTTGTGGTGGTGTATTTCCACCCGGCTACAGTAGCGCCGATAAGCCTACTTGAATTCGGTCTGTCTGCGAGAGTGCCAGGCAAAGTCATCGCCGTTGCTCCAAAAGGATATTCGAAGAGAGCCAATGTGCAATTAGTCTGCCAGAAGTACGGTATCGAATTCCTGGACGCTATCGACACACTGCACGAAACTATCGTTAATAAGTTGTCTCTCAAGCAGTGACTAGTTATCTATCTGCTTTTTCGCTTGGACGCCGAGACAGGATCTCGATCCACCCCACATCGTCGGGATTTGAAGCGCAGGATATGGCAGGATCGTCTACAGCCTCTTCATCTCTGGTCTGATATTGCATATTCTTGGGGAAGCCATCGGGTATCGCTACCTCTCATTCTTAATCGAGTTTTTCTATTGTGGCGCTTTCTCGGCATCTGCTTCTTTTCCAATTAGTAATGAGCCGCTATAGAATATTTTTTGGTTTGAGAATGATTTTATCTTGAAGCCCTGATCCCAGACATTGATATGATCTCTAGAGTTATGGGGTGAAGCCACCACAGCACATCAGTGTAGGACTTAACACAACACGAATAGCTACGAATAAAGAAACCTCGTCAAGCCAGGAACACGGCCACCGGCTCTAACTACATATGCATGCTGCTCGAAGAGAGGCTGGTCCTTCGGACACCGCTATTCACATGTTGCTAAGTAGTTTATCGTATATTGAAGGCAGACTCTGAAAATATATATCTTATTGTCCTAGCTCCTGATCTATATCAATACATCTAGGGATAACGGCGAATAGTCATCGCGCGAAACGTTCGTCGCGATATATCTCCTAGGTTATCCTACATGGACCACTGTCTCCATCCCAAAATTCCACGGTATGCCTGCAAGCTATACATAACTGTGTCCTCTAAGCACGATGAAGAGATTGGGCATTTCGAACAATGGCAACGTGGCCAGCTCCAGTGAAGTGCGGCATGAGCTTGCCCGTCTCTCCTACTTCCGGGCCGATCATAGTCTGCGGGAACCCGGGGTCAAAAGAGGTGACAGACTCCAGGTACTCGACCTGCTTCTCAGTCAACTTAATGCTGAGTGACTGGATGTTATCCTCGAGATGACTGATTTTACGTCCCCCCACTATCGGATACACATATGGGTATTTGTAGAAGATATATGCCAGAGCAATTGCCGTGATGGATTCGATACCGTGTTCCGCAGCGACCTTGGCGAGGGCCTCGCTGATTTTGATCTCGTCTTCAGTTTGGTCTGGCCTATAAAGAGAGCGGAGCGTTTCGCCACTCTTCTTTCTCTCTTCGACCTCCTTCGGGGTCTTGAACTTGCCTTGGCCGAGGGTGTCCCAAGGCGCCAGAGCCATGCCGAAGTGCCTCGCCATGGGAATGATCTCACGCTCGAGATCGCGAACGATGGCGTTCCAACGGCCTTGGTAGATGGAGAAAGGAGTTTTGCCGTGCGCCCGAGCGTAAGTGTTGGCGGCACTGACAACCCACGCGGGGCTATCAGAAATGCCGAGGTACAAGACCTTGCCTTGCTGTACCATAATGTGGAGGGCGTCCATGATCTCTTCGATTGATGTTGTCCAGTCCCACCAGTGTACATACAAGATGTCGATGTAGTCAGTCTGTAGCTTTTCAAGCGAGTGCCGCAGGGACACATGCAAGTTCTTCTTGTGGCTGCCACTGGCGTTGACTACCTTCCCTTTGCCATACTTGTGTGACTGGTAGTCGCTGGTGTACTTGGTAGCCATGACGATTCTGTCTCGGTTCTTACGAGACACCATCCACTCTCCGAGCCAGCGCTCAGATTCTTCATCTTGATAGATGTTTGCCGTATCAATGAAGTTACCCCCCTTTTCGAAGAACGCATCAAGTAGCTCGAAGGACTGTTCTTTATTCATGCTCCCCATGAACTCAGACCAGGCACTCCCGATTGACATGGCACCGAGGCAGAGAGGTGACACTCGAACGCCCGCAGATGGGCAGAGGATACGATATCGACCGAGCTCGGTCGGTGGCTCAGGGGGGACCTGTAGAATAGACATGATGGATACTAAAAAAAAGCGAAAATCGTGGGAAAACTCTAATTAACAGTAATCTTGTGGTATAGCAATGCACTTGGTGTTCAAGAGACTGCATAGAGTGACGAAAGGCGAGGACCTCAGCTTCTTTATATTTTCGAAGCATATTGATGACCATACGCAGACCTGGTCAACATCTTCCTATCAACGGCCTATGGGTACTTCGCTGCGCTCAGCCAACATCTTACGAATACCTGTTCACCATATGATTCGCCACTCCGCTCACCATCATCCGAACTACCTCATATTGCTCTGTTGATACTCGCAGCACGCATTTGGGCAAAAGTGATGTTCAATACTAGGTGTCTATGCTTGGCGGACTTTGGACAAGGGTCGACAGACTAGACTAGCGGGGTTAGCGGACATATCTTCTTACCACCCATGCGGAGTTTCACCATCTTACCGTGGACTTGCTAATGCAGGTTGATGACAGTTGCATACTGGGCGGATCTATTCGTACAGAAAGCCTTATAGCCATCGATTACTCATTTGATATCATGAGGTAGCGGACCATACCTGGTAATTACGCTGAAACCTCGTGTATCCATGCTCAGGTGAGGAGGCCCATGATGTCGCGTCTATATCCGTTCTTGTGAGCGGTCTGCCAAATAAGTATTCCCCGACGTTGCGTCAGGACGCAATAGATAAACTGCATCTGTCATCCATATGCATGGTTGGCTGGCTCCGCAGCGCCTCCTACTTCGTAAAGTTCGTCACGACAGTGTCCGGGACAGCGGCAGAACAACCATTCTCGTACCACGCTTTCGTTCCACCAGCCATGGCGCAGTCTTCAAAGCTCCCCTTCGATATCCATCCGGCGCTGATACCGTGGTCTCGCGAGGACGTTTTGCAGGGCATAAGTGACACCAGGGAACGGAGAAAGTTGCAGAATCGGATCAATCAAAGAGCTCGACGTATGTGATCTACCTTCGATTGGCGACTTGTGTCTAACACCGCTCAGGGACCCGTCGGCGACAAGTTGCGGCCAAAGCTACCCCTGGCGACTCCATTCATGCAGATGTCATCCAAGCTGATCTCCCCCTACTCCTAAGGCGTGACCAGACCACGCGGATACCACAGGTGGATTTTAGGAAACTCTGGCATGCGATAGAAACCCATGATCCCCGTTTCTGGGAAAATGAGCCGTACATTCGCGCGTTCAAGGATTTCATGTACACGAATTGGCTGGCGCGAGCGCCCAGGCCAGCCCTGCTACATAGTCTAGTCCAGTTCAACTTTGTTCACGCATTACTAGCAAATGCTGCAGTCCTTGGCATCACAGCCAGCCAGCTTGGAGGTGCGGGCATTTCCCATTTCTATGTGGTAAGACCATTGCCACCTGGTGTAGACTCTAAAGTCAACGAGCTTCCTTCTGGGCTGCAGCCAACCGAACTACAACGCCAGACGTCGCATCACCCCTGGTTTGATCTTCTTCCATTACCCCAAATGCGTGACAACTTGCTTCGTCATGGCGTAGAGGACTTGGACGAGGACAGTCTTTGTTGTACTATGGGAGGCTTCGAGGAATGCAGAGAGTCCGGGTTCATTATATGGGGTAGTTCCTGGGATGTGTCGAGTTGGGAGGTAACGGAAGATTTCGTTCGGTCCTCATGGGGGTGGATAATTAATGGGTGTTGGGAACTTCGCCAATCAACCAACAACTGGCGGGCAAAAAGGGGTGAACCACCTCTCTTCCTCCCAACCGCAGAAGTTAACAGTGATAGACACGAGAGTTAGAAGCGTATGTTCTCATCATTTCTTACTCAGATCTTCACTACCCAGTTCACAGTCTCAGTTCACAAGCCAATCTCGTTCTCATTTGCAGGGCATACGACAGATTCAAACTCGTAGTTTTTGACTTTGTCTGCAGAAAACAAAGAATACCTCAGGAGTTTTCGTATTCAAAAGACAAAGTGACGTTTGGGCACCTTAATGAGAGCAATCAGCTTCCCTAGTCAAGGCAACAATCTCTTTGTTTGATAGCAAGTCAAACAAATACCCCAGCAATACAAACCTTTAATCAAACATAAGCAACGGAGCTACGTCATTCACACACTCGGAGAAACTGCGTCTTGTGGCCAAGCTATAAGCATCCCTTATGTCGTTCCAATCCAGCTTCTTGACACCATGCATTTTCATAGCTCTGTATAATCCTAGGCGTGTCCAGATCCTATCTATATCAATTGAGCACACTCCAGCAGCTTACGAATCTCTCCAGGCCGTTCAACTTAGCATTCAGACCGAGCACTTGGGACACGGGTCACGGATCACGAAAATGAACATTTCAATTAGCATTGGCATTACTATTATATTGCCTTTTATGGCAAAGTCCTGTAGCAGTGGCACATTGCCCACCTTCCTGAGAAATCAACCCCAAACTCCAATTCTCAACTCCTTCGCTTTCATTCGTGTACAAAACCAACCCATATGTATCCAGTGTATGCCCGGAAACGCCCCGCCCAAAAGACCCGAAATCTCTTCTCCTCCCAAGTGCTTTATGCAGACCCAATTATTGAGACAAATGAAAATACAAAAAAGGGAAACGAAAAAAATAGTATAGGCTGTACGCCAGTCATCGCTAATATGCTATACACCTCTGCAGTAAATGGCAGGGAAATGATGTGACAGATCCGAAATCAAGGATACAGATTAGGATCAGCAAAGCAGCGCAGCTGCTGGGTCTGACGGCGTGCTACCTCTCGTGCTGGTGGTATTGGGCTGTATCCTTCCGTTGTACAAGTGGTTTTGATGAGTAGAGAGTCACCGAGCCCATAGCGAGCAGCCAGGCCACTCAGAAAGTGCTTATGGGCCAACGACCAGAGAATAGAAGGTCTTCCTCCTGCTCGAAGAGGGCCTTCATGAAACGCGAGTACCAGAGAGTGACAGGCTTCTTGTCGCCGCTTGATTGTGTTGCCTGTGCTGCCTCTCCTGTCGCAGCCGTTGCCTGGTCGCCTGACGACGCGTGGTTAGAAGATTTATGATGTCTGGAATCTGTTGGTGAATGTTGATGCAACAAGCCGAGGAGACATTTCTGTTGGACTTGCTTTCCAGTGGAGTGACTCTTCTTCTTCTTGTGCTTTTCGGTCTCCTTGGGCTTGTCGGCGCGAGCTGCCTTCACAGCAAGTGAGATACCGCTATATTCCACCGATGGCTTGTGGAAGTCTCTTTTTCGCTCAAAAGTGAGCTTGGCAGGCTTCGGCTCGAGTTGCTGTTGCCCCCTTGCCGCATTCTGGGTGACTCGTTTCACGTAGGGCGTGCGAGCAGCTGGCTGAGGCGGTAGGACTATGTGCCGTCGGCCGTGTTTGTCGAACTGGACGTGTTTTCCAAGGTTCTTTGGTGGTGTGAACGATGTGTCCGAGATAGCGTCAGACACATTACCATTGGTGTCATCGTCGTGGTCTGCAGGCTTTACAGCTATTTTCTGTTGCTGCGATCGCTCATTGGCGACTCTACCGGACGAAACCGCTTTCTAAGCGGATTTCACCGGAGAGTTGTCTCGGTGAATCACTCCAAGCCTCCGAGGGCCTCGTTTGCGAGGCTGGATCACCTCGATTTCAAGGTGCTCAGCCGCCCGTTTCTGGAGGTTGAGCCAGAATCGAAAATCGCCTAACTCCATCGCATTTTGTGGTAGAGTTGCTGGCAGTCCTTCTTGGAGCGCTGTCACGATTGTGAAAAGCTCTATAACACGCCAGCGAGGGTCATGTTCAGCCAGTTGGATCAGCATATTGGCCATTGCAGTGAAGGCTTCCGCGCCGTGAGCATCCATTTTCTGAATATTGGTGATACGATTCGGCACTTTGCAAATTGCTCTTGGGGGGTTTTGGTTGTGTGCAGCAGAACGCGGCGGAAGATGATGAATTTATGAGCAACTAGAGCGCAAGAGGCATGCAAATTCGTCGCGACAGCAAATGTCGAGCGCAGTAGAATGTGAGAATAGCAGATTACGACGGAGCCGTTGATAGAGTAGATCGTGAGGTGGGATCAGGTCGTGGAGGCTGAAGACTTGGTGGTGAGCGAATATTGAGTGAGATAAAGTTGATGACAGAAGGAAGAATAAGTAGGAAAGTTAGGTAGGAGGAGGAAGAGATATATATACATTCTCGAGTGGAGGGTGGGAGATAACGAGGTGCCCACCACCACGAGTGGTCGGTGGTCAGTGGTCAGTGGGCAACAAGTACTCACGCGTTAGTTACGCGGTAGGTCTCTCAATGGTGACGCGATTCGCACTCTCAATGTATGTTACTGGGCCACTAGTCCATTGACATGTCCATTCACAATACCTATTGAGGAGGTACGTTAATGAATTGAACCGTATACTTGGGCCTTGTCGTCGCGTCCCAAGTTCGCGTATTGAATAGCAAATAACTGAAACGGCAGATAACGTCGATTGCGCAAACTCCAATTCACATCATTGTAGTAGATATAAGATGGGGTTTACGAGAAAGGTTTAAGAGAAAGCTGGGCCTATTGAAGGCATATATGGCTGATACTAACAATCGTACAAACACGGGGAATTAACCTCTGCCTCTACTACTCCAGTTACAAGGAACTATACATATCACGCCTGAATACAACACCTGACCGCATATCTTTCCCATTCTTATCCTCAAGTGGTTATAGATATCTTACTCAGTCACGGGCGTCCGAAACCGAAGGGAGATATCGTGATACCTTACACCTGCGATACTCTACAAACTCCTCATCCATTCTGCATTCAAGTTCGAGGATGATAAAGTTGCTCTATATAAGCGCCATCATTTGGAATACTACTAATACACACGGCAACTCGTCACACAAGGGCGAGTTGAACCGCAAGGCCCCGGGCATTCGTGCGACTTCGTTCAACCTAGATTCGGTGAAGCACGCGAAATTGTGTAATGTGACAATGCATACTTTCGTAACTTAAAAGAAGTAACCTGAATAAGTAACTGCTTCACAAGTCAAAGCTTGTTCCGGATAAGCATTGATTCATCGTCGTCAATTCAAGAACTCATCTGCGTCACGTGACGAGTAGTTGGCCACACCACTAATGCACACAACCGAGCAAATCTCGAGTATACTACCTCGAATAAGCGAGAGACAAATATTTTAGGACAAGACACAGCGACGGGAACGTTGGGGATTGATAACCTATCCGGTATTTGTGGCCTACTGGTATATGAATACATATAATACATCCCTCAACGCTGGTCTCCAAGATGAACAATAGGGGAGCGGGGTTGAGAGTCTGTGCGAGTCACACGCGCCTACTTTCTCCCCTTCCCACAGTCAAACGTACTATCCTCTTTCAACCAGGTCTCGAAATCCTGTAACCGCGGCTCCTCGGCTCTAAGCTTCTGAATATCAACCCCGTACCCCTCCTTGTCGAAGAAATTGAACATCCGCCCAAGCTCCTTGATAGCCCAGCGCATGCCGTATCCTACGATCGTCCAGGCCTGCGGCAGCTGGGTACCCGAGACCTTGCGATAGATGGACCGCGCGTCGAGCAGCGTCAGTTCGTCGCCCGCGAGGCCAAGGGCGCGGTTCGTGTACTTCTCCGGGCGAAGCAGTGCGTCCACGGCGAAGACGCCGATGTCGCGCACGCTGACCATTTGCAGCTTGGTGTCCAGCGGTAGAGTGCGCCACATAGCTGCCATGACGGGCCCGAAGCCTGATGTAGGATTCATATTATCCATGAATGCTACGGGGCGGAGAATGGTGTATTTCATGGAGGGGTTCTCTGTGCATGTTTTGCGTAGATGAAGCTCAACTATTATCGATTTCTGTCAGCATTTTGTTCACACATAGTGAGATTTTTCATAGGAGTCTTTAAATGTTTCATCTCGCTCCAATGGCATCGACCGTAGTCGTATCTAAGTGAGAGATTTGAGAATTCAAGGAGCGCAAGAACTCACCATTATGCTTCGTTATGAAATGCGGCACATCGGTAGGATTCTCCCAGCTGCGCTCGTCGCCGCCGCGCTCGACACTGCTATACACGAAGTGTTTCACACCGTGCTTCGCTGATGCTGTGATTAGCGGCTTGGCCTGCTCCTCCTCCTCGGTAACCGGCATTGTCGTGTATGAGAACACGGCATCGATGTCTTTGTGAGCCGCGAAGATGGGCTCCGGGTCCTTTGTGTTGCCTTCTACGACTTCGAGATTTAGACTCTTGCCATAATTGGAAACGAGAGATTGTGCGCCTTTCGATGAAGCTTTGCGCGTTAAGGCGAGGATCTTGACATTTTGTAGAGATTTTGATGTAGTGGCGATGTGTGAGAGCTCTGAGAGCACAGCGCTGCCTTGTTGGCCTGTGGCTCCTACTACGAGGATCTTGCGTGGCTGAGATGTCATTGTCTTTTATGATGTTCTGATACTAGGAGTTGATATTGTGGACTTGCTTGAGGAGGAGTTGAGAAAGTACTAGGTTGTTTGGAGGAGGGATGATGATGTTACAGTTTGAATTGGTGCTGTCTCTCCTGGCGCGGATGAGATAGATATAGCAACAAGATGAATCGTATCTCACTTAAAGTTTTACGTGAGAGATAGGTGATAGGCGACTTTAGCTAGCGCATTCTAGAATGGGAAAATGCCCATTGGCCTGACAATTACATGTAAGTAGGTAATAGCAGTTGAAGTCTTGGCCCGAACCTGTTTACTAAAGTCCCATGTTGAAAGTCGATGACAGCTGGGTCGATCATCGATCTATCGGTCCCGAGCGGGATGTGGGACTGCCCCGCCTCTGACTTGCGTGCTTATACATAAGTAGTAGTAAGTATAAGTTTAGTTATCTTAGTAGTATTCAGTATACATTCCGCGAGTAACACGTGACGCATTAGAATCCTCGGGTTAAGTACTTAAGTATCTACATACCGGTAGTTGGTTCAAAGGGAACCAGTCTTCGCGTCCCGAGCTATTACTCATCCGCCTCCCTTGGTCCAATTCGGCCGAACTCTTGCGTCTGGGGTAGATACCTCCGCATTGTGTCGTTGTAATGTTATGTAAGTCATGTCACGCAGTAGACGGGTCTCGCGACATTCGGCCTTTAAGAAGACCAATTGTCCATCATTTTCAAAGAAACTTTCTCATTTCGCTTATATAATATTATACCTATTAAGCACGTAAACCATGAATTTCTTCTCCTTCACAAGGCCGGCCCTTCCCAAGAATCTCTCCTCAATCGACAGAGCCATGCTTGCTTATGTGGCAACGCGACTTGCTTCTCCTTCGCGAAGCCCGCGTTCTGAAGATGGTCGATGAATCTAGAATTCGGTTAGTCATAGAGTATTTGACACAGAGTAGATGGAGGAGGACACGGACCTCGTATTGTCTACTCTCGGTTCTAAGTAGACATTCATCGTGCGGTTATCTGCCTGCAAGCACCAATGGATGAGACTCGAGAGCCACGAAGAGACTTTCCCTCTCGCCCACTCCTCGCCAACCAGGACATGCATTCCCCGGTCAAACCCATCGGCATCGTTGCCCATGAACCGACCTAGCTGGTCCTCCTTGACCCAGTAGAGCTCGAAATAGCCGAAAGGGACCCCATCCCACAGTCCGATAGCTGGGAACGAATGCTTGGACTTTAGCGCATCTGGAAGAAAATTATCGTGATATCCACCCCAAAATGCAGATACGCGTGGTTTTGACAGCCAGCGATGTAGTAGTGAGCGATCTGATAAAGTGCAGAGGTGCGCGCTTTCCTTATCCATCTCGCCCTGGCCGACCGGTCCTACATGGGGGACGGGACCTGTTGAAAGTGATGCTACCCTGAAAGACATATATTTTCCGACGCTGGGAATAAAACGTGCGTAGAACGTTTCTCCCATGCGGGACGGCTTCTGTCTACGTGGGTGTCGTATGTTATTCGTAATGACGTATTGAAGAGGTGGTGGTGGATAGTATGTTGGCAGGTGGGAAGAAGAGTAATAGGGGCCAACAGGAAAAGCTGGTGCGGATGCCATTGTGGTCGGTACCGGACCGCCAGGCATGTCTGCTGTCAGAATACTGGGTAGACATCCCAGGGGAGTGGGAGAGGTCGGTCTCTGGGAGCCTTCATGTGGCACGGGTGAGGTCGGCCTACTCGCAGCTGGCGATGTGGGATAAGATTGGTACTGTGTTTTCAGAGGCTGCAATGTGAAAAGGAAGATTCCGCTATGAACCTGCCAGAACATACGCCGAGTGACAAACATCTGGTCCCATCCCTGTTCCTGGTCGTCAAGTCCACAGCCCACAGAAGTATCGGAGCTCGTTATGAGGCCCATTCTCTCCAGCTTTGGAATCATGTTTTTGCCGTGAAATATACCCTCGCGCTTAATCCTGATACGCCAATCACCCTTCGGCTTAGCTTCAAGAGGAGCTGCCTTGGTTTGCTCACTATCAATATAGGGCGAGGGCTCTGGCTGCTGAAAATACCAGTATAGAGATATCCACAGCATCAATGCGACCTGCCGGGTCGGGCTTGCGTGGGGTTTATACTCGCGGCTGGAAGGGTTAGAGATAGATGATATGAAAATGGTGTCATTTTGCAAAGTAGGCTGGCGGAAACGGTGCGAGTGGCTTTGGGGAGAAGTAAAGCCCCCGTCACCATCCTCAGCAACACGGACCTGTGAATCATGGTCCATGGTATCTTCAGTGTGCAATGCTATTGTCCAACCTGCAGGGAATGGCGTTGGGTGAACGTTGAGCTCATTACTCTTGAAGAACAGCCCTCCAAAGACGGGCTGGACTGTATAGGTCTGCCCATCGGGCAAGTGGACGACGGATGAGGGGGCCATGAAGTTAGGATAGCGACTGCAAAGTTCTGGAAGGGTACTTTTTCTGGCAGAATTTTTTCAACGATTGTAACGAGATTATGATAGTGTTGCTGTTTTCATGGACACATAATACATTTCCCTTTGTAAAAAATGAGAAAGAAGTGTTGTGATTTTCAAGGTGGCACAATAGTAGATTAAGGGAAAGCTTCATCGACGACGATGATAACCTAGCACTTAGACTCCTAGGAGAACACACTGATAGTACCACCTACGATGTAGCAGTAGACCAATTATCATGTAGTTCAACTAATAGCGCCTGTCCAAGATCCGGCTGGCCTGTATGGCGGAAAGGATTTGTAAAGCTGGCAAGTGGATAGGTAGGACGGATTACACTATGAGAGGACTATTGGGGAAATGTCCAACGTCATTTGCTCCAGGTTAGAGATGGCGTCTTGAAGGTTTGCTCGGTGGGACCATTCTTGGGGTAGGTATCTGCTTCCGGGATTCTCAAACGCATATTTGCGGCACAGTACAAATCATACAGTAGACCGCGCGTTACCGTTAATGATCATCTATATGTCGCTGAAACTGGCTTGCCAGTATGTCTTTAACATACAGTAGTTATGATATCTACAGCTACCTAGACCATTCAGCAATTCATCCTGTTCGAATCACGAGCTGATGGACAAATCGGCCAATATCGCATTATGTCATAGAAGTATACATTGAAAACGGCCGCTAACCGCCTTAGGCCCAGCTCTCGTGTGACGGACAGGGGAGTTTCAGTGTTGAACGTGCCGATCATCGGCGGCGTGCTAGGGTATCTTCAACATATCTCCTGGGCGTCAGTCAAGGCTTTGACTGGCGACTGACAGCAGAGCATGATACTGAGATTGTTGATCTGAAGATCTTATCTCTCATACAAGCTAGCAATGGACTAAATACAAGATGAGCTCTTACGAGTTACCAAATCATATAATCAGAGATCCAGGGATGTCGCTGAGTGCTTCGATTACAGAGCTGCCCGCGGCGGCACGAGCAAGGAGCGCGTGCTGAGGCAGATCAAGGGGCTGCGGGAGATGCTGCAATAAATAATGAAAAATAGACTAACCATATACCTCTTGTTGTAACTCTGGGCAGATACAAGGATGGGATATGATCAACTAGGTACTTAATGAGAATCAAAAGGTAAATAAAATAAAACCCGTCGGAAAAACCGCAGTATATGTATTATTCAAGGCTAAGCTTTCTTATTCATTATGAATGTCGTGATATCATACATCTATCTGTCTAGGGATGCCGCGCTCGAGACTCATGAATCCGACTCCAGAACTCCTGGCTTATAGTCATCTGGTCTTGGTAGGTATCTGCGATCTAATCTTTCTTGCCTTCCGGCTTATTCTTCGCCTCGCTCTTCCGCTGCGTCTGCGAATCAGCCTCTGCAGCCGGTTCGTCCTTGGACTTAACAGACTCGCGCCTCTTCCTCTTATCATTCTCCTTCTCTAAGACTTCCTTAACCTCGGTGCCGCCGAGATCCTTCGTCTCGTCCCAGTCTACGTCGTATTCTTCCGCCACAATCCAGATCTCCCTGCGCAACGCGTTGGCGTCGTGCACGAGGGCCTCCCACTTCTGCGGCTCGAACCCGCGTGCCTGGTACAGGATGTTCTGACGTCTCGAGACGGTGATCTTTAGCGCTGCCTGGTAGCTCAGGTCGCGGCTGATGAACAGAAACCACAGGTAACCGCCCATGATCGTAGTCAGACCTGCGAGGTAGGTCACTGGCTCTACGAGATCCCAGCCTGCGTCCGTGTGGAAAGTGACGTAGTACACGGTAGCCCACCAGCCGGATAACGCAGCGAAACCCGCCTGCGCTAACCGATGGGCACCACGGTGCGCCAACAAGTCGCATTCTTGCTTGATTTTAGACAATTGCTCGACTTTGCTTGACATTCGCCGAAGTCGTAGTCGCATGTAGTGCGTGCGGTCGTTAAAGCTCGGCACATCGACGCGCATTTCGGTGTTGAGCCCGTCGACATGTATCAAGAACTCGCGCCCGCGCGCGGCGTCGCGAATGAAGTCCCCAATCTCGGTGCTACCTGACCAGCGAACCCAGTCTTTGTGCTTAGAGGGAGTGTTCTCGCCCTCGTGCCCAAGTCCTGAGTACGACGCGACGTTAGAGTTGCCCTTGTCTTTTCTCTGTCCCTCCTCGTCGCGCTCCGAACCTTCGGCGAGGAAGTGTACACTAGGCAATTTCTCGTGGCCCTCCTTGTCGTGAACGGTGGGAAGCTCGGCCTGGATTAGGCGCTCTAGATAGGAGAGCGGTTGGTGGGGGTGCACGAGGAGTGCCAGGGGTTGGATGTCTTCGTTCTGCGCGAGGGAACGGAACTCGCCCCTGTTGCCATTCTCATCGTGTGTGGCGTCGACAGGAAGCGGCAGAATTAATTTCAGAAGTCTGGTCGGGGTAGTTAAGAGCTTTCCTACAGAGAAAGTAAAATATTAGCCTTGTTAGTGACCTCAAATTGTCAGTACCTAGATCGAAGATTACCTTTGGTCATCGTCTTGTTCAGGTTACGATGCTCTTGATCGACGGGTGGCTTGTCTGCACCCTCTCTCTGCCATGGCCGCTTGATTTGCTGCTTCGTAGCTTCTTGTATGCCTGCCTCGACCTCTTTCTCGTGCATTTGTTGGTCTCTCTTGTTGGTTTCAAGCGCGGTCTCATCGTGGATAAGGTCCTTCGTCCGACGAAGTGAAGACGTGAAGCTCCGAGAGCCGGGGTGGGAAGCGCATAACCGCCATGCGTCCGGGTTATGGATGGCCGGGAACTGGTGATGATGGACGGTATATGAATTAGGGACGCTTCTACCACAGGCAGCTAGCCGTCGAAAAGCCGCGGCGGCTGGTAGTTGAGAGCATGCTCGGGTCGCATAGCTCATATTTCGTTTTCGGGGTGCGGAGAGGAGATTCCGAGTACGCGTGCTGCATGGAATGTTTTTTGTGTTCTACCTAGACACTGAGATATGTTGTATGTGCTATTGGCTATTGACTTCGATGCTTAGGCGCTTCAAGATTCCTTTCTACCTAGGTAGTAACATGGCTGACCCATCTGGTTGGTGACGTCACATCCCGAAGCTGGTCCTTGGAAGCACGAGCACCCACCGACTAAGGTCAATAGGGATTCAATGCGTTCAGCCACCCTGCCTAGATCGACAATTGATACTGACCGTGGCAACTGATAATCGCGAAGCTATTTGAATATACAATGCGGTGATATATGTGAGGGTTCGCGAGCATACTTAATGCTCATATATCTTTATTATACAATAAGTTGTCAACTATATTTTATCCTCGGACCGTGAGTTGCATCGGCAACTAGTGTCTCTAGAGACCGTTACAAAAGGGCACCGTTGCAAAGGCGGCTTGGGGTTCTCACATATCAAAGAGTATTACCCTGTATCTCCACGTACTTACATGTTGTTATAGAATCATATGCTATTTCGTATAGGGAAATAAGGGGGTTTTTGGACGTTGTCCCATGATACTGGTATGTGGATAGTGCTCTTTAATATGCGAGGATCCGAGCTGGTTGCTCGGACCTCCATAGACTTATGTCTAGGGACCCATGCACACTTGTGCAAGGTTTTATACGACAGAATTACTATTCTTAGCACGCAGGGCTGGTAGTACGTGGCAGTGCGCTGTACAAGGCCACCTTAGCTGCCCAAATTGCATGTGGAGCCAATACGGCAGTGAATCGTTGAGCTGCTTCTAAAATGCTCGAGTGGTTCAAGGATTTGATAAAGTGATGTTTAATAACGACTTCAACTCAATAGTGTTATCCAGCTCTCGTCCAAATACAAACCTATTTATGTGCTTCATATAGTCAGTCTATTTACTTGACAAGTTACCTGTTCTCAAAACCTGACACAGGCAAAGAGCATCGTCAAGACTGAGTAAATGGAATTAAGTGGATCAGGTCGTATATATATCTCGGACGCCATACACTAAGTAGGTATTGACCGCAGTTTCAAGTAGCCATTTAGTCTCCTGAAGTGTAGTGTGGACACCAGCAACTGTTCTAGAGGATCCTTGGCGCTAATGCTAATTACTAAGTAGCCAGGATCTTATGATAACTCAACGCCTCACGTCAGCCGGCCCGTTCACACATTCACCCCAGATAGGATTGTAAGACTCGAGAGATGGCTCAAACATGTCACTTCTACCCGAGTTTCGGGCGCAGTTGTTACAGAATCCGGCACGACCGGCAAAGTAGCGTACGTTATTGCATATGAATGATAAACAGAATCTCCAACGAGTTCCACAGCTGATGTGTGCCTTAAATACCGTGCTGCCCTGTTGCCTCTTCGTATGGACTCGCTGAGCTAATGCAATTCTTTTACTACTTGTACATATAAGCTGATTACGGGTGTCACCTAGAATCCCCCTCTCCGAGTTCAAGTCTTCTTTTCTCAATCTATATCATTGATATCTGCATTCACAACGTCGCCATGTCTGCAGCTAACTTCGGCAGGGATTTCGCCATCGCCATCGGTGTTGCTGCTGGCGTGACCATCGCTGCACTTATTGTCTTTTGCGTACTGGCTCATTGCGGTCCAAGTCTGTGCGGGCTAGGCAGGAAAGACCGGCGGTGGTTCGCATCAGACGTTGAAAATCAGAGGAATCCCGGAACAGAATCGCCGTTCATAAGAAGTGGGGAGATTGTTGAGCCCAAATACTCTTAACAAGGCACATCTTCATATTGAATAATAGTATGCCAATATCAAACGATCGAAAGGCGGCTAGGGGTGGTTAAGGTCATCTTTAAACGACATTGCATTAGCCTTCGGCATACACATCGACGATAACATCGAAGCAACTTCGAGACACGCTAGAAGCGAAAGCGTGGCGGACGAGACACAAACAGACCACGGCGAGAACGTTGATTCGTATAACCTAGACGTCAGGTCATACTAGCGACGAGAGCTTGAGGGATGGCCAACTACCAAAACACCTCGAACCCTACTCCAAGGGGTTCAACTCTTGTCTCTCTCTTTGAGGACCGAGATTTCAAAAGACTCCTTGGATGCCGACATCATACAAAAGGGTGGATATAGGAATAGAAGTTGACCTCAAGAACAAATGTCAATGAAAAGATTAGACGGTGGAGTTATATGAGAGTTGTCACTAGAATTTGAAGTTGGCACCCCAGCGACGAAAGATACCCGATGCATATATACCCATATTCTCTAGAACATTCACTAAGGTTTCTCTACCGGTTCCGAAATTTATAGGAGTCGTAATCGAGAACCGTGATTGAATAATTGATTCTAGAACTTTACTTTGTTAAGTAGAAGACACAAAATAGATCAAATGAAGAACTCAGCTGTAACATATTTTGTGACCCGGGCAATCTTAAAAAAAGAAAGTAACGGTGCTAATCTGTTTATTGAAATTTCCATTCTCTACCGCTTCACCTAGTGGACAAAAGAGCAAGTATTAAATGAATGGGTTGGCGATATCAATAGACACCATTTGTAGGTCAAGTTCGTTTTCTCGTAACGGAGCGTAACTTGACACCCTTAGGGGTTGCTCGCCAGCTGCCTTTGGCTGTCAGTCCAGGTGCAACGTCATGGTCAATTGCCAAGGAGCTTGTCTGCATTTCGCGCCCAACTGCCCCTCCAAACCTACTGGGGTAAAGGTAGGCAGCGGTTTAGGAACAGCTTCAAATACCAAGCAACGACCGACACCAACTCCCACCGCCTTTTACGAGTGATACGCAAAACATTAGAAAAAGTGTTACACTACGACCGTGTTGTAATATCCTACGATCCACTATAATACGATACAGAGAGAAAGCTAGCGCTAAGACAGGCTTCCGCGCCGCCGACGACAGTATTTGGAACCTGCCTTCATACAAACCAACCAACCAACCAACCAACCAACCCAAACCCTCTGCCAAAAACCCAACCAAACCACAACCATGAACCGCCTCTTCGGCAGCGCGCCCAAGGGGCCCAAACCAACGCTGAACTCAGCCATCGGCAACATCGACACGCGGATCTCCTCGGTCGACGTCAAAATCGCCAGCATCAACACGGAGCTCCAAACGTACCAGACCAAGATGGCCAAGATGCGCGACGGGCCCGGCAAGACGGCCCTGAAGCAGAAGGCGCTAAAGGTGCTCCAGCGGCGCAAGCAGTACGAGGCGCAGCGCGACCAGCTGCAGAGCCAGGTCTGGAACATGGAGCAGGCGCAGACGATGCAGGACAACCTGGCGGGCGTCATGACGACGGTGGACGCGATGAAGACGACGCAGCGCGAGCTGAAGAAGCAGTACGGCAAGGTGGACATCGACAAGATCGAGCGCATGCAGGACGAGATGGCCGACCTGCTCGACATCGGCAACGAGATCCAGGAGACCCTGAGTCGCGGCTACGAGGTCCCCGACGACGTGGACGAGGCCGAGCTCGACGCCGAGCTCGAGATGTTGGGCGCCGAGATGGAGATGGAAGGGTCTGGGGCGCTGGATGCAGGGGGTGTGCCTGATTTCATGAGGGACGAGGTCCCCGACTTCATCGACGAGCCGCCGGAGTCCTCTAAGGTCCAGGAGGTTGCCAGGTGAAACGAGATGGTCGCATCAATTTGAGTACGAAATTCCAAGATAGAGAGATAGAGAGAGAGATTTTCGAGGGAGGCATCAGAGCGGGCATGGGATCAAGGCGTTTCCGGCGTTATTAGGAGGACCACAATTCTTCAAGGGCTAAAGACCAACGGGAAGACATGCAATAGGAGTTGTACGTGAAAAAGAATCATGTTTCGTTCATTTCGTATATGCTGTCTTGTGTTTGTACACGTCCATCTACCTCAATACTATGTATTACACCGCTACCCTCTCTATTGGAGCAACCATCGTCAACGCCACTGCGCCGCTTGGTTAGTCTTAACGACACACCATAACTACTTGAACAGGAAACAATTACTACCAGTCAAGTATGTGCCTACTCGACGGTCCCAAAGAACCTCGCGACCTCTTCCAGGTCGGCTTCTCCGTTACAGAAGTCCCATCCTACAATGGTACTAACTTGACTGCAACAAATAATCCTTCGTGCGTCAAATTGTAGCTTGAAGATCCTGGCCGGACTTGTATCCGCTGGTTGCGCATGTGTCGAATGGTTGCTTGGTGCGTTAGTAGCGTGAGGATACGGAAGAAACTGCGGTGTTTGGGTATGTGGCTGTCCTTGCGATTGCCCCTGGCCCTGATCTCGTGTTTCCCCGTGTGACATAGGCCCAGATTGCAATTGATGTAGTACATGCATTGCATAGGATTGCGAGGCTGGCTGCTGCGAAATAGCATGGTGAGTATGGTGGGAATGGTGCGGGTGTGTGCTGGATGTTGTGGCAGGCGGCGGGCCACCGCTAGCAGTAGTACTGGAAGTCGTTCCTTGGACTGAGGTGGACGGGCCTGGGGGGTCTCCATTCAATAGTTGTGATAGACTTAGTGGCTGACTTGGCCGCGAAGGTGCCATATGTACGGCTTGAGAACTCGAACTAGGCATGTGGGACGATGAAGCCTCTGCCGTCAAGGCTTGCTGCATAGATTCCCGCATCCTATTTTGTGCGATTTGCGCTCTGACGAGACTGGTGCTGACTACTTGTCGTAACTGTGAACGCACCATTGGATCGGGCTCGCGATCGATGGCTGCTTGGATATGTGAATTATAAGTTAGCATTGTAGGATATGAGGTTAGGGCCGCGAGTAGAGCAGCAGGTCCCTGTGGTACGGCGCTGTCGATCATTTGAGTGTAGGATGCTGTGGTTTGAGGGGTGATGGTGGCGTGGATGGGATGGTCAACTTGAGTGTACGTAGGTGGTGCTCGGTGCAGGGCTGAAGTTCCACTGGTCGGCTGGCTAGGCGGTCGGTTTGTAATTGCCTGATCTGTTGAGTGATTTGCAGTATTCATGGCATCCGCAATCCCTGGAGATGGTCGATGGGTCACAGATGAGCCCTGTCTCAAAGCTGATGCAGCACCCTCTTCTTGTCGAAGAATATGTGCACTTTTCCAAGCACCTTCTCGATCTCGGCGCCAAATGATAATGCTCTGATCATAAGAGCCAGAGACAATCCTTCCGTATGGCCCACCGCCGCCACCGGGAGGCAACTTGGCTCCATATGCCGTAATATCTTCGGGGCGGCGGCTACCGGGATTGTAAGCGCGTCGCCTGCTGGGCCGTGCGTCATCGAGGGAACCTGAATTGAGAGCCCTGAAATACGCCTGGTCAACGGCTCTCGCTTCCAGCTGGTCCTCTTCCCGACTATAAGGTAGGTCACCGAAACCAGCCTGGACTGTTCGCACCAAGTTAGTGTGCGCACGTAGACTGGCGACCTCGAGACCGGATTCACAATCGAAAACCTTGACCTCGTTGTCACTGCTACCGCTCACGATTCGCCGGCCATCATACTGGACACACGCAATGCCTTTTCCATGTCCAACGAATGTGCGTTTCACGACCTGCTTCGGCCAGTCCCACAGCTTAATATTCCGATCGCCACTGGCGGACACAATTTCCCTATCACATATCTGAACAGCGTTGACAGCTGCGCCGTGGCCTTCTAAACAAGCAATCATGGTATAGGGCGGTGTGATGGCCAATTGATTCAAAGGCGAGTCGTCATAACCATAGTTCTGGAGCTTCACTGGAACCGGGCTCACAGCCGATTCATTATAGCCGAGGTCACCAGGCCTCAGGGGTTGGCGGTTAAAAATCTTGATCGTTTTATCCTTGGAGCAAGTTACTAATATCCGCTTGTCAAACTTGACGTTTAACACAGACTCTCTATGCGCCCTCTTCAGACGTTGTAAAATTTCACCTGTTGAGAATCTCCACAGTATGACGTCTGAATCACTGCTCCCAGAGACAATGAGGTCTTCTTCAGGATCCGAATCAAACTGAAGGCACAAGACTGAACCATTATGTCCAGCTAAGGGCGGGCGCACTAAGCGTCTGGTGTGAAGGTTCCATATACGAAGAGTACGGTCCCTGCTGCCACTGACGAGATATTCCGAATTATACTGAAGGCTATAAATGCACTCCTTATGCCCTTCCTCGGGGTGATCTGGGTGTGGTAGTTGGAAATTGGCGTAACGGCCGCGCTCCCAGTTACTCTCCAATTTCCGCCGCATGCTGTACAGATACTTCCAACTAATCTTGTATCGCTTGTCTCGCCAGTCATATATCCAGAGCGTTGATTGAGGTATTGTTGACTGGGCATTGCCCGATTCAGCTGGTGAAGACGCGGTGGATGGTGTCTCGGCTATAGCCTTCCCTTTGCCTTTATCGAACCGTGAGCCTGCTCTATCTTTTGAATGTGACATGGGGCTCGGTGACTTCATGATGCGTCCAAGGCCACGCAGCTTTTTGTTACTTTGAGAGGAACTATTTCCCCCTCCTTGCGGCCCACCGAAAAGACTGGTGCCTGACATGTGCGTATCAGTATGATCCTGAGCCATGGCGCTATCGGCATCGATCATTTCGTAGTCGTCTGCATCCTGATCTTCCTCTTTAACTACCGGATCGGATATGGCTCTTTTCTTCGTGGTATGGCCACCTTCGGCTGATCTGATCCTCTGAGGGTGCATCTGAGAGGCGGTAGAGTTCTCATTCATTCGCTCCTCGGCAAGTGTAATCTCAGCCTTAATCGCTTTCCAGCCTTCCAGATAGTACAACTTCTCCCATAGTTTTCGATCTGAAGCTAAATCGTACCATCCTCGGCAACATAGAGCAACATGGATTAATGACTCTGCGTCTAAATACCCTAGGACTTTAAGGCAGATCTCAGGGGGTAAGTAATGTACAAAGTTAATGTAAAGACGCGGGTTGAGTTGAGTCATGACGATATCCGCGATGTCTGTGGTGGGGAGTTCATTTAGTATAAGCATGGCGAGACCTGTTGGCCATTCAGGTAAGCGCGAGTTCATATGAGTCTAGAGGGGGGGGAGGGCGGCTGCCTTACGCTTCTTTTCTTGTACCGTCAGTTTAGGCATATGTGCGGCTATCCAGGCCGGGAGTTCAGCGGAGGATCGCAAAGCCAGGGTGGTGGCATTATCCTGTATACTACCCGAAGCGGAAGTGTTGAGGGGATGCTCGGAATAGCCCTCATCGGGCTCTTGGGCTGGCGGGAAGGTCTCCATAGCCACGGCTGCTGTGTTACGACTTCGCTGCAGTTGGGTCGACGTTGACGGCGCCCGGGGCGTCTTATCACACTTCAAGGTGCTAGGACAGCCTCTGTCGGGTGTTTCAATGGGACTTTCGAGAATAATACGTTTTGGATGATATTCTGACCAGAGGCGCAGTTAAGACGCAAGGGGACTCTTCGAGTGAGGAAGGCGAGGTAAGCTGAGTACGATTTTGGGTAGGGATGTAAACGATAGTGAGGTTGTCAAGCTAACAAGACCAATCGAACTTGGGTCGGCATTATGCGCTGGCAGATCAGGTCTGTTATCGGGTCTGATAGAAAGATCTGGGGACTAGGTCTAGTCGGCCGGTCGGGACGTGGCGGCGATGGAGATGGAGATGGAGATGGATGCTGGTGGAGAGTTGTAGAAAACAATACATAGGCATCAAGGTGGTGGATGCTCAGCAGGTAGGCGATCTAAGCATGAAATGTATGCGATGAGACTTGAACATCTATTGCTAGGACAAACTGCTGACGTTGTCGCGTTGTCTTCGCCCTTAGATTACTGTTTACCTACACACACACAAACTAAGGCAAGGAGGGTTCTCCAGGAGGTAGCAGCTACAGTTTGGTAGGCAACTGGAAATAGGTACTTACCCACTAGATCTAGCACCTACACTCCCTACCTATGGCTTCAGTCTTTTTGGTGCGGGCCGGAACACACCTGCAGTGGCTAGCACGTCTCTACACGGCCTAAAAGCGCTTGACAACTCCGCTTAGAATTCCCCATAACAACCCCTGTGTGCTGGTTGCCACACTCAGCCCAGCGTCGCAGGCTGCCTAATGCAACAACAGCAGCTGCTCTGCTCAATGGAAAAGGTTCACTTCCAGGTTTGCCACTTATTTTAATAAATCATCCAGCCTTCCGGGGTTCCAGCAAGGTCGGTGAATACCTACCTATGTTTGCTTCTAACATACCGGCGCTGTGGCGCAATTGAAAAGCGTCAATATGCCTGGCCCGTGGCTAGGTACAAGTTGCTACTTTGTATGTGCAACGCTCTCCTGCTCTTTTTATATGTTTCTTCAAGCATCAAAGTATTCTTTCTAACTTGAAGTTTGCCTTGACACATTCTGACATCGGAGAACCAGGCATTGCTTTGTTCCAAAAGCGAGCGCACTTGCACCTGTAATTTAGCACAACCAGAGCGCCACACGTCAAAAGACCCTGACTTGGCACCGTTGACTTTGGTGGAGAGAGATGGTACGGCCAAAATACTTCGGACAATGAAATCCAGACTCAGCAGATGTAGATAGACCCCAGATGGTACATGCCTACGCGGCCCTACTTACATGCTGCACCCAAGTCTCTCAACCTATACCCACACTATGAGAGGTGTATACTCGATGCCTGGTAATGGCTGTACTTAGGTTTCAGGTCCAAGCAAACTATGCGATGTGGAGTTTCAATGCGAAGAGACCGAAGACAGGCTTTTCGTCCTGTATGGAGGTCTAACCGAGAAGGATATGGTGTGGAAGTGCAGGATTAGAGGTGGGCGACGTGGTAATATGTACGTGTATGGGACCCCTACTACGCAATGCCTTCAGCTATAATGATGATCATGTAAAGGAGCTTAGGTAGCCTGGCTTCATCATCGCGTGAACAGGCCGCGTTCGCACATCATCTAGGTAGGTAACCTAGATAGGGAGTAACAAGCGATGGTGCGGGTAACAAGGTCTCGAAGGATGAGAGAGCTATGCATAGAAGAAAGGAAGCATCGAAGAACGTCCCGTGCCGCATTGCTCTCGCACGAGATGACCAACAGGAATCGCAGGATCTTTTGAGAGGGTGGTGTGGTGTCGCTGGGCTTTGATCCCCACGTCCGTGATGGCGGGGCATTCTGACCTTTTTCTTTTGATCTTGGCCTTCTCAAGTGCCGTAGATACTACACATGTACACCACGATGATAAGCCTGCCATGCATGTATATATATATATATAAACTACTAACAGTAACTAGCGACTTGTAAAACTGCCCATGATAATCTCGACAAGCATACCTAGACCCAACAGTATGCTACGCTGGCCATAAACGAATCGTAACCCTGAGGCACTTTATCCACGTGGGAGTCCCCATGCTCGTCTAGGTAGACACTCCACAGGGCCCTCCATGAGGTAGGTGTAAGAGGTAGCGCATCCCATAATAAGAGGCTGCTTAGCTATATTCCGCGAGATACCTACTCGGATAGTAGCTTGGTCACAAGACGACGCTCGTGCTACCCATACAGCTCAAATGTTGGAAGAGGTGTGTGATGCTGAGAGACTGCCTACAACCGCGCGAGAAGGGAGTGAGTGGTCAATGAAGTTGATACGGTTAGGTACCTAGTTCATTTACTTAGTACTATCTACACCGCTAGGCATGTGGGATGAGGACGCCTAGCTGCAGCTTAGTTCTTAAAATATCCTCGCCATTACATCACGTACCGATATCCTTTCGGGATTGGGCAGTCCCCGTCAAGCCTGTAATGCCCGAGCAAGAGAGGAGAACACGACTCAGACGGCGACTACGGGACGGTCCTCGAACCCGCCACCGCCTATTGTGAGGTCTTTCTTCTACAGGCAGAGGCCGCCAGCGTTAGGTTTGACCGTCTCGCGGTAGGTAGCGTATCTCGATACAATGGGGCAAGACAGGACGTCGGCAGCTAACGAGTCGCTAAGGCTAAGTGCTGGTGCATCCGCCCGACGCAAGCACCGGCACTGAACTGGCACATGCTAACCCAGTAGGACCCTCATGGAGGGAGGGAGGTGAGGTGAGGTAGTATCAAGGCAGCAGGGTCTATCTAGCGTCAGAAAGTACTTGCTTACACGTGAAAGCTAACGCCGACATCGACACTTACACTGCCGGAGTTCACAGTGCCATTCCAGGCTATCAAGAACGCCTGAGCTGACCGACCATTACTCACCGGCGGGATTTGTACCGGATTCCGCAGTGTCCGTCCCATCGTGGTTCCTGTTGGTCTCTCAGGAGCTCTGCGTGATGGGGGGGTGGTGAGCACATCTACTTAGCCGCGCGCCGTGGTTGTGGTGGGCAGGAGGGAGACTCTGGTTACTAGGATCATACATACATGCTTAAGTAGGTAGTCGTTAGTACTGGTAGCAACCCTGCCTATACTACGTATGCGTGCAGAGGGCGCAAGGGAATGGATGGGTTGGGCGTTTACACAGCGGGTGCGCAACATCACGATGGTTCACAAACAGGCGAGTTACATCTGGTGTATCAACACGACCCCTCCTTTTGGCATAGCCTGAGCCATCTCAGATTTGAAACCGACTTGGGGAGGTACCAACCTTTACATGACGCCGATCAATGCCCAACGGCCTTAGTCAGCCGAGTCATCGTGTCTTCCTCGCCATGATTCTTTCTGTGCACTGCTTGGTGAGTAAGTTCAGTCATTGTGGCTGTGTTTCCAGATATAATGTAATGTGCTTGCAGGAGAAGAAAAAGAAGAAGAAGAAGAGTTTACAGATATCTACGAGGGACAAAACGATGTAGCACTATCTAGGTGCGTACAGGACCGTGACGGTACTTCAAGCAACCATGAATTATGCCGGCACACGTGCAACCCTTCATGATGCTCCCTTCGGCACGACGTTGCGACTAGTACAATACAAGTACATTTGACGTAGGTACATAATATCTGTGACGTGTTGGGCAAATTTGCCATGGCCGGAAGGCTACCCATGCGAACCTCGTTCGGTAGTAGAGTTGAATATATGGCTTCGGCGTGTTGAACAATTGATCGTGTCGCTTTACCCCTTCCCGCCACCACACATGTCTGAAAGACTTTCATCCTAACCAAGGAATCGACATAATCTCCTAGGAAAAGACACACCACTTTGTCCCTGAAGCAAGTGGTACTCTACTTCGCACCTAGGCAGATAGATTAGTGTATACATGGATGGGTGGATGGATGGATGGGCATACTGTATGCAGTACTACACGGGAAAGGGAGCACCATTTATTTGGCATTTGTACATGTAAGCCCAGTCAAATCGCTCTTCCAGTCACACTGGACATGTTGTACCCAGCAGCAATATCATGCAGTACATGGCAATGTCAGCACCTTCAGCTGAGCCTTTCTGCTGGTAGACTCCCGATTGGGATTACGAGAACGAGGAAGACCGAAGCACTGGATCTTCCGTGATCTTTCAAACTGCGCAGTTTGTTATACCTATGACACGGCCCATATTCTGTGGAGACGCAGAACTACATCCAGCACCTAGTAAAGAATTGGGCTAGTTACATCAAAATCATGAATAAAATCATGAATAGCTACATACTTGGTTACTTAAGTAATCATAATGGGTTAAAAGTCGTGATAGTAGGGACATTGAGCTGGAGTAGCCGTGAAGTCCCATAATGCGAAAAGGAGACTGCCCAGGTGAGACAAGGGGGGGTGAGGGCAAGTCGCAGGTGGCAGAATTGAGAATTGGGAGTTGGGAAGCGGGTAGGGAGGTACTTGCTCGGGTACTTTAAGCTACCTAGAGAGGTCGGCCATTTGACATCTGTACAGCTGGGTTACGTGCTGGGGATACTCGGCAATTGACTTTGGGGGTGCTGTAGGCTTCCTTAGCAGTAGGTACCGTCCCATGTACCCGCGCTACAGCATAGGCTGCACACCCATTCATTCAGTTGCCCACATCCAGTTACCTGCCTGGAAACTCCCAAGGTTAGTGGACTTACTGTCCCGTCTAGCGCACGGAGCCAGCCCCCCGACTGCTGTACGCTCGCCACCACGAGCTTGCCTACCGACCTACCGACCTACCCTGTCTGTTACTACAACCAACTTCATTCATGCTCTCGTTTTCCCCACGCCAACCGTCTCGACTCCTTACCATCAGCTATCCTCCCGCTTCGAGTGGTGATCGTGTGTATCGCCACAATAGCTGAGTACTAGGACGCGAGCCCGAACCAGCCAACACTCGATAGTCCTTGCAACTTCTGTCGTCTTCCACGACGACACTCGCCGTCCACGCCAGCGCAGCATTGCATCAGCATTGGTCATATCGGCCCAGCCTCCGTCTCCGTCTCCGTCCCCGTCCACTTTCTGTACCCTCGTAATCCGCATCGGTCTCGCGGCATGTACCAGTAGGCAATCCACCCACTCGATTTGCCATGTTTCGAGGCTCCTCGCCCGTTTGAAAGCGCTGCGACGGCAATATATCGGACCAGAACAGTCTAACGCACTCACCGTCTCCGACCCCACGAATACTTACATAGTACTGTCCTTGTAGCCGACCGATAGAATCTCCCGATTCGAGTTCCACCACTGCGGGGGCAAAAGAAAAATATCTAGGTGGTTCGGCAAACTCGCACAGCCGATTGCAAGCAAGGAGGATAGACGAAGAAAAGGAGTCCTAAAAAAGAAAATAAGAGAAAAGAAACCCGAAGCGAGGAAAGGCGCTTCCTCAAGAAGACTAACTAGTTACTATTGAGAGAATCATCTACAATCACGACCATACAGCTAACATAGGCCTGCTGATACCCAGGCAGGATTCCAGACATTCCAGTGTTCTGGGTGCCTGCCCCTCGTGACTACAGCGCGGCCGATACCATCCTACACCAACAGCCAGTACAATCGGCGGCACGACAAAGGGAACATTAGCATCCAGACCTCCCTTCAGTCGGAATCATTCGCTGGTCCATCTCGTTTCCCAACCTCGTCTCAAATTCGTAGAACGGTTGTACGTTATTGAGTATCTAGCGAGTTTACGGCCGCCCGTTCCTCCTGTACTTTGTTTGAACCCACTGTGTCGGGACGTTTCACCTTTTGTAGTACTCTACACTCGAATGGGTTGATTTGCCATGGCACACGCACCGGCTCTTTTAAGGACGAATACGGCCCCTGTCTTCCCTGCCAACAACAATTACGGTGGCGTCTCCACTATGAGCAGCTTAAGAGCCAGCCAACTGTCTGGCTCTACGGCGGTCAATTCCGCCTCAACGACATCTCTGGCGTCCATGGGTTCCTCAACCACGATCACAACGCCGGCAAATGCCGTGGTTGCCACGGCCAATATCATTAATCAGAGAGCCGACGCCTCTAGATCTCTATATCAGATTTGCGTGGCACTCAAGCAGCGGTTAGCTACAGTTCCGGATTTCGAAGACTATTTACAAGTCTTGGATCGGGATGCTATGTCGAGCGAATATAATCCCGTGGAATCTCTTTGGGGCCTACTGAGGAGCGGCGACCCGCTGCTCACTATATATAATTCGACCAAACCCGATGTCCCTTTAAACCCAGCCGAACTTCCCTCAGACCCTACGAGACGTGCCAAGGCAGCTACATTCAAGTTCATTAATGCATGTTTGAGACAAATACTAATTCCTGCGGCTGAGTGCTTTATTGTGTCTGATTTGATGAGAGAAGATACGACAGGCTTTGTAAAGGTCCGTTTTTCCCTATCCTTGTTATATCCGTGTACTTATACTTACCCAATTTTGCGTAGGTCATCCAAGTCATCAACCATGTCCTCGACATCGCTCAACAAGGTGGCTACCTCCTTCAAGTTGCCCCCTACCCAGAGGATGGCAGTTTTGAGGGGCCCACCGCCCAAATGACATACCGAGATCATATTATTCGCGAACTTGTTGACACAGAGCGCAAATACGTACAGGATATGGAGAATCTACATGATTTGAAGAAAACCCTACTAGATAAGGCTGTTATTCCTGGTGACGTGGCATACCAAATATTTCTAAACTTGAATGGAATTTTAGACTTTCAGCGACGATTCCTTATCAGAGTTGAGACGACAAACTCAATGCCTCAATCAGCACAGCAATGGGGCTCAATATTCGTGATGAACGAAGAAGGATTCGAGATTTACCAGCAATTCATTGCAAACCAACGGAAGGCGGCACAGGTGGCAAATCAAGTATTTGACAAGATTCAGTTCGCTGAACACCCTGTCGCTTGTGATTTCAATACTCTTGATGGTTTCCTTTTGAAGCCAATGCAGAGACTGGCCAAATATCCCCTATTGCTTAAGGTATGAATAACCTTTCGGACTGCACTGATAACTATACTAATTCGCCATAGGATCTACTCAAGAGAGGTGAGGTTCCGCCGGAAAACCACGACGAGCTCACGAGAGGAATCGAGGCTGCAGAGCGAGTTCTTAAACAGGCGAATGAAGCTGTCAATCGTGCCTTATTGCGTGAGGCGCTAGAGGAGCTCAGAGCCCGAGTTGATGATTGGAACAGCCACCGAGTGGATCATTTCGGCGAATTACTTCTACACGGCTCATACCAGGTGATAACAGGCCGTAGCGAACAAGAGAAAGATGTACGCCCCTTGAGCCGAATTTCCGTCGTTGTGGTCCAAATCGCTGATTTATTAGTATGAAATTTATCTTTTCGAAAACATTCTCCTCTGTTGTAAGGAGGCTCAAGCAAACAAGAGCAAAGACAAGAAAGACAAGAATAAGTCTATTTCCAAGGGTCGTAACAAAAGTAGTAAGCTACAGCTCAAAGGTCGGATTTTCATGTCAAACGTGACAGAAGTCATATCCTTTGCCAAACCAGGTATGTCGCATCTCCCGGAAAAAAGACGTATTATCTGACGTACGCCTACAGGTTCGTACACGATACAAATTTGGTGGAAAGGTGATCCTGGCGTCGAGAACTTCATTATCAAATATAACAACGAAGAAATCATGAAGAAGTGGGCTACTGGTCTCGACGTGCAGCGAAAGATCAATATCCCCCAATCGTCAGCAACAAGCCCCGAGCAGGCCACCCCCGGTTTCACTTGGATGAGAAATGTTGATAATATAGAGAATCCATATGCTGAAAAGGACGACGACGATGACGACGATGACGAACAGCCAATCCCAAGTCAAATGTCATCTCCTAACCCAGGATACAGCTCCAACATGGGAGGTGTAATGGCACATAATGGTTCAAGTAGTAGTCTTCGTGCTAGGTCGGTGACAACCGATAGCACTCAATCACTAGCCAGCCTAGCTAGAGCACCACCGCCCCAATTCCCGCTTCCGCTTGCCCCGAGACAGCTGAGTGTGCAGACGGGTAGTGCACAACCCCCTTTGCCTCGCGGCGGCGAATCGTACTTCTCCCCCACCGTAGACTCACCTGCATCATCCAGAACTAGCACAGCCAGCACTTTGTTAAGTCAAAACGGTCAGTATCCTTTCCCTCGGACTTCTACACCCCAAGGGGGTTGGGAAGATAGAGACACCAATCGATACACCGCTCCAGCTATGCCGCGGGCGCCCTCAAGAGACGGTTCAACGCCTGTTAATGGACGAAACCCGAGGGGACCATCTATGCCAGTCATGGCCTCGCAGCAAACACTCGCCCAGCAGCAACGCAGCCGATCATACAGTACACCTGATATCAACGGGCAAAATACACGAAGAGCTAATACCACTACTCCTGTTCCTGCAGTGCCTGGAATTCCACCTCACCTCCACCCTGCTCATGATTCTAACATCCCACGGTCTCAAACTGGATCTCCTCGACAGGATCCTCCTGTGCGTGCAAACACCCAGAGCCCAGGCGTTCAACGAGAGCGCTTGAACCAACAGAATGGCCAGTATGGCGCGACAATGTCCCAGTTCCCCACCCAGCCTATATATCCCCGACAGGCCACGCCGTCTATGGGACAAGCACCAGGGTCAACAGTGTCACAGCCCCTCAGTCTTGATGGCCGGCAAGTAGTATCGTCAGCCCTTGGCAATGCTGCTGCAGTCAATGCAGCCAGCAATCAGGATTTACCGATCCCGACACAGTTAAGAGTAAGAGTGAATTGTGATACGGGGACTTACGTAACGCTCGTTGTTCCTTTCAGCATCACTTATCAATCCCTCAGCGACCGTATTGACGGCAAACTCGCACGATTTACAACCAGCTCGATTAGTAAGGGTAATCTGAGGTTGAAATATCGTGACGAAGATGGCGACTTGGTCACTATCGAGAGTGACGATGACATCCAGATAGCGTTCCTCGAGTGGCGGGAGGGTGCAAGCAATATGTATACCAACGGTGTCGGAGAAATAGAGCTTTTCTGCGTTGGAGACATGAACTAAGCCTCAGGATAACCACCAAAGTCCATAGTCTTCCGACTTCCACCGGCTATATTTGACGAGTTATACCCACATTCGAACACCGACCGCGTACCTGTTTTAATACGACTACTGATACCAGAAGACCATTCCCATTACTAGCATTAGATGAGGCATGGATACCCCTCCCTTTTCTCCGTCTCATTCTCGTTCATTTATTCAAGTTTACGTTTCTGCGTACCGATTTCTCATGACACTCATTCAGCCCTCGTTCGCGATTCTCTGGACATATTACAACCACAAAACGTTGGACTAAAGCCATCTGTATCGTTTGGTTGTTTGTTTGTTCAGCATCTATCCTAAGTCTTTAAGTTTCGACCATCTCGGTACAGCGCTGACGGGTATCGGCTGTCCTTTTGGTAAATTCATGTTGCGATGCGCTTGTTGCGAAATAGAATATTCTGTCTACCGGTTGTGGCCGTTAGCGCCGCAACAACTGGGCATAAGATCATCGTATCACCTCGCCGAAACTGGGGCATCATTCTCAAGAGCATAAATCGGAGTTACCGGTGAGGCAGGCGGCATTGAAATGTTTGTTCTCTTCTCCTGTTTGGACAGCCTTTCCGGTGTGGCGCTAGTTATAGGATGACCGGGTTTGTTTTCATGCATCTGTCAATGCAAAAGCAGCATACGACATTTTTACTCCGAGTACTCGGATATGTGGAAGATGTGAGGAAGTTCACCTAGCGGAGGCGAGAGCGCCATGCTGTGTTTGACCGTTCCGTGGCCTGCTGCCAGCCTGACAGATTATATATATATGTAGAGGCAGCCAATAATCTACCTCCAATCCCAATTCTCATGCATTGCCTTTGCGTGCTGCTCTGCACAACAGATCTAATTCTAGATAGATAACGAAAGAATATTTTCTCATGTAAACAGCACACATCATATACTTCCTTTGTCTATACACGTACACGCATTACTCACTTAGTGGCGCTGGATATTCATTTCGCGAAATTGGAAGAGATGAAAGGCCACTTGCTACAGACTAGAGAGAGGTACCCCAATTACATTGGCGCAGCTCTTTTCACATTTATTGACCTTTGCTTGATTCACCACGGGTGCGAACCCTCCGGTTATTACCTGTTGCAGCAAATATCCGCCCGCGTTTTCACGAAGGAGTGGGGAGGGAAATGGCGTTCACCACCGTCCTTCCTGGTCACGTTGTGTTGTTGAGGCTGTTTTGTCTAGATTTAATAATATCGCTGGGTTATTTTAGCTGAGATGGATTCGAGCATTGATCTGCATTCGTGGCTCAAATGTATTGCTCCTGTGGTGCTTGTTTTGATTGTAAGAGATACAATCCACTAGCTAGGTAACTTTGCCATGCCGTCCTGGATCACCAAGTTTATCGCCATTGCGGCTGCGGTTGCGCCCTGCGCTGTTGTCCTCGCGAAGCCGGAGCAGATCCGTGGTGTATCGTCGCCTATCTTTCACTATTATCTGCAGGCTTATCGGCAAGATCGTGAGTCTTTGCTTCTCTTCTTGTCCCCCCCTCTCACCTTCTCGCTGCTTTCGACCTTGGGAGTACTCCAAACTGTCTCACGTCCCATGTAGACGATCGCGCATTCATTCATAGCATATGACACACTGACACGCATGTTGTATTTCTCTGAGCAGCGAAAATCCCAGTCATGGGCCCGGAGGCGAGCAGCGAGTACTTCAACATCGCGAGCGGAGCGATCCAGAGCGCCAACAGCAGCGCGTATCTGACGGTCGGCCAGGACAGCACCTCGTACAAGACGCTGACGCTGAGCGCGGGGACGGCGGCGGCGGCGCTTGGCTGGGCCCTCGAGGGAGACACTATCATCACGGGCACGAGCAGCGCTTGGGGCCGCCAGCTAAACTTCCTCGTGTGCAAGATTGGGAGCGGTGATTACTGGCAGGTGTATCTACAGACCGGTAGCGAGGTCCCGTCTGGCAAGACGTGCAGTAACTACCAGAGCCTGCACTTGCCTTGTCTTTGCTAGGGGGGTTATTAGGTGTTGGGCAGGAAGTGAGCTGCACGTGAGAGGGCTTGGTGACCAATATGTATATATGGGTTGGGTATTTTGATATATTTACATTCAGAGTCTTATTCTTGATGTACATTTTTAGCCCCGGGAGCATTTTAGCCCCGTTGTTTGAGCGTATGGATACCTCTAAACTGGGCTACCTGATTTTGAGAATCTGTTATGACTGCACGTAGCACGCCCTGGGCAAGTTGTTGTTTCATCTCCTCTCTTCTTCGTGTCTTCGTATTGTATCGTACAATGTATAAGGCGTAAGCTACACGAGGTAGTCGTTTTCTAGATGATGATAGGCGAAGATCTAATCGCCTAAACAGTATAATGGTTGGAAACCCGCCAGGTCTGCCTTCGAGTGGGGGTAGGTCGAGGCGTAGTCGAGGTGTTGGCCAGATTATGGATGTCCAATCAATAGCTGCTAAATCATCCCGATCACCTCTTCTTCCTCGCCGTGTATGTGAGTCTGTCCTTAAATCGAGAGAGATGGTAGTTGACTTCGCTCTTGCGCGGCGGGGCAGGACGTGGTCCGTCCATGCATGCTCGCAGGGCTTGCTCGACCTGGGCGCATCCGGCTGTGCTATAGCCTGCAGAAGCCCAGCATGCTATACGAAGGGACGGAGGCGTTAGTCATTGCCGAATCAGTGAAGCTATTCGTCAGCATCGTGGTAAAGTCTTACAGAGAACAGTGGTCATGATGGACATGCAAGCTCGCGCTGGCTTGGCGTTGGGATCCCGCACACGCAAAGCCTTCAGCGGTGGCAGGCGAATGGGCTTCTGAGCCAAAGACATCTTGAGACGAGATTAGTCGATCACTGGGCTGGCGTAGCTGATGATCGATCTCGCGATGGAATGATGGATTATCGATCGACGATAAATGTAGCGTTCCTCTCAAAATGCTATGCGAACATCCTAGCGCTAGAAGTTTGAGGTCACGTGATGATCCCAAAAGCCACCAGGGTCGAATGTCTGAAGTGATCGCCAGCTGGCGATCACTTGCCTCCAAACAAAGCATGGCTGCGTAATCTGATCGCGCGACAAAAACATTTGACCTCACATTCACGCGGATTGATGGCTCTAAACTGACGGCCTACTGTACCCATGACGGAAACCTGATCTCTGCTCTGATACATCATCCCTCCCTAACTAGTTACTTGTAACTGAAGTTCAAGTGTCACCACTAGTACCGACCGTAGTAATGGATGCCTAGGTAGGAACCACATGGATATAGGTGCGACGTAACCTAGGTATTTCCACCGTTCTACCGCACGAGCATTCCTAGTGGCTGATCAAGACTTAGGTAACAAGAACTACTAATGCATCTCATTAAAGCCTTGTGACCTCAGCCTTCGGGGGCATACCATGTATCTAACTTCGTGATTATGCGCTGGTTGGGCTGATCACGGACGGGCCAGCGGGACGCACGTCATGAACCATCAACATTGGCGTTCGGGTGCGTCAGTCGTGACACTCCATCGTGCTGGTTACCGAGATCGGCAGAGGCGAGGTCGCCTAGACCTCATACGATCTTAAAATACTACACTCATTCTTGAGTGCTTCTGGATAGGTTTCTGCCAAGGTGTCATGTGCTATCCCCTTCAGCGCTGTGTTATTATATCTTGGACTTCGAGCCAGTACGTCTTGTGGCATATTACAGGATACGCGGTAAGAATGAAGGGGCCTCCGCAATGCAGCTACATGCTTAGTGGCCTCAATACTAGCTAAAAGATACTACCAACGCGCTACTGTACGTCTTTCTGATCCTTCAACACCCTCAGCTCTACGGATAAGTTCAGCTGTGGGACACAAGGCCGGGGCTACATGCCAATTGCCTAATGTTAGACCTCTGGTCTCGTGCGTGTGAGAAGTTTATGGGTCTATTCCATCAGCTGATCGTGGTGGCCATTTTCAGTGTAATAGCAGGCAGACCAACAGTTCGCAGCTGAAGTCATGGAATTTCGTTTCTATCCCGCATAAACCGCAGGTACAATACTAAACAATACATACTAGAAAGCGGCATGGGGAAGATATGACAGGGGGAAAGGCGAGTTTTATTTACTCTCATATTTCTTTCGTCTTTCCCATTATAGATCTGTTGGTGAGATACGATAAGCTTCAAAAACAGGCTTTGCCCACCACTCGCTCAAATCCTATAGAAAGATGCTATGTGTAACTTAGGGATACCAAGGCTCTTTGCGTTATTTAACCCGTCACCGTGAAGCTATAGTGCTAACGCTACCGGCAGTCTGGTTCGGTCTAGCCAGAATTTTTTTTCTTTCGTTTTGTTCTCAGTCTTATTGCTAATTGCTCACCAGATTGTATTCCCATGAGATCCGTCTTCGGAGCCTTTTGCTGATTTGGGACATGGAAACCCCTAACTATTGGATCACTCGGTATAGAGAGAGTGGAGGCAATGCACACCAAGCGCAAGTGATGACTTGCTGTTGCAATAATCGGTCCACTATGACTATAGTATTCCATTCACGCCATGCCGGGTTGGCACACCACCAAGTTTTTCGGGTCAAACGCGCGTTCTCGGCATGCAGACGACATGGTTATCTTATCAATCTGATCGATCCGATCAATCTGATAAAATTTTCCTTCAAGGGTCCATACCACTACGCGGCGCTAGTAAGCTAGCACTTGGTCTACTTTTGTACGGACCACGGTCACCCCTGTAATGGGGCAGACAGCTGAAGCCGAAGATTCTTCTGCGCACGGGTTTCTCTTGTGCTACGTTACTGTCTTACCATGTGTGAGACCACTGTATACTCAAGGACCAGAATGTTGAGATGAGACAATGTCTTGCTTATTCTCGTTCAAAAAAACTCCCCAAGGCAATACTAGACGGGAACGCCGTTCTGATCGACTGAGGAAAACTCCCTCATTTCTCTCAAGAAATCCTTTGACCGGTGTCGTCCGAGTTAGGGAATAGTGACCGCGTCTAGCTTTTGGCGTGGTGATGTATTGTGTGGACTGTTTGCTTCTGCAATTGGTTACCTACGAGTACCTGTGCTTGTCCCGCTGTCGGCACGCATACTAGTGAGTACTTTTTTCCTACCTCGAGAAAATGCTCAGTCCAGCACCTCCGCTTGGTGCTTGGCAAGACCCGGTCTTAGGAGCAGTCGCAGGTTAGTGTAGGTACGACGAACGGTCTGGCTCGATCGCGCCACGCCACTCGCTCCCCGGCCCTTTCAACGCGCATGCAGTATCACCCATCTTCCGTCCCTGTCCGTAGGTAGATTCCGAGCATGGTAGGACTGCTTGTATTTAAGAATACCCTGCAGCCCAACACCCCTCCCGCTGCCTCACCGATCTCTATCTCTCAAAAACTCTGGATATACAGTCAACCTCTTCTTGGTTGTTTATCCTGACTCCAAAATGAGGAACCCTTTCAAAACCTTTATCCAGGAGCGGCCTACGGTAGAGGAGGTGGCTCCGCGGTCAGACGACAAGGAAGCTATTGGAGCTGATAGCAAAGATGCTACTCTAGCCACCGAACGACCCCCCAGCAGCCAGGGGGGAGATGATGATTCTATCAATAAAGATGCTCAGGCAGGTGTCCAGAAGATGGAAGCCATCACCAAAACCTGGACGAAGCGCGACCTTTATCTCGCCTATACATTGTAAGCCCACCACTTACCCCATGCTCGCCATGGTGGAAGCTGACGACATTCCAGGATTTGGTTCATTTACTTTATCGATGCTATACAACAAGGAATGGGGTTCTTGTTGACCCCCTATGTCACCAGTTCTTTCCAAGAACACTCTTTGACGGCTACAGTAGGCGTCGCAGCCAACATTATTGGAGGCATTTCAAAGCTTCCATTAGCCAAGATATTAGATGTATGGGGTCGTCCTCAAGGGTACCTCTTGACAATGTCCTCTATGACCCTTGGGCTTGTTCTCATGGCAGCTTGCAACAACGTCAACACATATGCCGCAGCACAAATTTTCTACTGGGTCGGGTATGGATACTTACCAACTCGTTTTTTTACTATAATAATATCATCAATGACTAACAAGTATGATATGATAGATATAACGGAATCTCTTATACTTCGAGTGTTTTCATTGCCGACACTTCTGCGTTGAAGAACAGAGGATTCGTGCTCGCCTATGTTAGCTCGCCGTACATAATTACGGTGTGGGTCACTGGCCCTCTTGCCCAGAGTGTCCTCAATGGTATCGGCTGGAGATGGGCCTTCGGTATCTTCGCCATCATTACGCCAATCATCTGCTTACCTCTCTACTTCTTGTTCGCATATAACCAGCGCAAAGCGGTGCAGCAAGGAATCCTCGTCCGACCCAAGAGTGGCCGTACTGTGATGCAGTCGATTGTCCACTACTTCTGGGAGTTCGATATCATCTGCCTCATCTTGGTATCTGGCGGCTTCACCCTTTTCCTCCTTCCCTTCAGCATCGCTACGAGCCAACGGTACGGCTGGAGAGATCCCCTCACCATCTCCTTCCTCGTTGTCGGCTTTGTTCTTCTCGGCCTCGCCGTTGTTTGGGAGAAGTACTGGGCCCCCGTCAAATTCCTGCCATGGCGACTTCTTAAGGATCGCACTGTCCTCGGTGCCTGTGTTCTCGCTGCCGTGCTGTTTATTGAGTACTACATCTGGACAGCATACTTCACGTCGTTCCTCCAGGTCGTTCTTAGACTCAAAGTGTGGCAGACAGGTTACATCGGCAACATCTACAGTATTGGATCTACCTTCTTCAGTCTCATTGTGGGTGTCGCCATCCGAAAAACCGGCCGCTTCAAGTGGGTTGCCTTATACTTTGGTGTGCCCGTTACCATCCTTGCTATCGGCCTTTTGATTCACTTCCGTCATGAAGGAACCCCACTTGGCTGGATCATTTTCGTCGAGATCATCTACGCCTTCGCTGGTGGTGCCTGTGTCATCGCCGAGCAAGTTGCTGTCATGGCTGCAGCATCTCACCAAGAAGTCGCTGTCGTCCTGGCCATCGAGGGTCTATTCTCCAGCGTTGGTGGTGGTATCGGTGGCACCGTTGCCGGCGCTATCTGGACCGGCATCTTTCCCCGCAAGCTTTTGGAATACTTGCCCGCGGAGACTAAGGACCAGTTTGCCACCATTTATGGTGACTTGGCTGCTCAGATCTCGTACCCTGTCGGCTCAGCAACCCACACAGCTATCGTCCGAGCTTACGATGACGCTCTCAAAAACATGTTCATTGCCGCCACCACCATCACCGTCATTGGTCTCGCTGGTGTCATCGCCTGGCGCGATATTAGACTCAAGGACTTCAAGCAAGTCAAGGGTAATGTCTGGTAAACGTTTCACCTGTGGTGTGGGTTTCCAGTCCCCAATACTATCACTACGTAACGAAACTCGAGGGAAACGCCCAAATTTGACAGCTTTCGAGATGCTAGTTAAGCGGCCGGTATACGGTAAGCGAGAAGCTACAAGTACAAAAGAAAGGTGCGATCGTTTTGGGCAGGTACTAAACTATATAAAGTTAAATGTGTAATAATTAAATCAGAAGATCAAGATAACTACTCAATCTTGTAAATCTACAATTTGTTCCAAACTGTAAGTCAGCTGTACTTGTCAACGAAACACCGGCGTTGGAATTTCGCCTGTGAGTTATTGCTCTTCTGACAATGCAGTTATTTTGTCTTGGGTTTCTTTGATTTTGAATTATGCTTCGTTTCACCTCCTCGCCTTTCGTTGTCTATACTTCTCAGTCGCCGGTTCCGGATTTGTGTATCTGCATTTGATACAAAACTCAGGAATTCGGTAGCCCTCGCACTTCTTCAAACCCGATACTCGCAGCCGTGTAAAGTATAGATTCGCATGGATGTGTAACTCGACATAATTATTGCTCAAACTTTTGGCAGGGAGATTATCAACAGACACCAAGGCAAGGCATCTAGATCCGAGCGCTTGCGTAAACTTACGTTGTTAGGAGCGCAAATCTCCTGTAACCCACTGTTAGTGACGTGTATGAACTTGATGTGTAATGTCCAAGAAACTGCGCTTTTCGCCGATCAACTCGTCTGACGCAGTATATGTGCCTCTTTGGTATCATGGATACACGCTAAGGTAAACTCGAATTAGAATCCACAGAGGCCTTGTGAGTTGGACAGTGTGTTGCCTTTGTGACTTCTAGCTATGGCGATGTATCTATTAGAGACTTCTATGTATCCTGGCAGGATAGCCGGGCCTGCGTAAAAAGAGCATTTTGAATGTCCCAATGGATGGGGTTATTAAGTCATTATGGAGAGATCAGTTTCCTGGTTACCTGGGATCAGCCACCTACGATGTCTTTGATCCACGAGGCTTGATATGTTGATCATGTCATCATCTTTTCTTGCCCCCGAGGGTCACTGCTTGTACAGGGCATTGTAGACCCCTGAAAAGGTGCAACAATCGCGAGATCGGGGGGTTGCCATAAAGCTAAGTCGAACGGATCACGAGACCAAACAACGTAAAACGATATGGTAACAGAACTTGGCAAGGGTTCCGGTGGAGCGAGTTTCAATATATTGCGTGTCATACGATCTACAGTAGCGTACCTACTAAGTAGGCGTGTTGGTTATCCCTACATGTGGACTCTACCGCCTTTCTGGGTAGGCCCACCAACTGACCTCGAAAAGGTTACACCACGTTTGATTAAACTCCTCTCTGCATATTCATGCTTGCTTGTGGTGAAGCAAAGCAACACCATTCTCGCGGTAATGTCCATGTGGTGAGGACACAGCTGAAGCTAAAGGAGATGAGCCATTTTCCGCCGAAACTTGTGAGAAATTCCAAATCAGCAGCTGGGCCCTCATGCTACATGTGAAAGTTAGCCACGGGCTATTGTTTGCTCGGTTCCGCTGTGGATAGCTATTAAATGAGACCTGGGAAACTTGTGGCGGCATAAATTCGAGGAGCCTTGGGAGCTACTGAAGGGATGTCGCGTGCCCATGGAAGCGGACCCATTATGAGGCTATTATTAGTCGCGAGGTTTTCATCTTCATTTAATCAAGGCACGGTACAATTTCCTATTGACCTGTCCTCACGCTTCGCATACTATATCAAAAAAAAAATCTATATAGAAGCTGATTAGAGTTGAAGAAGGGAAAACGCGTGCCGGCAAGAAACACTACCTAATAATACCTTATAAAGCGGCATCAACTTTCAGGCCAATAGGAGGCTATAATGGTACCCTAGCCACAGGACATGTTGACTGACAAGCCACAATACCAACGCCACACTTGGTACCAGACGGGCAATGACAGCTCCAACGGTCGATGGTAATAGTGATAACTCTTAACGTTCATCAAGAGTCATTCAAAGCTATTCAAAGCCATTCAAAGCCCCCCAAGCACTTCCAGATACAATCTATTAGGGAAAAATCGCGGCAGATTCGAAAATTCTTTACCGATTATGTGTACAGATGCATGTACCTGAGCAGGTACCAAGGCACTCAATTAGCAACCGCTTCCGACTGGCGACAAGTGCCAACGCTGCGTGGCATCTCAACATCATCAGTATCCTTCACTTACCGTAACGCCATTACAGTGGTACCGTCTCATCTCTTCCTGTCGCAGTGAATTCTCTAAAGACAGTATCCCTCTTGACTTTATCGATACTCTGAGCTTAGCAGAAGTACACTCTCCGCGTCGTGACGGACCGCAGCTTATCACTCAGTTACGGGACCACATGGTCACCAACCGTATCCAAGACAGAGTCACGAAGCACTATTCGATATGCATGAATTATTTCTCACTGCATCCGTTAAGCCAGGAGAGTTCGACACAGCCTGCGCCATACTCCAGGGCTTATCATGGATGACGGCGCGTCGGACGATTCACCGGATTCTCTTCTTTGCAGGTCAGCCACAGCCGAAGGGGCTGCCTAAGGCCGTACACCCAAGCGTCCTACCACGCCAGCAAGAGAAGCAGTTATGGGGGGAATTGAACAAGCAGCTTCTGCGCTCATCATACATATTGCAGGCCACGTATGAGGTAGCGCCAGAGGTAGACTTCGGCAAGGAATCTACTGTAGACCTCAACCGCCTTCCCGCCACCCTTAGATGGACTGACTTACCGGACCCTCTACGAGATTCTCCCATCACATCTAGAAAGAAGATCGAAATACCGTTTCCACACAACTTACCAGGATCGCTATTTGCGAATGGACACACGTACTTACATCAACCTACCTTCATCTGTTCACTTACTACTTAGATCGCTAATCTATCACTATAGGTACACAAATGAGCTCATCCAAGAGAGCTATTCATTCAATAGAGGGGACCTAGAGATTGTGTTGAGCAGGTACTATCACCTACCTGAATCACCGGGTCGTCCTATCGCACACCTGCCGCCATGGGCTGATCTACGGCCCGTCGACTCAGCGCAGAAATGGGTGCTCAACGTCAAGTTGAATGTCGCTGAAGACGGTCAGCCCGAGAAGCTCACGAAGGCCAACGAGGAGCTCATGCGCAATAAGGCAGAGTTTGACAAGCTCTTCGATTTCAAGGTCGTCGATCGACGTATCTTCGATACGAGAATCGCCCCGCCTCCTATTGTTCCTGGTCGCGGACCGGTCTGAATGCAGGCAAGGTTTTGTTTTACTGTACTTACACTTACCTGATATACACAACTGCTTCCACCATGGATGTTGAGGTACTGAAGTATAGGCGCTTGGCTTATAGAGACCTGCAGACCTAGTAAGAATTGTCCGCACGGGAACATCACGTTACTCCATGCTAGCGCTGCATAGATTATTGTTTCGAGCTATATCAGGATGAGCCACTGCCCATATCTGCGTGTGACACTCGCGGTCCTGAAGCCTTATGGGAAATGGGAAAGCCACAAGAGCCACCTGGAAGACTTGCGGCTCAATCTATAGAATGGCTTTTCACTAGACTCTAATGTCTACTGCTATAGACCAGATCATTTATCATCATTAATGAGATGCCAATGCTGGGATCACCGGGGCGGACATGGACTATTACCGGCTGTCTTAAATGAGAAGTGGGCATCTGTCCTCTGTCTCTAGTTATAGTGATCAGCTTTGTGCTATTTTAAACTATCCTACATATACTCCGTCGTAGCTACCTCGGACATCTGACAGAGAGAATACCACTTTACATACACAGCAAGGAGATCTCGCAGCTCAGGGCCCAGAACATCACTTCAACTTTGGAACATTTACAACGTCGCCATTCTCCATCAGATAGGGTGTGATGTAGCCAATGGACATCAAAGCCTTGCTTGTGTCTACCCAATCGGGCTCGTGCTCAACGGACTTGGCCCAATCGGGATCTGCGAGCATGCCCTCAATGTTCTTGACATCCGTGAACACGTACTCAATGAAGCAGTCGAAATCAGCATACTGCCACTTCTCTCTGTGACCGCCCGCCATGCTGGCTTTGAGTTGCTCGTTCATCGAAGCAGGTGTATCGAACTACTTTGGGGTCAATGGGCCATCACTAACCAATGCCAGCGGCGGGCGAGATGGAACATACGAGCGAGTAGCTCACAAAGCCATTTCTCTTCAAGATGGGCATGAGTAGCGGCAAGTGGTCATCGATGATCCATCTCATGAAGTCCTCATGTGTGTGCTGGGGCAGGCGATAATGGGTGACAGTCAGCTTGACATGAGTCGCCATGATGGTCTGTTGGTTATTGTTGTGCACTATGACCTATTGGTATCCCCGAGTACTAAGATTGAACCGAAGTGAAAGAGTAATGCTCTTGTGCTGATCCACGTTTGAGAATGAGGAGCGTCGGTCCGTTTTCTACTGAATGCTCAACCCGTGGTCTTCCTCCCCTACGACGTTACCCCTCCTTGAGGCGACATTGTGCGAGGCGGTGAGGGGTTGTACCTGCACGGAGAAATCCTTTGCTATTCCCGGAGCCCGTCTGTACTGCGTGACGAGGCCTTGGGATTTTGGTGCGCAATAAGACCGCTAGTTTTGGCGCAACATAACGCAGGGGACAGCCTGAACAAGCGGGAATTAGGTAGTACTGGATCAGCTTAGCCCAGCTCTGATATCGATCTTGCAAGGGTGACCGACTATTCAGCCACACTCAGCTCGCAAGGCTGGACTGTTATAACTTTTCATTCATCTTGCGAGACTCGATGTGCTAGGATACCTAGTAAGTAAGGGATGGAATCTCTCACATGATAGGTGGAAAACTGTGCATAAACACAGTTGAGGTATGGTAGTGGTCAGAATTGTGCCATTTCACTAATATCGATTAGGAGTCTGGCTGATCATACATACGAAGTACTGTGTCTCAATGCGGGCGCTGCAGGTGGTGGTCAACGCCCCGCATGAGTGTCTACCCGCATACCCTAGGATTAAAGAAGGTAATCGAAAAACATGATCTTCTTTTCTCTTTTCTACCTCGACTATATCGCACACTTTCAAGTGATGGCCATCCCATCATATACACCGGTGACCGAAGAACGTGCTTGGGTATAGGACTACGATTGATTGATTGATTAATTAGTTCAACGTCGTGAGGGGCGTTATCGCCGCATCTCTGATATCCCTTGGATAGCGGATGAGCTCATCTACTAGAACCCGATATTCAAAGAACTCGATAACGAAGATAGCAAAAGAATTATCTAGCGGCAGATCCTCTTTGATCAGGCTCTTGTACTCCTCGAGACGTTCTCGATGCTCGCCATTCCGAGATCCCTCCCTCGCTGTCTCCAGTAATAAGCACATTATCTGACCACAGCGAGGCGCTAGGTTAGCTTCCTGTTCTGGTAAGTCTATACCTTCATTTCTCCATGCTAATAGGTCCTTAATAGCTGTGTTATGATGGTACTGTAATCAGACAGCAGAGTCTTGCTACTAGAGTCGACAACCACTAAAGATATCTATTTCTCTATAACGGAAAACAAATGATGAAGACATTTGGTGGACGAGAAAGCCGGAGTTAACACATGTGGCAGTATTTCCTAATTGACAGACTTCTTAAATTCAAGAATTTGCTAGCCTTGACAGATCATGGATATGAAGATAATATCATAAGGTGGATTAGAACATAACAAACTTCCTGTAAGACACTGTAGATAATACGCGAGTATTAACTCCTGCCGCACCTTACCGCCCAGCGATTTAGAGTGGCAGGAAAAAACAAGAGACATCAAGACAAAAAAATGGCGTCCCACGCGCTGCCAACCCAATGCCCAGTACAAATATGTCTGGAGTTGGGTATACGACAGGTCATCTTAAGATTTTTCGCTCCTATACCTAAAGCGGAGGGTACATATGAACAGAGTGCAATCTAAGAAGGATAGAGCAAGACATACAGATGCAGATTTGTAGCCGACTGATTATTAGTATTATACGGACGATATCAGTGGCTAACTGCCATGAAATCAGGTACTACTAGTAACTAGAGAACGTTTGGAATAGAGTCGTAGTTGGTTCACATAGGTTTTTCTTCAGACTTTTAGTTCTACAAAGGCTGTTAATGATCTAATATATAAAATTTTATATTAAAGATTTATCTAGATAAGAAAATGAGAAAACAGAGGTCTAGATGAAATTCTTATGCCCATTGCGGTTTAGAACACGCTGTCTTAATAGCAAGATCTTTTTGCATTTTTTGGCCACGTCAAAGAAGAATATGCGCAGCCATGGTGCCCCTTTATCCATCCATGACTGTAGGTGATTCGGGAGAAGACTATTAGTAAGTCGTACGTGACCGTCCGTATCGTATTTTATATCGTCTTCGCTTGAAGATGCCAATTGGAATCCACACTGTCCCGGAAAAGGACGGTGGATAGCAATCGGTCGGGTCATGGCAAGAGCAACGTAACGATGCTCCGAACTAGTGTGCGCATCAGCGGGAGATAGTCCTGCCTGTAGCCAACAGAAGCCGATGTCATTTGTTTCAGCCACCAGCCACTGTATACGTATAACAAGGGCAGATTGAACTGGGCTTGGAACTGAGGATTCTGATTACAATGATCAACTAGGGCTGCATTAGTCCTTGACCAACCAACTCCTTCTCGGCTGTTGGTGGCTTGAGGTGACTCTATATACAAATGATCTGCCAGCCCAGACCGCCTGGGTCTCTAGGGTCTGTTTCAAGAAGCGAAGTCTGTATAACCTCACTTTCCAATATTGCCTGCATGTCTTGGAAGGTCATGAACAGCCTGCAATGGTCCTTCGTACGGCCGAAGTGCAAGGCGAACTGCATTCTTCAACCGGTACAGAGGTTACACGTGTAACAATACGACATTTTATGAATGTCCCAATGCACAGGAACAGGCTGACGAATGGATCGGCATGTAATTGCCTCTTGGGCGCAGGCGTATCCTCTTCTATCTAGAAACGTAAGAGGATAGGATTAGGCCCTTGTCTCTCCAATGGTTCGGTCTGGAGCAGACAGCGGCACGCTTCAAGTTCGCTGATACTGATGGCACTTGTCATGACTAGTGCGCTCCGATACGTAGGTTCGTGGACTGTTCTCCGCAATGGGCCAATACATATGATTGCATCAGGATTGCACAATCCCTGAGATACATGGGTGATACCCATGGTAACCCAAAGAATCCTGGGCTTCTGCGTCGCTCTGCTAAAAACCCTTCGTTGCTCGAGCGAGGTGAGGTCGTCCATCTCGTACCCAATGAAAACCTCTCGTGGGAAGCTTCCAGTAGCAAATACTTCGTTTTCTCCTCACACACAATCAATATAAGGGGAACTTTGGCTGTAATGAGCGTTATCTGTGACATGATTTGGTTCGCAATCTCTAGATTCGGACCCTCCTCATCGAACTCGCAGCCTATCGTGATCATTTTCTCACGCATCCCACGGGTCAAGTTCGGCGGGGACTCGAAACTAGGAATCATTGAGTAGGCCTTTCACACGCCAGGCCAAAACGCGATTGGACGGGCGCAGAGTGAGCATACCCGGGACCATTGGTCACCGGAAGCACGGAATCTATTCCAGGTGGAAACACCAAAGTAGACTGCATGATCCCAAGCAGATAGATCAGGGATCAGAGTATCGACAACAAGCGCGAAACGCGCCCCGGGTATGAACCCATGTGCTCGGAAGAAAATGGCAGCCACTTCAACGCTGATTTCGCCTTCAATTCTACTGTTGTCCAGTTGCTTTTTCAAGGCTTTTTGCATAAGCTACTTGTTGGGTTCGGTTGCTGTCAAGACAACAAATGTGGTCTGTTGTTGTTCTTTCTGCTTATCTTGTTCGTGCTGTCGCCACTCCGTCCACAGCGACACGATGAGCGGATACTTGAAGGACATGTAACCACTTAAGAATGCCGAGGAACACGCTTCCTAGGTGCTCATGGTCTCGCCCAATACAGGGCGAAATTTGGGTTGCGAGAACTCCATTAGGCTTTGAGCGTGGGGTATCTCAATGAGTTGACGCGTGTTTGTGCTGTGTGTGTTGATGTTGTAAGATGACCGCATGGATAATTGTCGAGTGGCGAGTTGGATAATGGCAGCAGGCCAGTCAATCACATACGAGGTGCCTTCCAGCTCAGTAGAAGGTCAATAAGAGCAGCAGTGATTAATTGATGGAGCGGGGGGCAAAGTTCCCGTGTGATGTTTTGCTGTTTTAGAAATGTAAACCGCGAGAGGTTGAAAATCTTTTCTCCGCATGACATATGTGCAGTCACCTGACCTTGGAATCCGCATACTCGTTGCTGTTTATACAATGGGCGGTTACACGGATTCCATGGTTATTCGGGTGTGGCTACCTTGGTACCTCCGAGTTTCTTCGATTGTTGTCAACTTGTGGCTGCCAGCTCCAATCATTCAATATAAGTCATCTTCAAAGTCCTGAATACTAGCTTATGCTGCTAGCTATGAAAATAGGAAATTAAAAAGATCACACAGCTGTCACGAGCTGGTTACTGAAGGGAGCTATGTTGAGAAATCAAAATGAAGAAGACTAGTTCACAAGATCACAGCAGACATTCGTCAAGTATTATTTCGGTTACCTGAAATAAGAAGATCCTCTATGCTCCGGGCCGGCCCCCGACCTCGAGAGGCTTGCCTTCGGCCTCGACTTCCATAGCCCTTGCCGGCGTTGTAGTTCTGGACTGTATAACTTCCGCTGTGACGGTAGTCTTGTCCTCCTGCGTGGCCTCTACGGTTGGAGTAGTTCCTCCACGCCCTGGGCGGCCCTGGAGGTCGTCATCGCCTCTTCGGTCTAGATTTGTGATTATTACCACCTATTTACCTATACCGGTAGTGTGTGACTTGGCTCTGATTGTACAGGCGCCTCCTAGGACTCTAGAGGCCGGTGTGGATTCCCCTTAGACCCAGAGCCGGACTTTAGTCCCTGGAGTCCATATGAATTGCCTCACGGTGCTCTCTCACGGCCAGAATGATGATCCGTGCCGTTTTGAGGTTAAGAGTTCTGTGTAGGCTTCTTCTACCTGTTCGTCTCGCTCTGGTTAGAGCCTTGGTATATCGCCTCTTCCCTATCGCCATCTACATCACGGTGCTATCTCTTCAAGCCGTGACGACCAGTTTTTCCATCAGTCATTGTAGTATCTCCTTTCGTGGAGTCTATTGGCTACAGTGTCGGTCTGTCCAGGGTAGGACCTCTGATGCCATCGCGGAACAGAGTAGACAAATCGTGAGAAGCAGTCTTCGGTGTCTGTTTCTGCTTTTGGTTATATTTAACCCATTGATATTGAGAAGGCCAAAATGTGTTCTTGACGACTTCTGCAGCTCTGTGGTCTTCCTTATAGTTCGTCAAGTCTACTCTACCGTAGAGAAGAACCGACTCAACTTTATCCGATAAACCGATACAAAAACCGGGGTCATGGATGAACAAAGTGTCTCTCCGATCTAGCGGTTCATTTATCGGCCCAATGGGTACCCCGCCCTTTGTCCACAATTGAAGTTCCCCATGTGTGTCGGTCTTCTGTCCAGTAGAGGGACATTTGTAACAGGCGATGAGAGTATAAATGTGTTCTCTCTCCTCTAAGCCTGCCTCATCTATGGCTTCTTGTCGAACAGTGAATGAACGAAAATCAGAAAAGCTTGTGAGGGCGGGTTGCGAGTCCTCGCGCTCATAGGGCCGGCAATGAAGTCGGATAATTAGAGGGAAATTACAATTCCGCTTCGCAACTCCTTTGGAACGGCCTCGAAGAGGTAAAGTATCTTGGTAGCGTATACGAAGCTTTTCTTCGATGCTATCGCCCATCTGGAGCGTTACTACTTCTCTCTTGTAAATATCCTTGATATCACTCTTGTCTAGTACGAGTTTTTGACGTCTGCCTTCCTTGCGGACCAGTATATTGGGACTGTCGAGGCGCAGAGATGCTGATCCCCAAAAGTCTGCCATTGTGATGTGATCCAGGACCTGTAAGAGTGTAAGACTTTCTCCCCTTTGGATGGGGACCTCAAGTTCTTGAAGTAGTGCCTGAACTTCTTCAGGTTTGGTCTGGTCAGAGAGCGGTTCGGCTTTCCATGCAAATTGCATCAGCCGAGATTCATTCGCCCCAAATAGGGTATGGACCCCAGAGAATGCAAATATGCGACGTAGGAACATGATGGCGGCTGCAATACCATGCAAGTTCATTCGAATCTTTTTGCCATCTTGGACTAGATCCCATTCCAGCTTTGTTGGCTAAAACGCGACCAAAGCCCGGCAGAGTGAAGTCGGATCGTCTTTATAAACTATTCGGAGATCATCCGACTGACCAATCTCGCTTTGCATGTTCTTAAGTTCTGTCATATTGCCGGTTGAATCTAGCTCAAGGTAATTCATGAGAACTCCGCAAAGCTGCATTCTAGATATTGGAGAAGAAAAAAGAGGCATGTTTATGATCAAACACCTACGTAGTGCTACCTTGGTACCTCAGGTACGTATGGAGTTGCTACTGAGAGTGCCGGCGATTCCACATAGGTATCTCAGTAGGCAACAGCCCACCTGACAACAGAACCCGTATAACCGCCAGTGGTATAAACACAGATAACGAGTAATTATACGGATTTCGTTGCTACGTGACTAAAATTACCCTTTGCCTACTATTCATCTACATTTATCAATGAAATAGCCCTTCAAGGCATACCAGTGCACAGCAAAATTTACAGTGCGGTCGTTGTCTATTTACTTCCAACACATCATCCAGGGGCGAATAGGGCTAAGAGATCTTACAGAGCTTTGGAATATTTAGTAGTAATTATACGATGGTCAAGTTCAAACATACCTAGGTTGCTGCAAAGACATGGATCGAAGCGAAATCCCACAGCAGGTAATGATCTGAGCTAGTACTGCCATGATTGCGACCATATGTGAACCTCTTTTCAGCGGGAACAGATATAATACCGACTCTAGAGATGAATCTTGGCCCACACCGACATAGACATAATAGGAGGGGTAGGAGGACGAGACGTGACTGCACGCGTATACGTGTCTGCCGCGACGAGCGTAACGATCACCTATCGACCATCGCAGGAAAAGGCTATAATAAAGATAACCTGAAGACCCCTTACTCAAATACTCTCGTGGAAGCTGTACGTAGTTTCCCCCTTTCCTGCCCCTGTCCTCGTCTTTTCCTCTTTCGGGTAGATCACCGTTCCCTATACACAGGGTAAAACGTACCGTTGTCCTTATTGCCGTCGACTAGAGGAATCTCAATGTTCACGGGGTCGTCTTGGAGACGGTGTATTATGAAGAAGCGGGCCGTCTCCGAGGCGTGAGAGTAGTAGGGTTTAGTCGCTAGCGCTGAATGCCTTATCCCAGAGTCAATGCTACCAGGCATTCCATAATCTTCGGCGAACAGTGAGAGTAGCAGTGGTCAGGGTGCAGTAGAGGGTACTGAATGTTTGGAATACAGGTTCTAATTTTTTCCTTTTTGTAGTCCTACATAGACATTAACAGGCATTGCGCCTGAATCATAATACAGTAAAGAAGCAAAACATTCATCTTCATCAATCCCCCAAAGTTCATACAGGCGGATCGCAAGACCACAACCAGTGGTATTCGTCAAATATAACGATAAAGGTACACGCCAACGCTAGCCAAACCCGTAACGTCGAGTTAGGGTTGGCAAATGTACAATTTAAATCAAGCAACGTAACTCAAACGTCAAAAGGTATCGATGCTCCCAGTCATTAGAATTCCCTATCGCCATATCCCGTGTTCCGAGTCACAGAAACCGTCAGTTCCCGCTTTATTCCGGGCGTACTAAAGTTCTGCTGAGCTTGGTTCTGTCGGGAAATCGAATAATCGTAAGTCTTCGCAGGCTGTGGGCCGCCGTCCGAGGAATTATTGTTGTGCATGTAACCATGCGATTCTTCGAGGAGCTCAAAATCGCCTTCGTCCGCGTTCGACGATCCGTTGCTCTTCTTGAGCTTTCGGGAGTTGAAGGTGTTCATGATTACACCGCCACCGGATGGGCCAGAACGGCCGCTCGACATGGTCTTTGTTGGCCGAATGATAGGCGACAGGATCGGTATCGACACCGCGAATAGGACCACGCTTATCTCGGTTCTATCAAGGGTGTTAGTATTTTGGGGTATCCGAGTGGCCACTCCCCAGAGCGGCATTCCTCGGGCTTTGCGATGATACTTACGTCCACCAATATGCAGTCTCTGATAAAGCATCTGTTTCATCCTCCACGTCAGTACTGATTAGTTTGTGGGATATGCCTGAGGTGTTACTGACAAGTAAAGTCTTGAGTTTCTGTGAAGCTTTTGAGAGCGACGGTTTTCGCGATGGATGCTGCGCTAGCGCTGTTTCTACTAGTTAAAAAATGAATATGTCGATAGCTTTGAAGTAATGACTTACATTACGCCTAATCCCATGACACAACTGAGATATATCTTCTGTTTCCTTTCCATCTTCAAGTTCCAGAATAAAGAGGTTGGGTACAAAGCCAGGACGACATCAACTGCAGAGACAATTGCTTTGAAAGAGTTAGCCAAAACGAACCTAAAGAATGGTTATCTGGTCTGTCTCACAGCCTTGGGTAAAGCCGATATACTGTTGATAAGTTGGAGGCCAACAGTCCCCTTTGACTCTGGGATCCCAATAGGCCACGAGTGGTCGGCATTGGGAATATGTGACGATTACAGCGGCGAGATCGGCAGCGAACTGCAGGCCCATGATGGACCAGAGAAAGATACGTCTCGTTTTTGTAGGAGGTGTGATGCCCAGCAAGAGAATAGCGTAGGATATGCGAGCAAAACCACCAGCGAAAATGGCTGGCCCCTCTGCGAGGAACGCCCATTTAATGGAATAGATGATGCGGAGCGGCTCATCTTCTAGTGTCGCCATGTGTTCCCCAAGCCCCCAGTCTGCTGAAATGGTAACGAAGATGGAGTTGACAATCACCAAACCCTATAGAGGTCGCCTCGTGAGCTTGGTGCGCGCGTGGTCACATAAGGGTCAAACTCACGTAGGTAGTCAGAACGAGGAGATCATCCACTGTTAGTATCATGTGCCGTCGCACTCGAAATCGTACCCATACTCTTAGACCGACGATGACGGTGGTTATTGCTGTTAGAATCCACGCAAGCGCGATGAGGCCCGCGCCCATAGGTCCCAACACCATGTTGGGCGAGTGTGTGTTGAGGAAGCAAGAAAAATTGGATGTCGAGACTTCAGAACCAACAGTCAAGAGTAAGCACACTTTGATTTCTCAAGGCGACGGATGGGATGGCGCAAGTTTTCTATGCAATGCCCCCGGACTTCAATACTTGTCGTATACCTAGGTTGATACGCTATCCCCCTGCATCTGCCCCCTTGTTGCGGCGCGGAAGAAAAAAAAAGATTTCAAGACGAGAGAAGGACGGGGGGGGGGGATGAAATGCTAAACTCAAAATCTCTCACAATTCTTTCACATCATAGTAGTTTTCTCGCTTGACCTCTCGTAGCCTAATCCCACGGGGTACTCCTCTGAGTACCGTAGCTGTTCACTTCGTCGTATTCACTTGTACCGATCTGACCCTGCACGAGCACCGCGCATGCAAAACATCACATACACTGTGTTTCTCAGGTTAGAGATGATCAGTTTGAGAGCTTTCGATCAGATCCTTGCAAATATAACATCACTGACGGTACCGAGGAAGTACTACTCAGCCAGTATGAGTTTGGATTCCTTCGATACTGAACCGGGGGTGGAAACCTAGTAACACGGTGTATGGTATAACGACATCCCATGCAGGGTTGGAATTAGGGTGGAGTGCGCACCTAGTGACGGATCCTTACCTTTTTGGTACTGTTATATGTAGGTAGTTGTAGGGGCATAGTCCGAGTCTGTCCGAAATAGTCCTGCCATCGCCTGTTCAAGGCCGCGCTGTTGATGTCTGTCAACACCATATCCCGTTTCTACAAATCCTTCAGTACCTCAGTTCAGACTCAGTTCGTATGATACGATGTCCAGAAGAGGAAGCTTCTATCCATATCACGGAGGGCACGGTGAAGACTGCTATAAATCTCAGGAATGGTAAGGCTCGGACATATTCAGCATGATTTTCTGTGCGTGCTGCACGTGGCGAAGGATTTTCTAGTACCCAACTTATGGGTTACATCAAGGGACTCGTTTTGAGCATTGGTCCTATCATGAGCTGGTAGGCTGATGCTGATTCTAGCATGTCCGAAGTATTAGACAGTCAATTGGAACCAGCTCGCCGGTATCTACTAATATCATGATGTGATACTTATTTTACAGCGAGTATTATGTAGTTGCGTTAGGAAATGGTTGCGATGGGAATAAAGCGACTCGGCGCACTCCCATGCCTTCTAGGGTCTCATTCCTTGACCATCGCCTCTACAATGCCGCCAGCACCATCCTCTGGTGCTGTCCACACCTTGACAACTTCGAGACCGACCCTTGCCAGAAGCTCTTCCCACTGCCGCGTAGTCCTTTCCATCCCAGCGTTGAAACACATCATTGTCATGTCAAGCATAGCTACATAGGCAGACGCTTGCGCATCTGGGACTATCATTTCATGGATGTAGAGCTTGGAGTAGCCGGGCTTCATTGCATTCTTCACTTGCTGTAAGATCTCCTCGCATTTGTAGTCCGACCAATCATGTAAAATATGATGGTAGAAATACGCTCGGGCGCCTTTAGGAGTAATTAGGTTTACGAACGTATTTGATAGCATAGGATCTCACCTACCTTTAACTGGCTGCTCGGTGAAGAAATCATAGCCCATCGCTTCGACTCCATCAGGGAATTCTTGCTTCATAGAGAGATTTGGAGTTAGTGGTCATGGTCGAAAGGGGATGCAAGGAAGTCCATTATACTAACCTTGTCCTTAACAACATCCGGTAGGTCTTGTAAAATCAATTTACCTTTGTTGGGATACTTCGTATGAAAGGCAAGTATATCGTGACCCCAACCGCCTCCAATGTCAACAAGAAGAGGCGTTTCGGGATCGAAACCATCTATTAGCTGCTCTTGCATGGGATACCAGTCTGTCCAAATCTGCCTGGCACCCATAGAGCTTCCCATGAACTTGTTGAAGTTTTCCATAACCCATGGGATTGAATGGAAGAGTTCGAATGAAGAGAGCTTCGTCTGGAACGCGTATTGCATGAACCCGTCACTTGGATTGGTCGGGCAGCGGTATCCAGTTTCTCTCAGATATTTGGGAGCCTTAACTGCGGCGCCCATGACCATTTCCTCACTAGAATATTCAGAGTCAGCTGGCCAAATGATAGAGCAGTCTTAGTTGTATAAGCCTGACTACTGACATCATTCTGTACCCTGCAGATACACCTTCAAAAGCCATTGCCTTCGTTACTGGCGTTGCTTGCCAGGTCCTATCACCCACATTCGCCACAAGGCCAACCGACGCGATGACACGAAGTACGCGGCCTAAGCGATTGTCAGTCATAGAAGGTTGGAAAACATCAAGATACTGAGAGATTCAGCTTACTGATGAGAAGTTCTTCGGCGTTGGTTAGCTTGGCCAACTCGTCCGAAGTAATAGGACCGGTAGCTTTGACGATGTGTTCAATGACATTCATCTCAATCGCGATTTTGACAGCGATCGGTATAAATGGCTAGCAACTCTAATCAGTTTCTTATAGCGATAGCGAATAATAAGGTATACGAACTGTGAATATCATCTCCGCGGCCACGTCTTCGGGCCGCGATAGCATGGCAGTAAGTTGCCTCGATAGCTGAACCGCTTCATTGCGAACTTTTACATCATCCTCTTGTTCAAGCTTGAGGCTTAGAGACTGGATAGTGTCGAGTAGAGAAGTAACCGAAGTCATATCGATCGTAAGCAAACTTTCACAGTTGCACTCAACAGTCCCTTCAAGAAAAGAAAAACAAAATCCAGAATTGACTATACGGCAAAGAAATTCAACGGAACGACATGACCATCTCTTATCGTACAAAAGACCTCAAGGTATTGACAGGCATGTAAAGTGAGCATTGAAATCCCTCCGGAGCCTTGTTCTTACCGAAGCCAGCTCCAAGGGCCAACATGCATGTGTCAAATGCAGTTTGTCGCCCCCGCACCATAACACCCCCTATTTCTCACATCAGTTCAGGTCCAGCCCCCCCACCCCAACGGCTCAACCGAATCTTTGGCCTTTTGCCTTTTGCCTTTTGATAAAGGGCTGCCTTCTACCTACTACGATAATTCACTTTCCCGCCAAACACTACAGCACCTTTTGCCCAACGTCAACCGCATCAATGGCTAGCGATGAAAAGAGTGACGCTCCTACATGGAACGTTGTCAGCATTCCTTCAGCCCATGATGACGTGCCGGACCCTGGCGCCGTGCCCCATGAAGGCGGCTGGTTTGCCTGGCTTCAAGTAGTTGGCGCATTCTGTGTCTACCTCAACACATGGTTAGTGCCGCTTTTAACCCCAGCCTAGGCGACCTCTCTTGGTGCCAGATGTTGATGTTTCTTGTGCAGGGGTATGTTGAACTCGTTTGGGGTGTTCCAAACCTACTACGAACTAGAGGGACTAAGGTCTCAATCTGCATTCACCATCAGCTGGATTGGGTCTACGCAGAGTGCCCTGTTCTTTGTCACGTCTCTCATCGTGGGGCCCCTGTTCGACCTTGGCTACTTTCGGTCCCTACTATGGGTGGGCACGGCCCTCCTAGTGGTCAGCATGTTTCTGCTGAGTGTTACAAGCCAGTTCTACCAGGTCTTGCTGACCCAAAGTGTCTTGTTCGGCTTGGGCGCCGGTTGTGTCTTCCTGCCGGCGCCCGCCGTCGTTGCCCAATACTTTGACGCGCGCCTGGGCCTTGCAATTAGTATTGCTTCAGTAGGAAGTGCTATCGGTAAGGGTAACTATCTCGTACTGTTTTTCCGTCGCCAAGGTGAACGAGTGACTCATGTGCATCATCACAGGCGGCATTATATACCCAGCAATATTCACCTACACTTTGGCCGGCATCGGCTTCGGGTGGGCGACTCGAGTGATCGCCTTTGTTGTCCTGGGCACGTCTCTCTTCATCATCCCTATGAAGTCCAAGACGAAGCCTACAGCATCACGGAGCGTAATCGATTGGACCGCATTCACTGATCTACCGTATATGCTGTTAAATCTCGGTCTTGTGTTTGGCTTCATGGGCCTCTACGTCGTTACGACATACTTCCAGCTGTATGCCCTTGCGCGCGCGAATGTCACAACCAACGTCTCGGACAACCTCTTGATCATCATCAACGCCGGGTCTCTGGCAGGCAGGGTGGTCCTCGGCTACTTTGCAGATATGACAGGGTCTATTAACATGCAAACCGCAATGGCCCTTGTAGCAACCATTCTCGCCTTTTCTCTTCTGGCGGTTCACACCTCTGCCGGCATCATAGTTGTAGCTGTGTTCTTCGGTATCTCATCGGGCACCTTTTTAGGACTTCCCGTGGCTAGTATCGTCAGGCTATCTGACGACCCAAGTAAGATCGGTACACGGATTGGGATGACATTGCTATTTGTCGGCATTGGCGCTCTTATCAGTTACCCTATTGCTGGCGCTATACTCGGCGATAGCGATAATTGGCTGGGGCTGATACTTTTCTCAGGCGTCCTTCTCGCTGCATCGACCATCATTTTAGCGATAAGTCGCATCGCAAAGATTGGTCGGCAGTGGACAAAACCGTTGTGAACTGTCAAGGGACCCTCCTACTCCAGCCTACTGTTGGTGTCTGGATGCCTTGCATTAGTAGTGCATTGGAGAAGACCCGCGGAAAGGGGCCGGCGCGGGGCTTTTTCTAAGTATCCTTGCAAAACTTCTGTCATTTCAACATATGTACATAATCAGTACCTAGCTCGCTTAATATCCAAGTCTTTCTCGTAGTAGTAGGTTACCTAAGCTCTTAGACCTTATTGAACATATAGTACCTACATACATAGGTACTCTTCTATCCCTTTAACTACCACGACTACTCCATGGGATTTGAAGTGCTAGCATAAAGCTAAAAACCAATCAGAGCCTCTAAAACTGCGGGCTCTTATATTTTGATTGGTCGCTAGTCTATGCTCGCACGTCTAAATCCTTTGGAGTATTCGTGGTAGTTAAACGGATACCCCTGTACTGGGGAGCCTGTCACGTATCTGCGCTGGAGATACAGGCCACCAAGATGATAATCATCAACAAGACACTAAGAGTTAATAGAAAGAGCACTGGCTGGTACAGGTACATATTATGTGAACAACCTAGCCGTTGATCTGTCTCAAAGTTGATTTGTCACTTGAAATCCCCTATCTAATCAGTAGATTCAGAAACATTGTCATATTACGTTGTAAGATATTGCATGTACTCCGTATAAGTCCTTTTGCACATCGCTGGCATTTAAATCCTTGCACTTCTAAGACTGCCTACGGAGTACCCGAGGAGTAAAGATACTTGAATGCAGGCTTATTGAGAAGACTTACCGTTGACGTGTATCTTGAGAGAGCAGGGTGCTGATCCGACAGTTTCTTCTGACGCCCAATAGGATCTACAGTAGCAAGCCTGCAGCAAACTGGAATATTGGTGTCGCATTCGAGGAACATGATCCGCACCCTTACTTCGGAGAGGGGCGAGCGAACTCGCAGCAGTGTGCGCCGTGCGCCTATGGAGTACACATGCACCACGAATCATGTGTTTAAAAAGACCATGGAGAAGGAGCTTGAGCTAATGCAGGTTAACTTTGTGTTGGTATCTACACATACTGCATACTACTATGGTCAATCTCTAGTCGGCCAGTGTCATTAATCACCTAGTTGTAATAACCAAGTGACAAGAAGATACAACAAACAGGTACTGCATATAATCTTTACGCTCTATTACAATTGAGATTTTCCAAGGGTCATCCATTAGCTTCCTTGGTCTCTAATACTCCCTCAGTCAAGATGCCTGAACAGACATCTCCAGCTTCCAAGGCTATTGATGATTTGATCGATCGGCTAGTAGGCCTCAAAGGTAGTATTGATAGCGACCCCAAAGCAAGCGATGAGGCAATATCGCTGAGCAAAAGTCTTATCCATCATCTGGAGAAGCCAGAGAAGATGGCCCTTGATATGATCTATGCGGTAAATCGCCCTGGGCCCGTGCCATCTCACTACTCATGAACAAAGATTAACTATGAACACAGCCGTTTACCCCAATCGCCGCAAGAATTGCAGTTGAGATGAACTTGTTTCGGTACATCTCCGAGAAGGGTGGACCAATAACATCCCATGAACTTGCATCGCTATCTGGCGGAGAGGAAGAGCTCATTAGTAAGTACCATACGGCCAATAGATGTCCTTGTAAACGGACTATAGCTAAAGTGGCATCGCCAATCCAGTACGACTACTTCGAGTGCTAGTCCCAGTCGGGTTATTAGATGAGGTGGGCGAGAGAACATGGGAAGCGAAACCAGTCACCCACGCAATGGCTTCGGAGGGAATTGCGGCAGGGTACAGGATGGTGTAAGTGTATGTTGATCTGGGCTCTCGTGGAACGTGAGATTCCTAACGATTTACACCTTGACAGGGGTGAGATTTTGATGACGGGTGCACAACAAAGCCCAAAATACCTTCGAAACAACGGGTACCGTTGCCCAACTGACCCGAGAGCTGGCTTCATACAGTATGCGTTCAATACAGACTTGACCACTTTCGAGCTGATCAGCACGATGCCGGACACGTTTAGAGACTTCAATGCCTTTATGGGAAGGGAAGTGGGTGCTAGGAAGAAGTGGCTGGAATGGTATGATGTCTCCGGTAGGCTGATGCACGACGCGAGACAAGACGTACCCTTACTCGTCGATGTCGGCGGCGGCAAAGGCCATGACTTGGTGCGGTTCCTTGGGGTTCACCCTGGTGTAGGGCGTCTAGTCCTTCAGGACCTTGAGACTGTGCTACACTTGGCTCCTCAGCTTCCTAGCGAGATCGAAAAGATGCCGTATGACTTCTTCACAGTGCAGCCAGTGAAAGGTAACAGTATTCTCTAGCCTTGGGAAACTAAAAAAATCAAGGTGCTGACAATCACGTAAAGGGGCTAGGGCGTACTTTTTCCATCACATCTTCCACGATTGGTCCGATTATAAATCATTGGAGATTCTCGAACAGGTTGTAAAAGCGATGACGCCCGGTTACTCAAAGTTACTCATTCATGAAATGGTTGTGCCCGAAAAGGGGGCAGGCATAGTGCATGCCACGTTGGACATTGCCATGATGTGCTTCGGCGGAGGCAAAGAGCGAACAGCAAAGCAGTGGAAAGAGTTACTTGCAGGTGCTGGGCTAACAATCTCGGGAATTTGGCCAGGCCCAGAAGCTGGCGCCGCAGGCATAATCGAAGCCATGGTTGTAGTGTAGATCGTTTTCACTGCCCAGCCAGTTGATGGACTTACCTATCTTGTTTGCATATAATAAAGGACGAGGTTAAATCTGCAGTTGGTCCCACACTGGATCTGCAGTATACAGCTGCCTGCAGCTGCTACAGCCTGTAACGCGCTATCAGCACCGTTTTTTCCATACTATCTACACCTTCCTACACCTATCTTACTTCACTTCTAAACTTTAATAACCCTTACAATTTATTAACTTATTTACTTTTATAATTTATATATAAAGTTATTTATATGAAGATTTTTGAAGTTAAGGAAACGTAAAGCTAAAGGGGGTGACCAATAACCTGCGATAACCTTCCACTTTGCGAGCCCCAATTTAGGTGTGTTTTAAGATGTATACAGTATGCAAATGTTGCAGCTAGCTGATTTACACCTACGAACACCTGATTACTGTAGATCCAGTGTGGGACCTATTGCAGATTTAACCCTGTCCAAACTGCTGGAGCCGGTAGCGTATTATTCCTTGCTATATTCCCGAAAGAGTGACGAGTTTGAGTAACTGCCTCGTTGTATGTAATTCAAAGTAGTGGGTAATGGTAGCGACATCTATAATCCCGCGGAAAGTAACTATAGAGAAATGAAACCCTGTCTATGATGCGCAGGTATGTGATAGGAACTGCCGGGGGATTATCCGTAACCATAAAAGGATTCATCCCATGCAGTCTGAAAAGTTGAAATGCTGGTACGCGCGGACACTCCAGGTCCCCAGGATGATGATTATTAGTTCGACGCTAAAAGTTGTACACACAGGGGTTTTTGGTAGGCAAATCCAATGCCTCTACTTCGCAGGCAGGGGGTCTGAAGTGAACAAAACAAGAGCAAGACTGACTAACGGTAGTTTTCCTACGGAAACTACGGAGTATTGTAGTAGCCTCTTTACTCTGCGGGGAAATCGCTTCGAGCTAACCATTATCATCCTGGAGACCTGTAGTAGTATTCGAGTACCACCTTGGGTCCAACTCCGGGGTCGTCGGGACCTGCAGTGCGTTGTGTAGGGTGCCTGCTCGCCGGTTGCGTTGCATGACAATCCCACCCCAGACCTTCCTTTTCAACACACCTTCGTCTGTGCACCCCTAACCCAACTCTGCCATTGATCGATGAAGTCCAATTTCGGTTAGGCCTGTGCTGTACCTCTTCTTCGCCGCGGCAATCCTTGCCTCATCCCGAAAGACAACCAAGCAGAACCGAGCAGAACCAAGACACGGGTAGGATGAGTTGCATAGTAGACTGAGGGAGGTGCCTGATAATGAGGAGCGATTTTCGGCACGATGATACCGTTACCAGGACGTGCCGTGGACCGCGGTGTTGGGTTTCTCTATAGGGAGATAATGGATGCCTAGGCTTCACAGGAGAACAGTGGTGTATTATTGGCCTATATGGTTACACTAGAACAAGAGTGCCCGAGTTTGAACACTTCTTACAACTATATCGAGGCGACGCTTACTCAGGCCGTTGTAGGAGGTCAACTTCGAAAAGATTGAACATTCGCTCGCCAGCCCACGCATCTAGATGCTGCCATTTCGCGCATGTATGCATATCTGAATCGAAATTAGTCGGGTAGAAAGCCGATTTATCTTCATGCTGAGCCGTATTATTAATCCAGCGGAATGTGACCATGGAAAGATCTGGCTGACACATCAAAGACTCCCGGATGTATTCAACACAATGATCTAAGTCGATACGGTCAGTCTTCATGATGCCAGAAATATCGAAAAGATGCGGTACATACCAACATGTTTCTCTTCGCGCGCCATTGCCTCTTCCGATTTGCCAGCATGATAATGTTCTTTGAAAAGCATTTTCTTCACTTTTTTCTGCGCGTAAATTAGTTTCTCGACTCTTCGTTTCACGTCTTGAATGCCATACCAAGCAATGTAGAGAATGATAAACACTCAACGACGCAATACCTTCACTGCCGTCTTTCGTATATACCGAGTTCAGATTTCGCTCATCAAGATAGTCTTTAGGGACACGAATATTGTCATCTAAAATCCATGATTTAGCCCTGCTCAGGAAGGTAGGTGTTAGATGATGGTGACCGACTCACTTCGGAGGAGTTCATGCCATGCTGCATCGAGCTCATCGCGTGGAGAACCGGCGAAAGGATTATCAACTATATTGGTAGGAAACTTCCTTTGCTCCCACTGCAGACCCGATCGACTAGGTACTGTTGGCAACGATGTTAGCTTCATGAGTTTTCTGTGCCATTATTACTCAAGACAACTGACGTGGCTGCTGCGATCGCACAGAACACAGGCCCTCAGGGATAGTGAACACCACTGTGACGAATACGGCTGTATAGAGGAAAAACAGGGTGCCATGGAGATAGCGACCATCCCAGATGGTGGAAGCCCATCCTCTTGGCTGGTGCCGATGAGGGATACGATGTTCAACGTTTTCACTCAAGAGAGGATCGCCCGTTTCGCTGGCCTCATCTGTATGTTGGTGATTCTTCTTCTTCCATTCCTGCCATTTCTGCATATTAGAACTGTTGGTCAAAAGTCTGCTCAAGATGCTTTATTCGGAGGAGAGGAGGGGAGAGTATGAGCGCAGCGGATTCAGATCTGTGGGGGATGGAAGTCTAACAACACCAAGGTAATATGGAATACCTTGACTAGGAGACGACTTGTTGTCAGATGGTAAATTGGGCTGCCCTATCAGAGGAGTATCGCACACCACTGCCAGTCCCTCGAATGATCCTTGATACTCTTCCACATCACATACAGATAAAGTGGTGCCGTGCGAACCGCACGGGTCTTTGGATGGATACACAACGTATCGACTGACTGCATGCGTCGGTTTCCCCGCAAGTGTCTTTTCATGCATAGGCACTTCTCAATCATAATATCACCAACAGCCGACCTCCTTCTTCTTCAATCATCAGCATCCCTTAGAGAATAATTCACTTTCTTGTTGGATACACACTCACACGGCCACTATTCCTACACCAGAATGAGACTCCCTAACCAACAAACATCGGGCTATTCACTAGTCCCTGATGAGACTGGTAATCCACCTTCCAAGAGATGGACAATCCGTTTCGGCTCTATCTTCCATCGTCTGGTATTTCCTCTCACGTTAGTGTTTTCTTTCTGCGCTGGGCTAGCGGTAAAATCTCTAGCCGAGAGCTCAATGATCCCTACACAAACACCTGTCGATCTCAACTCCGAACCAACCCCTGAAGGAGCACCAAGTCACCCGACCTTTAGGACGATATTCACCTACAATCGCACTTTCGGCGCCGATCCACTAGAGGACCCTCTCACCGAGGATGCGTGGGACTCAATATTACCTTGTAAGAACTTTGCCTTCGGCGCTCCGTTGCATTTGGACCCCTCAATTGACATAGGGTTTCTTCGACAGTGGGCCAAGGCACAGTCATCTTATCAGACAGTTCTCAAGTCTACGTCGTGTCTGTCATGCATCAACTTCATTGTCTGGTAGGTCAAATCAGATCACAACATTTGCGCTCGGGGATGGTAGCTCACTGACCGACTTTCTCTCTGAATGATCAGTGGTCGATCCACCAAGCGTTCTACACGGCATTACATGCGGATCCTGCAAAGGTTGACCTGCAAGACTTCGCTCATATGCGACACTGCTTCGACTACATCCGGCAGGCGCTTATGTGCTCGGCAGACGCGACTCTGGAGCCTGTTGATCCGGTACTTGGTGGGGTGACGGGATGGAACGGTACACACGTCTGCAATGACTTCAGCAGTTTGGCGGCGTGGGCAGAAGGTCACCGAACCAATAACCTTAAAGGTTTCCGCGAAGGCCACGAAGCCGGAGGCCATCACCACTCACGTTAGAGTAGGTCACGAGGCAAAATGCTCCGTTTTTTTTCTTGTATGGTACATTAGGGAGTGATTGACTTGGATGTGATGTAGCAGCTCCATGCACCTGCTTGGGGGTCTACGCGAAGGACGTCTGATAGTCAAGAATGAAGGCTCTTATGTCAAATGCAGAGTATATTCTTTACGTATAAGAGAGGAGACACTCGAGAAACCAGCCCATCCATATCATTTCACTATCGATCCATCGAAGCATTTGAGAAAAAGCCGCTTTCGTAACCACAACACTTTACCATCTCTGACACCATGAAGTATATGGTCATTGTCCTCCTGAGCGGGCTAGCCGCCGCTGCTGCAATCCCTCGCGCAGTTCAAGGTGGGCAGATTGGCAATTTCATGTTTATTTACTCGTCTAACTTGTTGAGCTATTAGACTCAGACGAAGCGGTTGTTTATCCCGCTGAGGTTGACCAGTCGTGGATTGATTCTCGTGAAGGTATGTTTTCCAAGCGGAACATTTTGAATGACACTTCTTAATCGCTTAAACAGTTGATTCCGATGAGGCTGTAGTCTATCCTGCTGAGGTAGACCAGTCTTGGATCGATTCCCGTGAAGGTAAGACAATCGTCTAATACACTCACACTCACTCAAGACCATTCTAATAATCTACGCAGTTGATTCAGACGAAGCCGTGGTATACCCCGCCGAGGTAGACCAGTCTTGGATTGATTCTCGTGAAGGTAAGAGAATTGAGTAGAATTAACTTAGCAAGTCTCTGACAATCTATACAGTTGATTCAGATGAAGCCGTGGTATACCCTGCCGAGGTAGACCAGTCATGGATCGATACTGCATAGAAGACCTTGGGATGAAAGTTGCCTCTGTTATTTGCTCGACTCATGTTACTAGTTAGTCCTAGGTAGCTTATCATGTAGCAAATAGCTAGAAATTTGCAAAGAAAAAAAAAAACTACAGTCCGATGAAGTTCAGAAATAACCTAGTAGCTCTTGCACACCATAAATTTACATAGCCTTAACAACTGCACATTGACCCTTAAACTATGACGATGCTTTTTTGTGACCAGCATGCTAGGTCGGTCATGCGATGCATGTGTAACAGTATGATGGGGTAAATGGCGGTATGGTCAATGCCAATGAAGCGCAACGTCCTTATCATCCATCTATAAGTGGGAGAAAAGAAGACGGAGAATCAATACGTAATAGCGCTGTTGAGGCTCGAAGATACCCCTCCATCTTGCCAGCCTTTAGTAATCTATCTGAATACTATAGGATCCTTAAGAGGGTCCCTGTTTCTCATAACAGCCAAGACGTGTCTGTTAGTCCGAGATGTGCATATAGGTAGTAAGGTAGGACGTGATGATCCAGGCTGCTCTTTGGCTCCTTTGTGGAGATGCATATGCATATCCACCTCCAACAAGACTGTGAGAGATCCCTGTATTGCAGATAGTCGGAGGCAGCATGGATATCCGCACTGAAGCTACTCTGTATGAATTGATCATCTGTTCTGTACCCATTTAATTCTAGGTATGGGTCGAGCGGTTCCTGCCACGCCGAGGTGCTTAGAATCATAACCACCATGTCACATGTGTCATGTCAGTAAACGCAGCAGGGTAATCGCATAGTGGAAATTCTCTAGTACATCCGTGGGAGAATATGCCATCTTCACCTCTTCATTTATATTTCTGGATTTGAGCCACTGTATGGTGCTATAGATGAAGACCTGCTCTTCCTCCGTCCTCCTTTGCTTCATTGTTGCTACGCCATGGCGATGCATACAAAAGAATACGACCCTCTACCTCGAGGCTCGGATGATGAATCGAGCTTAGACATTCCCCATATTCGACCTCAACGTCGTCGATTCACACCTTGGAGCTCGTCGATTGTTTTGACGGTGCTGCTCGCGATTTCAGTCACTTCAAATCTGTTTATCGTCCTTCGAAATGTTAAACAGCGTAATCTCACTGAAGCTGACTGCCCTTCAACCTACGGTTAGGCTCTTTATGATATCGTACTAAGACTATATACTAATGGGTAATCTAGCTGGGCTTAAGCGTGATGTGCCCATACGAATTATACCAGAGACAGAATACACTTCAGACAATCTGACAGCAGTGGCTGTCTTATGGGATAAGATGCGGGGTGATCCAGGTGTGCTTGCACTCTCGTCAGACTTTGTGAAGGAGAAGGGTCTCCCTCCGGCTATCCAATACCCCTGGGACGAGGACAAAAGTGTCTATTTCTTCCAGGCCTACCACAATCTTCACTGTCTGGTAAGAACAGACCCCCGCGGAAAGTCTCCTAGTCCTTTTCTCTCCGAAGCTAATCACTAAGATTGATTACAGAGGACACTGTTCCGGTATGTCAACTACACAGAAACAGGCGTTCCAAATCGGATCGCGGCAAGTCATGCACTTCACTGTCTTGATCAGTTACGTCAAGATGTCATATGCCACGCGGATGATACACCGCGCTATGCTTGGACACAACCACCGGGAACGGGCTTCAACCAGATGAGAATGTGCAGAGACTGGAACAAGCTCGAAAAGTGGGCGAATGAACATACAGCTTGCTTCAAGAATACGGATGGTATTGCAGGCCCCATCATCGAAAGGTTCAAGTCGTGCCCCGATGGTCAAGTTCTTTGGCCAACCAAATGAGAGTCAAGCATGGAAAACCTGGGATTTCCCCGGCGGTAAAGGTATTGAATCAGTCATTTGCTGCTTAAAGCTAGCTAAGCCAAGCTAAAGAAAGCACGAGATATAAAAACAGAAAAGGATAGCCACCTACATATCTACGAAAACATAGGGTTTCAATGCAATGGTTCGAAGACTTAGCAGGTTTATACTATCCATTTATGACTTTACCCGTGAGAAGTACCTAGACTTTCTTAGCAGTCTGGGTCATAATATCTTCGCAGTCACTGACGAGGTGTGCCTTTGGGAACCCGTTCTGCTCCCCTCAATAGGTGTCCCGCTTAGGTGGATGGAGCGGTGAGGTCCGCCGCAATACGAGATAAGGGCTCAGCTATGAAGTGATCCTTAAAACGCACCATTTTCCATCCGAGAGAATGACTGATAAAATTCACAACATGTATTTAGATAGGAGAAATAATAAACTACAGCTCCCGGGGTGAGAACAACCGCTTCAATTACACCGACCAAGCGCGAGCCAGGGTTGTCCTAAGGGAGGGGGTAATAACATGGCTTTCGTAGAATCGGTATCAATCGGGAACAGAAGAAGCCTGCATAGAGTGAAGTCGGCTGTTCCATTTCTCTCATCACCGCGCTCTAGTGGATCAATAACGCCGACAGCGAAACGGCAGTCTTCCGGTTACGGAGAGGGTGGGGGGAGTCGGGGACCAGGTAGGCAGGTGAAGAACAAATGTATTAAACACTTGGCATTGCATAGTTGATCTTCTACGTAGAGAAGCTCGCGTTTATACAAATTGGTGCGCAGGAACTCCGCGGTCTCTCCGTCTTGAGCTCGCTATTTTGCTATTTGGACAGAAAGGCCGCCATTACCACCAACCTAATTGAGTTACCGCTTTAAACATATCACGCACCCGGAGACTGAATGCGCCGGGGCCGAATTTTCATGTCGGCACAATTGATTGCGTCGGCCAAGCCTCCTATTCTTCAAGAGTGTGCGTTCGAATAAGGTCGCTCGGGCAATTTGCGAAACTGGGAAGACCAGCAGAAAGATGGCTTGCATCGAGCATGCATGGCCTCGTTATAGCCAAGAGGGTAAACTACTTTGGTAACGGAGGTCTTCACTCCACCAGCTAGCAGCCGAGATGAATCTTCCACAACTCGACTGGAAAGAGCATTAATAACGTGTAATTGCCTTTAAAAATGATGGCATTTCATATTCTAGATACAAGGCCCTTGAGAACGCTGTCGCGAAAATGTTTCGATTGAGCGTCGTAGTGAGCGCTGCTTTAGCGCTGTACGCCGAGGCTCATACCATCGGGTGACGCCAAGACGCGCAGATATACGAAGTTGAAGATGTGGTCCTCTCCGGCGTCGCGGTCGACACGGCACAGGCGGGATACTCGGGGACGGGGTACGTAGGCGGTTTTGACGACGCGGCCGACACCATCACATTCAACATCGACAATGACAGCGTGCAGCTCTACGATCTCAGCATCCGTTACGCGGGGATATACGGCGCCAAAGTCACCACTGTCGTCCTCAACGGGGGTGCGAGGACGGACATGTCTCTCGACGAGACGACTGATTTCACTACTGCGTCCGGAGGGCAGATATTGCTTGAGGAAGGCGCCAATACAATCGACATTGTGAGCAATTGGGGATAGTAAGCGTTGACCCGATTCTATCGCGCACCATCTGAGAGAGATGCTCACGCCCAGATAGTTATCTGATTGATTATATCGCCGTATCCCCCTCGGCGCCACGGCCAGCTCACAACATAACCCCCACGCTGAGCAATCCCAACGCGAACGCGACCGCGACCGCGCTGTACGAGTACCTCATTTCCATCTACGGCAAGAATATCCTCTCGGGTCAGCAAGATGCCACCTGGGCGGATTGGGTGACGCAGCAAGTGGGCAAGACGCTGGCGGTGTTGGGTGTAGACCTGATCGACTACAGCCCGTCGCGCGTCGAGCACGGCAGCACGAGCACGGCGGTCGAAGACGCCATCGCCCACGCCGAGAAGGGCGGCATCGTGACGGTGGTGTGGCACTGGAATGCGCCCGCGGGCCTCTACGACACGGACGAGGAGCCCTGGTGGAGCGGCTTCTACACCGTCGCCACCGACTTCGACGTCGCGGCCGCCCTGAGCGACACCACGAACGCCAACTACACGCTTCTCATCAGGGACATCGACGCCATCGCCGTGCAGCTGAAGCGGTTGTAGGACGCCGATGTGCCCGTGCTGTTCCGCCCCTTGCACGAAGCCGAGGGCGCGTGGTTCTGGTGGGGTGCCAAGGGTGCTGAGCCCTGCAAGCAGCTTTGGAATCTGGTCTATGACCGCTGGACCAACTTCCACGGTATCAACAACCTTGTCTGGGTGTGCAACTCGGTTGGGCCTGAGTCGTATCCCGGAGATGAGGTGACGGACATACTGTCGACGGACGTATACGCGACAGGCAATGGCGTACGTGATCCCCTTCCCCTTTGTTGACCGATACTGAGACACTGCGAACCGGATGATCTAACTTGATTTTTAGCCCATGTCCGCGCAATACAACTCGCTAATTGACCTGGGCAACGACACGAAGCTGATCGCTGCGGCCGAAGTTGGCTCAGTACCCCTTCCTGAACAGCTTCAGGCCTATGAGGCTGATTGGGTGTGGTTTTGTACCTGGGGCGACACCTTTATCAACAACGAGGAGTACAGCGCTATCGATGTGTTGACAGTAGTAAGCCGGCCAGCTTTTCGATTTTGATCACGACTAGATTGCATTCAATGACGGACCCCTGTCAGGATGACAGGAGCCCCCCGTCAGGGTGAGGAAGAATTAGTGCCCCTTCCACGCCCGCTCCGATAAGGTCTGCGAGAGCTGCGGAGAAGCTCTCATCCCTAGTATTCGACATCTCGAACCAAATGGAGCATTGCCCGTCATTGGTCCACGTTTACTGACTATGCCAACGCTATTATAACCGGACGTCGTTTATGAGCTAGGTATATATATATATACGGCCATATCCTAGCGGGAGGTAACAAAATACTTTGGCTTTAATATATGGAATAAAACTACAGTACTAACACTTTTATACAACTTTATAGAATAAATTAGCTATTATGGTTCCCGGCACCAATAATTGATATACAACATTACCACCCTGGTCGGTACCCTAGTAGGTCAACACGCCGATGGCAAAACGGAGGCCCGGCAGCTATAAGGTGGACCGCACCGCCACGACCCGTATGATAAGTCAGTATAGGCTTCCGAACCGAGTTCCTCATTTTGCAATAAGCCGCTTGTTAAAATGTATAGCATATGTTACTGGAGTCCAACCGAGTTATCACGTAGTGTCCCGTTAACCTTGCCACTCTCAATTAGCAACTCCACGATATCCAATAGGCCTAATTGAGCTGCCCATGACAGTGGTGTGCGACCGTTGTGGTCTTTTGAGTCAGCATCAACCTTCCCGCTCTCAAGTAGAAATCTCATGATGCCCAACGATCCTGATGATGATTGGGCTGCCCATGACAATGGTATCCGTTCGTCTTTGTCTTTTGAGCCCAAATCAACCATCCCACCCTCAACTAGTAACCTTGCAATGTCCAATATTCCCGACTAAGCAGCCCATGATAATGATGCCCGGCCGATTTCGTCTTTCGAACCCGCATCGACGTTGTCCCTATCAAGCAGTAACTTTACGGCAGTTGGATTTTTTGACTTCACTGCCCAGGCAAGTGGTGTCCAACTATTTCTGTCTTTTGAATTGTGATCCACCTTACTGGTTTCTAATAGTAGCGTAACGAGATCTTTATCCGCCTTTTGCACTGCCCATGATAGTGGTGTTCGAAAATTATGATCTCCAGCATCAACAGCAATCTCGCTTCTACTAAGCAGAAGCCTCGCAACATCTTTCCTCCCATAATTCACAGCACATAGAAGTGGTTGCTGACCCCTTTCATCTTCTGAGCTGGGATTAACTCTACCACTGTTAAGTAGCAGCCTAACAGTAGACGGGTCGCCAATTCTTATTGCAGAAAAAAGTAGGGGCTCAAGGTTAAACAGATGAAGGGGCATGTTGCGAACGAGAGTACCTATAGAATCGCGATCGTCGCTACAATATGCAATCTTGGTGATCATCGCTGCTGCCGCCATTATGTCTTAAGTGCTAGACCAAAGCTTTTTTACGCTTATTCTAAGAATATTATAATGACACCTTGCTGATAGTACTTAGGTAAGCTAAGTGTGGCAGCCAACACCTATCAAGGCAGCTCAGCCCCATGCTTCATAGCGACATTCTTCCACTTATCGCGTTCCTGTTCGAGCTTTGCAATTTTCTCCTCCAGCTCCTCTAACCTCTGAGCCTTTCGCTCTCTGGACTTTCGTGCTGCCAACGTGTTACGCGCCCGCTTCATTGCAACCGTGTCTTGGGGCTCATCAACAATGATGGGTGGCAAAGGCTTGTCCCTCCTCCGTGTGATACCGGGCTGTGGATAACCACGGGTATTGTCATAGATGAGTGACTCTGGGTCTACGATTGGGGGCAGAGAGTATGGGGCATGGGTGTTGAACAATGAATCTGCACCAATATCCCCAGATTGATCAAACCAAGAGGAAGGGTCGAAAGAGCCGAAGGAGTCTAAAACAGTCGATGTTGGCAGTGGTGGCTTGTTAGAAGCATTATCAAGGGAAGGACTAAGCTCTCCATGAAGGATTATGTCTTTAACGAAGTCCTTATCCAATGTAGATTCGGGTGGTCCAGCGTCTGGGAAGAGTGGAAACCATTCGTCGCTAAGGTCCCGTGCCTTACTATTTTGTGGTTTAGCATTTTGCGGATGATTCAGTGAAGAAGGCAGCTCAGGGATCTTGCTATCGTCTTTTGCCTGCAGTATGCGTGATGGTGGAGGGTAGCCCCCACAGACTAATTTGTTCGTCGCGCAGTTTCCACAAGAGGGCCTCTTTTCGAAAAATTAGCACCGGATTCCTCGCTGATATGACAAAATGAAGTGGGCAAAGGATGATTCTAAGGAAAAAGACAACTCTACCTGTTCATCGCACTTAATCCGTCTCATCCTAAGTTCACAGACCATTAGTCATTACGTTTAATGCGTTGGAACCCTGGTGGGAATTCTTACTTGCACTGATTGCATCCCGTTTTGACCTTCGCTCGCGTAGCTCGTAATATTTTACTATCTTCAGGGTTAGAGCTAGGGGTTGCTACTTCGTTATTTTCATGCGAGTCTGTGGCTAGAGCTTTGTGAACTTCGATCCCAGGATCTTGCGGTACAATGGAAAGAGCAATGGCTTCCATGTGATCGGCCAAATGTAGGATAATTCGTAGTCTGGTATTGACGTCCTTTCCGCAGATACGACATCTAGAATCACGCCAAATGGTGGAAAATGCGTGGCTAATGGACATATGTCTTTCCAATAACTTGACACTTGGGAAAGGGGGCGCACCACACTCGGGCACGGGGCAAACATATGGTTCAATATCACGAAGCAGGTGTTTCCTATTGAGGAAAGTTAGAAATTGATACCATAATAGGACATCAAGAGCTCCTTCTGTGGCATACCTCCACTCATCCTCAGTAGTTATCGTAACATGATCTTTACAGGCTATGCAGTGAAAAGGTTTTCCTTGAATAGCACCCTCTGGCAGCGGTGGATGGTTGCGGGTCGGTCCTGATTCGTTCGTATCCAGATGGCTTGCACTGACATGGCTGGCAGTTCCCAGACCAGAATCATGAAATAGCGATTGCCCTCGGATGGATAGGTCATCGACAATTGATCTAAACTCGACTGAATCGCTGTCTGGAGTATAATTGACTCTCTCAATATCCTTGTCCTGAACCGCTCGGTCGTCGCTCGCCCGGGGCTTCAATCCTGCAATCTTCAAAAATCGTAGCCAGTTTGCCTCCCCTAGGCGGCCGGCTAGATTGCTTTCGCATTGAGGGTAAAAACGAATAATCCTCTCAATGAAAGTATCGCATAACCGGCCATCAAAGGAACTCGAGGGGTTAGCGGCTGCTTCACTGGCAATGGGATTCATCACCTGCTCTTCGAACCTGGAGCCAAGGTCCAAAAGACACTGGGCATCACTTCTCAGATCGTCTGCAATATCGTCTAAAAGCTTCTCATGAGGTACAGACTCTGAGGGCGCTACTGCCTCGCCATCTTCGGATGAATCACTGTCATTATCTCCTTGAACAAGCACCGCGAGTCTTTCAGACGTGAGAGCAAGATCTGCGGCTGTCAACAATAATCTCGTTATATCCTCAGAAGAAACAGTAGATAGACAGGTGACGACTGGCGTTAATTCTAATGAACGGTTACTTGGCGATCATAAGTATGTCATTTCGTCGACACGTACCATGTGTCAAAGTTCGGCAGATGTTCTGCAAAAGCCTGATTGTTAGGTCCCCTGCTCTTTGTGAGTTCTTCAACCTTTCTTCAAATTTTCCGCTTGGGACACCGTAGCCATCAGCCCAGAGATAGATATAGCTATGAGCGCTCTTAAGCTTGCGGATGGTACCCTTCTGTATCCATTGTTGCTGGGCCAGAATTTGAGTAATGGCCCCCCAAAGATCTGAACAATCAGAAAACACCTTCGCAATGCCAATCGCCTCTTCGTCTGGGTTAGGTAGAACGGCTTTTTGCCATTCGTGAATCTGAGGGTCCATGACGTTTCGTGCGCACGTCTGGCTACAACACTCTATAATGAGAATATAGGTTTCTTGTCAAATAAACGTCGGCTTCGTCCAGCCTAGCTCAAGTAAGAGAAAGACGGCGACCGACTCATTATGTGGCAGTGCTTGCTTCTCCGCAGCGGTTGCAGATGCAGGTGAGCGTCCATCGGTCAGCCCCCATCAGACATCATTGGAGGGGGGGATCTGCGGGGTTTAGCCTACAGAACAATGCGATGTACAGCCACACAAGAAGCCTATAACGGTCGCAACCCTTATGGAGTTCACAAAGTCTCTTTGCTTCGCCATTCATCTTGAGACCAGATCTTCCTCCACTCTTCGTGAAAACAGGTGGAAGTCACAATGGCCGATCCTATTTCACTCGCTCTGGGAATAACACCACTTGTTCTATCAGCCATTAAGGGATTGAAGGCCGTTCGTTCAACACTAAAAGCACTCCGTGGACATGATCGAGCAATTCGAAGGTTACGAAGAAGCTTCACCACCCAATCGCATGTTTTCTTAGACGAGTGCCACCTGCTTCTCCAGCAGGTTGCTGACCCAGATGATGTTGTCTTCATGCTTGAGGACGGCGAGAGCGAGCTCTGGAGCGACCCCAGCCTAGATGAGAAACTTAAAGAACATCTAGGTCGCAAGTTTGAAGAGGTCAAAGAAATCGTTGAGGAGATCCACAGCCAACTCAAAACCCTAGATGGAGAACTCAATCGCACGTTACACCCTGGCAAGCAAGATGTTAAGGTACGTCCATACCGTACAACAAGACGCAAAACTTGATTCATCAAAGTGTACTAACTCACAGATACAGCTTACTACCTCCGAAAAGGTTCGCGAAGCCTTTGACCTATTATCAAACAAGACAGACTATGAGGAGAATATCGATTATCTCAAAGAGCTCAACCAAGAATTCAAACGACTGCGTCGAATGGCGAAAGAAATCCAAAGTAGCCAGATACTCGCGAAAACACATAGTCAAAAACGAATACCAAAAGAATATAGAATCAGGGGCGAATACGCAAAGTCGTTTTATAATGCCTTGAGATACTGTTGGTCCTGTACAGATGTTGAGCATACGGAACATTACATGGCACTCGCTCTGAACTGTGGAAGTGGCCATGATATGCGTATAATCTTGCAGCGTGCGCAAGGAAACAGTTTCTCTCCCGATGGGTAAGAAACCATAATCCATGATCGCATATGAGTCACAGATATTGATATGATGACAGTAATGCTCTTACTTTATCTATCAGGCCCCAAAGTTTGCCACCAAGGGGAGCTGATTGTACCATCGGACGTGTCGACGCAGCGTTGACATTATCCGATGTGCACGTGCAACCCCTGAAACGGATAAGACTTGGGTCCGATCGATGGCTAAAGAGACTCGAGAGACCACCACCATCGCCGCCCGAATATTCCTTCCAAACAACTTTGGTAGACTCCCAAGGCGGGTCCACGGAAATGGTAGTCGGGACAGTTGACCAGCCTCAACAATCGACTATGCTAACAGAAGCTGATTCCGTCGAGAGCTTACGAGAGCCAATTGACTTACGAAAGTCGCATAACGTTTGCGGAGCGTTGCTCAGATTGGCAGAACCTAGCTCCAAGCTTGTGGGTTTTCTTGATACACCTGACAGCATTAGGCACGCTCTCACTGTTGGCGGCGCTATGTATGGCGAAGTGTCAGGATCGGACTCGGGTAAGAAAGCGCTACCGCTTCTCAAAATTCTAGAAAATGCCCTAGATGCGGATCTAGGCGTCACCCAACAGCTTCGTCTTGTATTGCAACTAGCAAAAGGACACCTGCAACTTCATTGGACACCATGGTGGCGCCAGTACTGGTCACTCTCTGACCTATCCTACTTCCCCGATTCCTCAACCATTGGCACCACAGACCTCAGTGACTGCCTGAAGAGCCTTCACATAGGTACGCGGCTCGACTTCGAGACGCTCAACTTTGATACATCTACGTTTTGCTTGGACCCTGAAGTCGAGACGGCGCTCTTGACCCACGGCATTCGTAACCTATCCCTCTACTGTCTCGGTATTGCATTGCTGCAAATCGGTCGCTGGGACCCCCTGGCCAATGCCGTCAACGATGTCGTGGCCGTTCGTAAGCTGGCCGCCCGAAACGGCCGTCTAGGACCGCGGTACCAAGCACTCACGCAGAAGTGCATCGAGTGCGACTTTGGAGAAGGCTCGGACCTGGGCAACCCGCAGTTGCAAGGCACGGTCTACGAGTCGGTGGTATGCGAGCTCGAGAGCCTGATCGGCGTATTAGAGAAGATATAAGCATGAATGAGAAGTGCTCAGCATCACGGCGTGCCGAGAGCCTGTGTTGTAGCGCAGCGAGTCACTCGTAGAGCTTCTCAAGATGAGCAATCTGATGATTAGTGCACGACGTTAAAAGAGAATGATGTTGTCACGGAAAAAACGACGCCATGCAAGATTAGCGGTCTTTATACGGCATACCCACTACTCCGCGACAGATTTATTCATAATCGCCGGATAATTGTTACAACCTGATACCCTAAGAGAAACAAGGAGAGTACTGAAAGGCGGATTCTGCGCCTGCTTGCCATATTTTAAACCGCTAATAACATATGTTACGCGTACGTATGACTGAGTATATAGGTCGCCGACAGCCGCGGGCGAATACCTTGCAAACCCCCTTAGTAAGACATACAATTTGCACTTATATGTAAAGCTATACAACCTTAGCTAGCACAACACGCATTTCAGGGCTTCAGATGTTGTCAAAAAGGCCTTACCAGTTGTATACAAAGTCAAGGTAGCCATCAAGGCCAAGGGGACCCTGAACGAACCTCAGGAACCTTTGCAGCTCTAGCAGGACTCCTTATACAGATGGATCAGCCTTCTTAACTACTTGAGTCCTGTATATGTCTCATAAAAGCACTGGCTAAATAGTCTCACTTCCAAATACGAACTATATGCCTTAATAGGGGTCCCGCATGTATAGGCGTACGATGCACCCCCTGGCGCTCAGCCGGCGTCGAAGCCTCACGGACCGCGGGTGCGTATATTCATGCCTTTGGTATATATTTCTAATTATTTGGTTCATGCCTTTTATATTAATAGGCCCAATAAGCTTGTTTTGCTGGTGGGATGCTCATAAAGCCGCCGTAAGAATTGGTGATACCGTAAGCAGTTCTATCAAGTAGGCAGTCATCAGCCTACTTGTCTGTCCGATCTGATACGGATATTGCGTCATACATGTAAGCTGATACTCCATGCGTGGCGTCGATCCTGGGGCGGTGCATAAGCTATTCCAACATTATGTTTTAACGTTTGATGTGAGAGGGCCGTGACTATACGTGAGCATTACAACCGCTGACGAGGTAGTGTTATCGTTGCACGCACGTACAACCGAACATGCAGTTTGCCTCCGGCTATGAGCGTGGCGCAGCTTACTGATGACCTTCCAGGCATACAGACAACAACTAATGAAGTGAGGTTACACAGTCCTCGCGTCGTGAAACAGATTAATGAGATCTAGGCGGCCAAGACAGGCAGCGAAATTGTATATAAAGACAAGGACGAGTCACCTAAGCCAAGGGCCTTTGCAGCTCGAGCAGGCTTAATATATTGTGGATAGCTTTCACTTATCTTCCATTGTTGCACTTATAGAAAGGGTGTTGGGCTAGTTTTCAACTTCTCGTGACGTCCAATAGGAGAATTTCGAGATGACACTGGACCAGAAGACGAATATAACCTAGGTAACAAAGGGATACAAATTTCACACCGGCTATATAACTTTCTACTCATCATGGGTACCATCAACCCTTTCAATACAACTGGATGGAAGAAGTCCGCCAGGGTCAACTGTACGATACTGGTACTTTTGTCTATCTCAATGATAATCCTATCCGGTATAAGTTTGTCCCACGGCGCCCAAACAGCACTCTTGTTGTATTCTGGAGATTGTAACAGCGGCAATGCAACAGCCATCAATCTTGCATTACACCTGCTCATTAACGCAGTCTCAACACTAGTGGTGAGCTCTTCATTTCAATTCACCATCTACTAGTGCTGCTGACGGACAGTGCTGTATATGCTTAGTGCTAACTGCGCAAAAAATAGTACGTCATTTTTTCTTACGTATGGCAGACATTGCGAGTTTACTAGTTTTCGTATATCGAAAGTAGAACACCTGCAGTACCTCTATCACTGGGTGGTATTAACCTACTCAAGCTGATGTTATCTTATGGTAGGCTTGCTTCTAGCAACTTCTTCATGCAGGTTCTTAATTCCCCTTCAAGAGAAGACATCAATCGGGCTCATTCTAAAGGAGCTTGGCTGGATATAGGGGTCTCCTCAATCCGCAACACTCTTAACCTCTCTAGATTCAAGAGATGGTGCTGGTCGTAGGTCACCCTATAGAAAATTCTGTACCCGCTCGGATGTTATCACCTATTTTACTTCTCCGGTTTCTAGAAAACCAGGGCAGTAGGTTTCACGTTAAACAATAACTAACCTGAGTATAACTTATAGTATCCTAGCTTTAAGCTCTGTTCCCATTCATCTCCTCTTCAACTCAACTGTCTTTAAAACGGACTACCGTGGTGGCAACTTTCATCTTACAATAGCAACCGAAGAGTTTATAAAGGGTGGCGCTTATTTTCCTCCAGGAGCAAGCCTCCAGTTCCCAGGATTATCTCCCCACGGTTCAAATTGGAGTGACGTCGGCGACCACTGTTCTTGGGCGCCCCATTTCACTGCCTCTTTCTACGGGTCTTCGGTGAGCTCCTCGGAGTATTTTGACAAGGACGCACCAGTTCTGAGTAGTTTATCCGCCTTGGCCACGCAAGTGGAAACATGGAAGAAGCTCGACATTAACGAATGCAGGCAAGTATACGCATCCTGCAGAGGCATGAAGAAGTATGGCGATGTCATTCTGGTTGCTAATAAACCCGGCGGCTGGATTCGTGACAACATGTGGGATCTTGGAAAAGATCAGAGGCTCTTCTGGGACAAGTATATTCCCCCAAAACAAGCAAATCATCTTTTCTTTGATGCCCAATGCAACATACGGCCAGCAACAACATACAACTCGCCTGGCGGGTGTTGGAATCAGTGCATAGCAGCGCTTAGTGGAGAGGTCCTCCCTGAACCTGGTTTCGACATGCAGAATGGAAGGGGTTGGAGCTACAGCTTTTGTGATATTGATGCCATCAGAAATCCATATTCAGGGTGCAATCTCAGCATGCACTATGCGGTCTCGGAACCTCGGCGTTCAGCTTTGGATATAAGTATTGATCACTGTTTAGCGAAACCGCTGGAAACTGCTTGCCGTATGTTCTTCCCGTTACAAGGCGTACATCCTCAACCCTCCCACAATCAATGTCCTACCTTACTATTGTTCCACTCACTAATGCGACTGGACTAACGTCGTTCTGAAATCTAGAGGTTGCTGTATCACCTATCTTACTATTACTTGTTACTATCTTTGTGGCTGTCAAAACATTTACTGCCATTCTGATTACAATTTCCCTAGGGCAAGCAAAACAAGTACCATTAATAACCCACGGTGATGCTATTGCTTCTTTCATTACCAAGCCTGATAATACTACCATCGGGTATTGTACTATAGGCTATGAAAAAATTCATAGTTCCATATCTCACTCATCAGTACCAAGACCATGGCATGGCTCTAAGAAACGATGGGCTGCAGCTATTCCATGGTCTACTTGGGTTATGAGCTATTCAATTATTATAATCGGGATCAGCTTTGCTATAGGCCTGTTTATTATAGCTGCACATAGCACACTCAAGTAAGTGCTCCGAATTTACTTGTAACAGTAAAGGGAGGTGCAAGCTAATTTGCATATCATGGATACAGCGGCAAGATAGATCAAGGAGGATTCTTTCCGAGCGATAATAGCCCCCTCATAACGCTCGACTTCAGCATCATAACTGCCGTAGTATTAGCGAACAGTCCGCAGCTTCTGCTGACATTTTGTTACTTCGCAGTAAGCCCAATTATCAAGGCAATAACCGTATCTTCTCAGTTGCGAGTACTAATCGGGTCTCTGCCTAATAGTATAACAATATATTCACACACCTTCAATCGGCCCTTGAGTGGGCGCAGTTTGGCATCAAGTTTTCCCCTTTGCGAGTCACTGACCCAAAAGTAAACCTCCGCAACCAATTATCCTTAATCACCATCAGCCATTCTAACTTTGTTAGGGCCAGCAATTATCTACATATAGGCTTCAACTACCATATCGGTACAGCCTTTGCTTGATAACATTTAGTATTTTCCTTCACTGGAATTTATCAAACACAATCTTTGTCACGGTATATACAGGAGGTGAGTAAATACTTGATGATGCCCGACACACGAAATTCTACGGCTATTTTGAACCGGCCAACTATATTGGTTCAAGATAATGATTCGCATGTTCCTTCTCGCTCAATTCGTATCAACTATATAACCTAAGGAAATTAACTTTCTTGTAGGATACTACTTTTATGACGTATTACGCCGTGACACTAGCCTACCGCCCGACGCGGTGAGTCTGGTGGGATACTCGCCGGCAGCTCTTCTCACGTTGATATTAGTTGCGGTCGTCCTAGCGCTTATTCCACCAATTTGGAGTTGTATTAGACGATTGCCGCCAAATATCGTTATCCCTGGATGCAACTCGTTGGCTTTTTCAGCTGCCTGCCATGTCTCTAGACCATCCTACGATACCACTGACGCAGGGGCTTTCAGAGATGCCACGCCGTCCCCTCCTTTAGCTCCCGGCGCGTCAAAATCTGGCAGCCGACTAGGTGGCCGAAATGAAGATATTGAATTGCTTACCAGCAGTATGGATGGGCTTTACCTTGAGAAACTTGTGCAGAGCAAATTACGTTGGGGCGTGATTGATATGCCCCCGAAATGGTACGCTGAACTTGACCACGATCCAGCATTAGTGGGACATCTTGGCTTCAGTACGCTAGAGGCTGGTGGAGTGGCAGCACCGCTATGGGGGCATCTTTATGCGTGAGTTTCGGCAAGGAATAACGATCAACTTATCAAAAGCATGCATCAAGCGGAACACATGTTCGTCGACGAGGGTATATCACATGAGGAAGGTTAAATCGTTTTCTTCAAATTTAAGTTACCTGCGAGTGCAGTTATTATATGGCTCTCCATCATAACTATATCTATCATCCCCCGGTAATCATCGGACACTGGGCGATTGATGGACTTATATCTACCTACTTGCACCTACTAACCTCACCTTACGTCTATAATGGTGCACTCGTGATCAAACGATGTCTTATTCAATTGTCTATTAGTTGATAGTGGTAGCTTCATCCTGGTATGCATTTTAATGAAGGGAAATGCGTACGTACATCGTAAATCATCACCCTTGCATTGCGTGCCATGCTAATTTGATTCTGGTTGTATCCAGTGTAGTAAGTTGTTAATGTGCTGCTAGTAGTTCAGATGCGAACATAAACATATTGGCTTGATCCAGATCTATACGAAAAGGATGATTTAGGGGGCTAATTGAGTGGGGTTGAAATTCTCATCTCTCGCAGGTCATGATCCCTTACTAGGTAGGGCGCGGAAACAGAAATGGTTAATACTGTGGTCTCCTATGAATTACTTTACACTATGTACTTACGAAATACATAAATAACTATAAGGAGTTCCCTCTTTCCGTCTACCCTATAGGATTCGCCTCTTATGTGATGCCTGACCCTGTGTGCCTTAACCTCTGACATCACGGATGAACATACTGATGGAATCTCCGCCACTAGTAACATTTTTTGTGATACATGGTCTGCACTGAATTTCCCTATCCATTTTCTCCGTCTTCTTCTTCCAGGCGCAGCAAATGAAAGTGCCCATTTCATAGACAATTGACTTGCGAATCGTGTATGACAATCGTGGTGATACTTGTGTCTTAAGTATACATCTATCTTAGCCTGATATTCGAGTCCTTCCGCCTGGCAAATTGTATTATACACGCTCAGACTATAAAACCTGCTCAATAGCAACAAAAGCTTGTATGAAAGCTGATGGGAGATCTCATATTCTAACACGTTCCAGCCGGAAGAGCGGGGTCCGAGGAAGCAGTGTTCGCGAGATCGACCTCAGCAGCCCTCCTCCTCGTAAGGCCAGGCAAGACCTGCCCGCCGCTCTTGTTCCATAGTGGTAGCTCGGAAGCAATCACAGTCTGCGGGTCCTCGCCATTGTTGAGACGCGCAATAAGGCTCGACGATCCTGAGTTACCACAGCCGACATTGTATGCCCAGCTCACCAGTGCACCATACTGGTTTGCGTTAAGGGTCACTGGCTCTGCGGTCTGCTGGGTAATGCAGTTCTGAGGCGGCTATAGGTTTCTATCATCAGTGATCGTTCAAGATGTGCACCTCAGAAAGATGCTTCTAGTTCGTAAGTCTTACAATCACATCGTCGGCAAGGAGTCTCTTGCCATCAGCCTCCGAAAGCGGGATGGAATAAGGAATCTCAGCACAGCCGGCTTGCTGGCAGAGGTGTCCATAGCCAACAGTTGGGTTACCAGTTGGGTCATTATCTTAAGCAATTGTTAGAGAGATCTCCCTCTTATGATCACCGAGGGAGTGCAATCCACTTACAAACGTCGGGACTGAACCCCTCGAACTCGGCGATAAGATCCAAGGTCGCTTGGTTCACGGCTGGGCCGACGCAGGCCGCCTGGGCCATAGAGGCTGCAAGAAGGGCTGCAGAAGTAACCGTAAGGCGAACCATCGTGAGTGATACTACTTGGTAATGTTCAAAATTGTTGGAGGATAAGGGGCAATGCAAACGATGTGTACGTCTATGGTAGCATTGCTTAAGGAGGCCGATGGGCACCTGAAGCGTTTATATCTATTTGTGTCTATCTAAGCAGCCGCTTATGGAGGCTACACAATTGTAGCCGTCTCAAATAAAATATCGATTCACATCGTCTCCTGCCAGCACGGGGAAGATGGCGTTGGAGCTGTTGACCTGAAATGGAAGGCCGTGATGTCCTTGAATCTGTCGATCCCTGGGATGATCCTCAGAATGGCTTAAAAGGGGTAAAGTGTGAATGGGTCCCTGCGTACGTTCAGGAGCCTAGCGCTCTCAGCTGGGGACGATCGCATCCGCAACAAGTTGAGTGCGCGCGCTCGCATTCCGTTTTGTATTGGAGTGAGTACGATCTGAAACATCTGTGTAAGCTGTAACCATTCGTATTCCTCGCATTGAAATGTAACTCAGTTATACTCGGCATGTTAATGGATTTGGCGTGCTGAAGCTGTACGTTTCAGCGATGGTTGTGATGTCATTATATAAGTAATTACGCACGGTGGCTTACTTTGGGCCAAGAGTTGGGAAACTCTTCGATCTTGGCCTGGCGCTTAGGTATTCTAGACTACCCTCAGGATCATGCCTGTAGAGTGACGTATGCATGCACTCTTATCATAATACCGGTACAGTAAGCGTCCTGCGCGGAATCAGCACCGGCCGGATGTCTTATCGTGAAACACCCGGGATAACCGGTCCTATCGCTCTAGCCGGTTCCATTTTCAGGATTCGGTGTACCGTACCGGCGTAGAAGTGTCACTGGAGTTACCGTTGCGCGTAACTACGGACCGTATATACATGTTGCGTACGACTACAGGCGCATACCTCGCAAAGGTCTCTCCAGTGAGACATGAAGCCAATATTGAAATTGAGGTCATACAAACTTCGCGTAATGAGACATAATGACGCTTTTGGGAGATTAGCAAAGGCCGATCCAGTTATATATAGAGTCAAGGTCAGCCACCAAAGGGCAAGCCACGGCGCCTCACAGCCAGAGCAGATTAGTGTAATATCAAAAGCTTCAATCCAAGCCCTGCTACTAGACCATATTATAACTACCACAACTTCGTAGACCTCCTTATAAGTTAAAATAGTACTTCACATTCTAAATCTAAAAGTGCAGCGCTGATAGTCGCGGCATTCTACCCCGCCTCAATACCTCTCTTCTTTTCCCCGCGCTATAGGATGTCCTCGAATTCTGATACTTTAGTCAAGTGTGCTATTGAATGTTAATACTTGCCATGTTCGCTCACGAAAGCGGCCAATGGAAGGAAAAATCGAGATCCGGCCCCCAATTCAGCCCCAATAATCCCCCACGTGTGGTGAGACACATGGCACCCTTTATACATCGGTCGGCGAATGGTGATTGACCCGGATCCTACTTCGCCTGATGGGATACGACCGAAACGCAGCTGCTTCCGATGGCTTGATCCAATCCCCGCATGCCAAAAGCTGCCCAACGTGGAATGATGCAGTACCCCATCCCTAACTATGGTGCACCATGCTTAACACGTTCATTCGTCACCAGAGCTTTGCGAGTAATTATTTTGGGATTGGAACGAGGCAGGCTACGGTGATGGTGGACAACGCTATGCATACATAATAGAGCTCCTGTGACTCATCTTTGTTTCCTCGATATGTTCTTGGATTAAGTCAACTCGGACCTTCTCTATCTCGTCAACTCTGAAAATGTCTGATCTGGCGATGCTAGCGGCAGCTCTCCCCAAGTGTGCGGTATGTTCGTCACAAGCTTCTTAGGATTCTGTCCGTTAACACCATGTAGGTAACATGCTTGATTAGTGCTATTGGGGAGTCGACTTGTATTGCAACGAACCAAACGTGTATATGCAGTAATCAAGAACTTAACGCCAGAGCAACAGGTTGTATCACCCAGAACTGTACAATCCGAGAGACCCTCACCACTCAAAACTTGACCTCTACGCTCTGTGGTATCGCGCCGCGAGTAGATCATTCCTATGTTTCTGTCTTAATCGCGTTTGTGACTGTCTCCGCTGTGTGCGTGTCGTTGCGTGTCATTGCGAGGCTGCACACCAGGGTACCCCTCTGGTGGGACGATTTCGTCGTTGCTCTATCTTTCGTACGTCCTCCCCTAATTGTGTGGTTCATGTGCATAGCGCTGACTAACAGTCTATAGCTTGGGAGCGTTGCTTTTGCAGCCATTGCCTTGGCAGGTACACCAGGACACTGTCCTCTCTGATAGCGCAAGAAGCTGATAGTGAACTCATAGTCAAACCTCGTGGCTTGGGCACCGATATCTGGAATATCCAGTTTGACGATATCACGATCATTTTCAAGGCCTTATATACTCTCTTCGTTCTTTACATCACAAGTCGTGACCTCGTTCGTCTATCGATTCTTCTCTTCTACTATCGCATTTTTGGTCACATCAAGATGGCACGCCTACTTATTCGACTCACCTTTGTGCTAATCATTGCATGCTGCATCGCTTTTGGTTTCGCTATCATATTTGGCTGTACACCTCTTGACTATTACTGGACAGGGTGGGATGGCGAACATGACGGCCATTGTATCAGTACAAACGGTATCTTTTGGGCTGGAGCCTTCATCGTAATTGCTATGGACTTCTGGATCATACTAATTCCATTATTCTTCATTGTACGACTGAACCTGCCGTTACGCAAGAGAATATTGTCCGGCGTAATGTTCGCATTTGGTCTCTTGTAAGTAATTGTATTTCTGGATTTATGCACGGAACATGAACTGATGTACTTCATTTCAGTGTTATTTTCGTCAGCCTTTTCCGGATCAAGACCATCAACCGCTTCACGCTGTCACGAAACCCGACGGGTAAGTCTCGAAATAACCGTTCCTCTTGTTGCGTATATCTAAGCCATGCTTCCTCAAACACACGCTTGCTTTTATCCTCTGTACTGATTGCTATGTTCGCCTAGTGGACTTTGTTGAGGTTGGCATATGGTCCGGTCTTGAATTATACGTCGGGATCATCTGCGCGTGCTTACCTAACTTCTATTACCTTCTCACGCACGGTTTCGCATGGATATGTCTTAGGGTTTCGACCTTTGGAGCAACGAAGTCGCATTCCTGTGATCCTAGAAGTGGAACTGGCTCTGATCAGCACTTGCATAATAAGATGTCAGCGTCCGACCAAATGGTTCAAATGACGCCCACAGCCGGTGTTAAGGCGCTTTAATAAGAAATCGAGGGGCGTCGGTGTTCGGCATTGTAGGTACTGCACGAAATTTGTGGCACAATTGAGAATAGGTCTTCAAGGTCAGGTATCATGTGTGAGTAATCCGTATTATTTGATATACACAGATCATCCTTCGTTTTACCCTTGGAAGTAATCTACATATATTTATTTCATTGCTGCTTTACTTTATTCATCTCAGTTTGAAAAATCAACACAGGGCGTTAGGGAGTGGCCACCCGAAGCTATATCCCAGTCGCTTGTGTAATTAGCTGTGGTGATGTAAGTAGAACAAATGCCAACCCTCCTCAATTGTGCTGCAAAATCTATGGAAATATATGTGTTGTAATGAAGCAACTACTAATAAAATACATACCAATTCTACCAAAGTACGCTCAACATATGATAACTTCCTTTGCTGCATGACGTTTCTTGCTATACCAACATATAGTAGTGGAGGGCGGGGAGTTAGTGGGTGAAGCATACCCAGGCACAGCACACCAGGGATTCCCGCTAGGGTTCCATCAGCTGAGATGCGAAAAGTCAATAACTTCGCCAAAACAACCAATAGTAAAACCAAAACCGACACGAAGTAGAATGAATCTATGTTCAACATGATCGAGTTTCTGCGAATTTTCGTCGCATCGTAAAGCGTACTTAGATTATCTTGTGTAGATAATGTGACCGAAGCTGTCTACCTATGTAACAGATCCCTGAGCTAATAGCAATGGTGTTATGGGCTAAAATGAGGCGCTGGACGCAAACGTGAGTGCAAAAGTCTCACTCAGCCCGTAAATTTTCGAACTCTGATCTCCGTAGCTCGTTTTATTTGATAAGGCGGGTGGGTGTAAGGCATTGACATACTTCAATTGAAGCCAATCTAGCCATGTTTTAGCAGCTTCTTTCGCATGGAGGAATCAATCTTGGTGTATTTTCGCTATTGCTGGTACGCGCACTCAGGCTGTTGTTTGCCACAAAGCCTCAGGGTCTCAAGAAGGTTGCGAATGCGGGACGCATCCCCCAACGTTCCCTTCTGTCGTTCCCTTATTGGGAAGTCTACCCATCGCATATTTGTTCAATCCAAAGGCATTCATCTTGGATAGGAAGTAAGCCCTTGTTTTCCGATTAGAACAGTGTCGTTGCTAACTCTCAGTAGCAATTTCGTCCAGACTAGGCACCCTACGCGCGTCAAGATACTTCACCAAGAATTCTACGTCGTCCGGGGACCGGATAATGTCAAGGCGCTCTTCAAAGCTTTCTGGGCGTGCACATCAATTCCTTTCGTCAAATTCACTCTTGGACACGCCTTTGGCCTACCGACGAGGGTGCTGAGTCTATTTGACCAGGATGACTCTGGTGGCAGCCATGTGCCTCATGGATAGTACCATAGAGACCCGCAATCGTATTGACTACCACATGCACGAGTCTCTAGTCCGATTCCTTGAAGGAAAAGGACTTCCGCCCTTCTGGAATAGGTTCAAAGATAACATCACGCAGCGACTGCGCACTATGTGCGATCACATCGGGTCCGACTGGGATCATCATCCCGATTTGAAGAAAATGGTCGGAGATGAGGCTACCATGTCAATCCTCAATGCTCTTTGCGGCCCGCACCTTTTGGTCCTGAACCCGGATTTCCTCGAGAGCTTTCGGAACTTCGATCACAATTTGTAGACATGCCTCCAAGGTATAGTACCAGCATAGGTGCAGTAACCTGTTGTCTCATTAGCTAATCCAGTTGATAGGAATCCTGTGGTTTCTTGCTCCAAGGGCATATGCAGAATGAGAAAGGGCATTGAATGCCGTGAAAGCTTGGCAACAGCATGCGAGAGATCACTTCACTGAGTCCGCCGTTGATGCTGATGGAGATGATCCTTACTGGGGTTCTAGCTTCTTTAGGGAGCGACATCAAATGTTCCTTGGGGTGGCTTTGACTACGCGGCCATTGCATCCCAAGACTTCGACGCGATATGGGCGTAAAGCTGCATTGCCTTTCTATCTTATCCCTAGAAGAATTTGAGCTAATATTTATCACAGAACTCGTAACTCTGTTACTGGTACATCATGGCCATCTTTGATATATATCGTGATCCAGAGCTCCTCGCTAATGTTAGATCAGAGGTTGTCACACGTACAAGGCGCTGTGCCGGTTGAAATATGCAGTTCGCCTTGTACTTCGGCCGTACGAAAGACCATTGCAGGCTGTTCATGATTTCTTAGAGACATGCAGGCAATATTGGAAAGTGAGGTTATACAGACTTCGCTTCTTGAAACAGACCCCTTGTTATATTATTAGAGATCTCCCCGAGTCACAATATTCAGGAGAAACTCCATTTTGCATTTCCTACATTCTTTTCAGCAACGAGTTCTTGAATTTAACAGTCTACAATAGTTCTGGAACCACCGTTGGGTATTTTACTTCAATGATTGAAACCACAGGATTCTCCTAGCTGCGAGCTCATTCCGCTTGCCTACGCCGTATCCTCACTTGTACCTTTCCAGCTGAATGTGACATACCACCACCGAAGCCGTTAAGTGAAAAGTCCTCCTTCGCGTTTAGCCCCTCTCTGAGTATTTAGATGTCAGACAGGCTCCCGATTAAAGCGGTTGTCAACATATTTAGCGCTTGACGAAGTGCCTGCCGAGACATTGACGCGGTCCACCTCCATACGGGATCCACGATCCCTCCACGTCTTTCGTCGAAAATATTGGAGCATTTTCTTGTGGTTTGGGAACTTCATGGGGTTGGGCAGGAGGGTATTTGAGGAACCTACCAATCCAAAACTGATCAATGGGTTGCTCATTATTCCATACCTCGGAATCAGTATGTGCGACAGTCGTTGGTGTTATAATGTTACACGTGCAACCTCTATACCAGCTGAATATGCAGCTCGCCTTGCACTTCGGCCGTACGAAGGACCATTGCAGGCTGTTCATGATCTTTTAAGACATGCAGGTAATATTGGGCAATATTGGAAAATGAGATTATACAGACTTCGCTTCTTACAACAGACCCTAAAGACCTAGCCGGTTTAAGCTAGCAGACAAATTATATATAAAGTTAAGTTAAGCTACCAACAGCTAAAAAGGAATTAGTTAGTTAAGGACTTATATAGCTCTAGTTGATCATTGTAATCTGAATTCTTACTTCCAAGCCTAGTATCTTCTGCCCTTATTATATAATGACTTTCCTCTTAGGTATGACCACTCTCGAATCTTCATGTCGACTCTGTCTAGCATTCTGATGATATAGAAGTGTATTCTGAGCCGTAGTGTCTCGGCGTACACGGCTTGGAGAATTGGCAAGCGAAAAAGCCGTGCGGTGTGGAGCCTAACAGTAATATCTTTACTTCCAGTGTGAATTCTACAGGCATCGACCTTTGTAACAAGGGCAGCAATACTATGAGCTTGGAACCTAGGCAATTCAGATTATAATAAACAACTAGGGCTACATAAATCCTTAACTAACTAACTCCTTCTTGGCTATTGGTAGCTTAACTCGAATTTATATATAACTGGTCTACTAGCCTAAACACCCTAGGTCTCTGGGGTTTATTTCAAGAAGCGAAATCTATATAACCTCACTTTCAACTATTGCCTGCATGTCTCTAAAAGATCATGAACAGCCTGCAAAGGTCCTTCGTACGGCCAAAGTGCAAGGCGAACTGCATATTCAGCTGGCACAGCGCTTAGTGCGTGTGACAAGTAAAGGGCATTGTCAATGACAACGCATCGATGTGTAACCGAACAGTAACCATTCCATGTATATGGCGTCTTCCTACCTACTTTTAGGTCAACATGACCATAAAGGAGATACTAACTTCCTAACTCTCTGAAAATAACTACACAGATATCCCGGTACCGGCTACAATTGGGATCGTGTTGCTGTGTTTTGGTCAAGTACTTGTGTACCTCAGTACGCATCCATGTACACACGTATGTACTACTCGGGTTCCCAGGTAACCACACGCGTACCTTCCTTCTAACGACTTGATTCAATCTAGTGGTTTTCTAGGAAGATATAAATAAAGCTGACTTCACAGATTTTCTGCCACTCTCTTCTATCCTTCCAACTCTCCCAACCCCGGAGGTTTTCAATGCCACCAAACCTTTCCCTCAACCCGTTCAATCACTTTCTACTCATCTGACACGCACATCATGGAGAGCTCCGAGCTACCAGGAGCCTGCCTCATCTGTAACAAGCCAGACGCGAAGCCTTGCTCTCGGTGCAAGAGTGCCTTGTATTGTTCTGAGCCATGCCAGCGGGCTGATTATCCGGTCCACAAACTTCTATGTGCTAGCTTCAGCTCTGATCTTGCAAACAGGCCTACCAAGAATTCCATACGGGCCATCCTCTTCCCGGTGTCCTCTGTCAAACCAAAGATGATATGGCTTGAGATCATGCAACACGGAGATTGGAAGTATTGGGTTCCTCAATACTTACCTAATGATCCTATTGAATCTCTCGACAGCACTCCGAAAACCAACGTGGAAATTGATTACGATTTCATTCTGAAAAGACGTCTGTCGGACGTTGTCTGTCTCGCCTACCGAGATAATATGCTCATGATGCCCGGGACATGCGAATTGAATAACAGCATTACTTCCATCACTGCCACCAGACCTGGGGCCCTATCATGGAGGTTTGTCCCGGAGTGAGGCTAGATCATTAGTAGGTAGTATATAGGAAGTAGGTAGGTTGAAGGTATAGGTAAAGGTTTAATATTATTAATTCCTAGCTCCTTAAATATAAAGAGGGAGCTTAAACACCTTTATATAGTTAATTTCTATACTGTTCCTACCCTTTAGGGTAACTTTTACCCTAATGCTATAATATTCCTTAATAGAGTACCTCCTTTTATAAATGCCTTACCTTTAAGGCATTAGGGAAAGGTAACCTATAAGAAATACTATTTAATATAGCTTAATAGTAGGATTATAAATATATAAAAAATAGGTAATAATTAAAGGAATATTCCTATTTATATATTTAAATATTTAATAACTTTAAAGCTATTTATTTATTATATACCTTTTAATATATTATTAACCTTTTTAATATTAATTTTTCTTTTTCTTTTTCCCTTTTTTTTTTTAGCTTTAATTTTATTATTATTATAAGTTTTATACTTTTATTAAAAAGCTTTTAATATTAATTATTTATTTTTTAATTTTTTTAGCTTTTATTTTTATAAATAAATATATTCCTTTATTTTTATTTTTAAATTAATTATTAATAATAAATATATAATAGCTATTTTATTATAAGTTTAATATTATATTTAAAGTTTAAACCTTTTATTAATTTTAAATAAAATAATAATAATAATAATAATAACTATAATAATAATAGTAATAATAATATTATACGTTTTATTTAATTATTATATAATTATTACCTTATTATAAGGTTAATTTAAAGTAATTTAATATTTATATTATTTTTTACTATTATTATTTTAATACTTTAATAAAGTAAAATACTTTTAAAAAGAAAGAAGAAAAGTTTATTTATATTAATAATAAATATAAATAAACTTATTATTTTATTATTAAATAATTAATATTAAAAATTTATATAATAATATTAATTAAATATATTTAATATAAATATAAATAAAAGTTATATATTTTTATATATTATTATACCTTTTTTTTTTATAGTT